GGTCAATATATCAGATGTTAACCCGGGATTGTGAGGATCCGAGAGTCTAACGAGTTGACAGAAAACCCAAAGGTCAGACATCCGCACCTAAAAGGTCCAGTAAGAAGATTATCGAATGTGACACTACCCGGTCACTGTCGGCCCCGGGGGATTCCAAGGTTTCATTTGCTTATAGCTTTTTGTCTCGGTACGCATTAGGTCTTAAGGATCTAAAGTTTGCACTATTTTCACTACACAAGTACTATATGCTGATTTTGCCACATACCTTCAATTCAATTGCAGAATTTAAACTATGTGCAGGCAAAAATCCGATATGGCGCACTGACAATTCGGCCTACCGTGGACAACTACTTCCGCCCACATCAACCAGCACATTCCTTTATACTCCTCTTTGTCACATCAGCCCCTCACCACATCTCATTCCCCTCTCCATAGAATCTAGTACACAGATATGTCTTCATCTATGCCTGCAAGATCAACTGTCTCCAAGAGCCGCGATCCTCGGACCCAGAAGTAACAGTACTGTAAGGAAGCACCGCGTCCTGGATATGAGCAACGCGTGTTGTAGTCAAGACACGACCACGAGCCGACAAAGCCTCAGCCGCCAAGCGTTGGTATGAGTGACCAGCGAGAGAGAAGGAAGTTTCGAATCCATCACGTGTAGCCTCGCCCAAGAACTCCCGGGACCCAAATCCATCCGTAACGGCATAGAATCGCCAAACAGCCGTCTCGGTATCGCCATTCCATGAAACAAAGACCTCGGTCCCCGAGGAAGACCTCTCAGCCACAATGGCGGGTTCTTCTGTGGGAAGGCCGGTCCAGTTGTACCGGAATGCCCGATAGTTCTGGACTCCCTCGCCCAGCAAACCCGAGTCCATGTAAGCGTGAAAGATAGGGGTACCGTCCGCCCGGAATTCGGTCAGAGCTCCCTCAGAGCCCCAATTCACCAAGGCATTACCGTTGGGTAGAAGCTGGGTGCTGCCCTGGGACTTGGCGAGGAGTCCATCGGGAGGCTGGAAGGCTTGGACAATCTCCGCAGTCCAGGTTGCAGTATTGACAGAAATCACCTTGCCCTGTGAGAAAGGATGGGTGTGGACCTCTTTGCCGCGGTGGTTCTCTGTTCCGTGAGCGGAGTTATCGAAAAGGGATATGATTTCCTCGTCATCACCTTGCTTGACAAAGCGTGCGTGATGCTGGAAGCAGAACTTGACGTTGGGACCCAGCTCAAAGTCTGAGCGGAGACCACCCAACCGCCAGATAATTTCACCAGTGGTGCCATTGATCTTGTGGACTGCGCAAGCATCCCGCGCGGAAATCAGGTAATTGCCTTCGGCATCCTTGTCCACAGAGTTGATATGGAAGTAATCCCATGCGTCAGATGAGTTGTAGCCTGCACCCGCTTGTCCCGGGTTCAGAGGGAGGACGGCCTCTGCACGATGTCAGACTAATCCATTATAAGCATTGAAGGTAACTAAGTTGACTTACCATCAGGAGAGGCATGTTCGAGGCTAGACCACTCAAATAGCAGTTCTCCGCTGTCAAGATCCAACTCTATTGCGAATCAGCATCAGCTCTTCGTATGTTCGAGTACCCACATACCCTGGAAGATGGCATCGACAACCCACTGCTGTTCAGTACTACCACCCCAGCGGGAGAGATCCCTCGGCACGGGCTGATAGACCTGAAGCAACGCAGTCTTCTCGTCAACGACATGGAATTCATGCTTATCCATGAGCTTGTGGTTGCCAGCTCGGAGCTCCCGGATAGTCTCATAGCGCTGATTCAGAATGGTAGCATGACCATGTCCATGTCCATAGGCCGGGTTATGATCGCCCTCGAAGCTAAACAGCACATCCTGACCATTCCATCTGGCCTTCTGGAAGTTGGCAGCCCAGATGGAGAAGTAGGTATAGCCCGACCAGACAAGCTCACCGTCATCGCGAACAATATACGGAGCTTCCTGGCGTGGACCATGGAACTGCGGCTCAGCCCACTGGCCCGGGAAAGGCGCGATGAAGAGGTAACCCTTCGCGACATCCTTTGTGGCCGGGATGGTGATATTTAGACGAGGCGGGGCCAGGTCGGTTCGAGATTTGAACTGCCAATCTGCCGCGGCGAGCGGCAACAGCGCTGCGGCGCAGGCGATGGTTTCAAGGAGCTTCATGATAAGTACTGGTCCAGCGATCAGTTTCCATGACGCTAGTCATTATGTTCATGATAGGGTACATTAACCTTAGATGGGTACTCTGCACTGAGTCTCTTTGACTTCTTTTTATTTGAATAGTTGTGTGAAATAAAATGAAAAAGAAGGAAATGGCACACATCCCATCGCGTTAAATACTTGCCAACCTTAGATATATGTCATAGTGGAAGACGATGTCGTGCTTGGCACTTGGCGGGGAAAATAATCCGCTGGCATTTTCCCCATCGAGTGCCCGCAGTGCCCGCTCTGCTCGGCACTCTGAAATTTCTGAAATTTCCGATCTTCGGACTCTTTTTCATCATCGTCTAAACCGCAAACTTGGGATCTGAACATTTGAAATCGACAATGGCATTAGACCCGAATAAAAGTGTTCCAGGCGTAATGCCGACACACGAGAATGAAGCCGAAAGATCAGCACAAGAAAGCGAAGAGCAACCTTTATTGAGATCGGATCCAGTTCCTACATGGCGCCCACCGCCGGGATTCCTACTGATCCAAATCGGTAAGTGAAATCAAATTGCATAGAAGTTAGAGCACATTTTGACAATTCAATAGCAATCATGGCCAATGTATTTCTTGGCGGGTTTGACGGCACCATCACTGCCTCAACCTATGCTGTGATCAGCTCCGAGTTCAACGCCGCGAACACTGCTTCGTGGTTGACCACCTCGTACTTGATCACAAGCACGGCATTCCAGCCTCTGTATGGCCGATTTTCCGATATACTCGGTCGCCGGTCTTGTTTCTTCACTGCAACCATCACCTTCATGATTGGTTGTCTGGGATGTGCCGTGGCCCGCGATGTAATCTTTTTGAACATGATGCGCGCCTTGACAGGCATTGGCGGCGGAGGATTGATGACTATGGGTAAGTCAACAATCTTTCAATTGACATATCAATCGCTAACAAGTATCCTAGCCACAATCATCAACTCGGATCTCATTCCCTTCCGCCGGCGCGGCATGTACCAGGCAATTCAGAATGTCTCGTACGGCTTCGGAGCCATCTGCGGTGCTTCCTTCGGAGGTGCCATCGTTGATTCGATCGGATGGCGCTGGTGCTTCCTGCTGCAGGTTCCGGTATCTTTGTTTGCTTTGGTCATGGGCTATATCGTTTTGAAGTTCCCAGCACAAAACACCCATTCTTCCCCAGATGGGCAGAAACGAGGAATTTGGCACCAAATCGATGTCCTGGGCGCTTGTCTGCTCATTCTGGCTCTTTCTGCCCAACTAGTCGGACTCAGCCTGGGTGGTAACATCCTCCCTTGGACTCACATGTGGGTGATTCTGCCATTGGTCTTTAGTCTGGTATTGCTGGTCGCATTTGTCGCCGTTGAAGCTAAAACCACCGCCGCACCTTTGATTCCATTGAAGATGCTACGAGGACAGCTCGCTGTATCCACACAGATTGCCAATGTTTGTGTCGGGATGGCAGCATACGCAGTAAGCTCACCCGGTCCACCCGTTATATGAGCATCATAACTAACGCAACACATTCAGTACCTGTTTACTCTGCCTCTCATGTTCCAGGTGATTCTCCTTGACTCGCCTAGCAAGGCTGGCACCCGGCTGGTGATTCCCTGTCTATTTACCCCACTTGGTGGTCTTGTCGCAGGAATCGTCATGTCACGCTGGGGCAAGCTGGCCTCCATTGTGCGTGTCGGTGCAGCCCTAATGTTCGTGGGAAATCTGCTCGTCATGCTCCTTCGATTCAACGACTCGGCATGGAAATATTTCGTCTATGTCATTCCCGCCAACCTGGGTCAGGGGATGGTATACCCGGGAATTCTGTTCACTTTCCTAGCAGCCTTTGACCACACCGGTAAGCCAGCTTGTCTCTCTTTCCGTGTCAATTGTCGCCAGCGCCATTACCCAAATCCACGAGCGACCGAGCCATTCTGCCAAGCCTGCTAACAACGTCGTGCAGATCACGCCGTCTCCGCTTCAACCGTCTACCTCATCCGCTCTCTCGGAACCGTTTGGGGCGTCGCAGTGACCTCCACCATCATGCAGAATACACTTAACTCAGGCCTCGGGGAGGCCTTGAGTGGAATACCAGATAAATGGAAAGTACAATTCCTTCGCCGTTCGATGATAACGACCCCTGAATAAGCGTTGCTGACCTAAACACTCGTCTCCTAGGTGATTGATGAGATCCGCCACTCAGTCTCCGCTATTTATGATCTCCCTCCGGATGTACAAATGGCTGCTCGGCTGGTGTACTACCGCGGGATCAGACTCTCCTTCATGGCCTCCGCGATCTTTGCATTTATCGCGACCGTCGCTGCTATCTTCACCCGTGGAAAGGGGCTGGAGCGCGCGGGCGGCAAATAAGGAACCTCGACCTCGCGCTCCAAATGAACTCCATATCGGAGGAATATAAGATGTGGTGTTTATGGTGAGGTGGGTTCACCGCTCGCGCGGACCCGATGGAGTGATGCGCGGCCCCTTACTGGAATACATTGTGGCGGGTGAAGTAGATAAGGCGACTGTACGGTCCAGGAGTGCCGATGCTCAATGCGGCAAGTGGTATATATTGGAAGGATATAACTTAGAATATAGAAGTTAGTGAGTTGGCAATAGAAATAGTAAGGCTGATTCGTTCAGTTTCACGAATATCTTCTTCATCTCGGAAAATACTCCATAGTAGACTGTCAAGTCCAGAAACACACTTGACTGTATCAGTGCTAGTGCTGATCCCACTCAAGGAAACCTCCAATTTCTGGATGATACCAACCTCCCACCTCCCCCATTCCATTCTACTCAATTCCGTTCAGAGCCAAAGCAGTTCAAGCAAAATGCCTACCGATACATTCCACCTCTACTCATACTTCTGCTCCTCATGCTGTCAACGAATCATAATTGCCGCTCACCTGAAGGGTATCCCTCTTGAATACACCTACATCGACCTGGGCACCAAAGCGCACACAACAGGCGAATACAAAGAATCAAACCCCAGCGCCAGTGTGCCTACCTTGGTAGTGACAAATGCCAACGGAGAAAAGACCATCATCCGCCAATCCATGACGATCTTGGATTATTTCGAGGAAAGGTTCCCAGATATTTCTCCACTCCTCCCTCGTGGATTACAGGATCGGGTGCAGGTGCGTGATCTTGTGAATATCATCGCGATCGATACGCAACCTACCACCAACTCCCGTATCGTAAAGCGGGTAAAGGGTATTCGTGAGAGTAACGAGGATCGGGATGAATTCGTCAAACAGGCCTTTACCGACGGATTTCAAGCCTACGAGAGTCTGGTGATGAAGCAAGGCGGGGAGGGGACATATTCCTTTGGGGACACTGTTTCTATGGCGGATGTGGTACTGGTCCCTACAGTTGACCAGGCTCTGTTGTACCGAATGGATTTGGATTTCGTGCCTAATCTCAAGCGCATTCATTCTGCTCTCAAGGAATTGGAGGCTTTCAAGGCTGCGGATTGGCGAAATCAGGGGGATACGCCGGAGAAATTTCGGGTCCAGGATGCTTGAGCCTTGTCTAGATTAGATCAGGTGGGAGTGGAGCGCAGACAGGGATGAGAGCGACAGGGGATCGAAGGAAGTATTTCTGAAACTGGGAGGCAATATATTGTCATGCTATGCATGTGCAGGCTTCCCAAGTCTAATTTATACCATTCACAATACATTAATTGGTAGTGAGGACCGCAATACTAAGATTAGGCAGCTTGAATGAGAACTCGCCCTTCTTGCCAGCCTTGATCTGGGTAGTCTTGCTGTTGACGAGATTCGCTCCGCCCACCTCGTTCATCGAAAACGGATCCGGCGCAGTCAGGATGGTCAAGTCTGCCTTGGTGCCACGGCCAACACCTTCGAATGACAGTGATACAGGCACATCGGATGTGCTGTTGTAGACTGCTGCCTTGAAGATGTGCGAGTTGGTCTTGCTGTTTAGACCTGTCGCATAGTACAAAGGACCGAATGCGTCAGAGGAAGTGGCTGGGAGAGTGTTTGTCATGATGTTGTGATTGAATAGCTATACCCGTGTCTTGCGTCAGTAGAATGTACTTTCAGGGTCTGATGGTAGTGTAACATACACTCCACACGTGCCAGCTCGTAGAGCGAGCGGTCTGGTCAGGATCCGAGTTGAACGACAAGATAGTTGGGGACCATTGGTAGCTGTCCAGGTTCATCAAGAAGGGAGCCTGTTACTTTGTCAGTTCCAGCCAGGGCGAGTGTAAGTTGAAACTACTGACGTAGGTAGTTCCAATAATCTTGTCTGCGTTGCGCTCGGCGCCAATAAGGAACACAGCTTCTGCAACCGAGCCGATCCACCAGGGATACAGAGAGAAATGGGTATCACTCCAGTCAATATCCTGTCCGTTTAATGGCGAAGTAGCGGCAATCTCACCTAGACATGTGTTAGCTATGGTCTCGCAATTTCAGCGAGTTACTTACCGAGCAGGATAGGATGCTCGCGCGTGAAATTGTCAAACATGTCGAACTTGCTGACGAAGTTGTCTGGGGTATCATACAAATGGTAATCACCACCTGCAGTTCCAGGAATTGTCATATCAATAGTAGACGCAAGGACCTGGATATCGGGGTATTTGGCCGTGATAGCCTTGTAGAATGCCGAGAAACGGTAGGACTTGTATGTAGGCAAACCGTTGCTCAGCATATCCTCGTTTCCAACCTCAACATACCGAATTTTCCACGGTTCCGGGTGTCCGACCTTGGCGCGTAGAGCACCGTACTCGGTGTCCACAGAGCCGGTCAAGAACTCGATCTCGTTGAGGGCATCCTGCACATAGAAATCGAGATCGGCTTCCGAGACAACGTCCCCGTTCAGAGCAAGTCCAGCATAGACCGCCAGGACTAAACAGGGCTTGTCAGCTTGGCAGATTAAAATGTCACAGAATGATACACTCACTGGGTTCCATGCCAAGATCGTCGCACCACTCCATGTACTCAATTAAACCCAATCCAAGGGTCTCTTGGTATTGCCAGGTGGTTGCACGACCAGGTCGGTCGGTGAGTGGTCCAATGGTCTCGTTCCACTTCCAGCGGCCCTCGATGCTATCACCCTCGAGGTTATTTCCTCCAGGGAAGCGAAGGAATGTCTACCAAGCTTATTAGCATCATTTATCTTTGATGATAGTCAGAGCAATAGGGAATTTTCAACTTACAGGACCCATATCAGCCATGGCTTGCATCAAGTCTTTCCGCATGCCATTGGGGCGATCATTCCACGTGGGTGGGAACAGGCTGATCAGATTGAAATCAAGCGAGCCACTCGATGCTTTCTAGAAACAATTAGCCCAGGCGCGTGGCAAGCTCCATGTCAAATCTTACCGAGCCATCAAAGGTCAGCGAGAACTTGTTCTTGGTATCGGAAGCCTTTTCTTTGGGAGCAAGAACAAACTCATGTTGCACCCAGTCGTTCGCAACACTTTTTGAGGCAACCTTGGTAGTAGCCAAAACTTTGCCGCTAGAAGAAAGGAGAGATGCGGTGAAGGAGCCTTCATAGGCGCCTTTCACATAGAATGAACCAGTATACTTCTGGGGACGGACGTCAATTCCCCAGAAACCCGCATTAGTCAGACCAGCTGTGCCAGCACCCTTCACATTGACTGAAGTTGGAAGGGCATTTGACAGTGGGTCAGTGAGGTTCTTCAGGGACAGCGATGAGCCCCCAACACCAGACCAGGCCTCCAGTGATGAAGGGAACTTCGTGCTCCCCTGGAACGCTCTGTTGCGGATTAATTCGGCATAGAGACCTCCTTCGGCACAGTGGTTGATTTCCTAGGGTTTGAATTAGATCCAATTCTACAATGCGCGAGTATCTCAACATACCTCTTCCATCGCACCATATTGCAGACCTGATGTCGCATTGCCCCCAGATTTCGCTACCGATATGGTGACAGCGGCACCATATGATGCCAAAAGCGGCAGAAGAAGGTATTTGTGCAGCATTCTAGTGTGATCAGTCCAGAAATGGCTGTTTCAACTCGCCAATGCTATTTAGAATGCAGGGAGTATGACTGAAATGCGCGCTTTAGTGGATATTTATATGCAAGCAACTCCATCGTCCAACGAGTGCCATGCCGGATAATTAGTTGTGCTCCTCATTGTGCTCCAATTGACCCGGATGGATCGAGGTGACGTCTGTGGGGTTCGAGGATCATAACACGATCCCTCCCTTTGTGCAGGACAATCTGCCGACAGCGACCGTAATACCGAGTTTTCATTCCAAATTGGGTAAATCTCCTTGAGGGGTTCGAGGACACTAACTTGGTCTCTTCCTCTGGGCCTTTAGGCAGAACAATCTTCTGACAACGACCGCAATAGCAACGGCTAATCCTAATTAGGTAAATCCCCATGAGGGGTGCATGTGCCAAGAGGGAACCCCTGCAAGTAATTGCCGTCTGGGGAAACATCGGCACAAGCAAGGCCGACCTACAACATATATTGCAATGGTCTGCTCCTTACGCTAGGTCATGCAACACTGCAGCAGAATCTTGGCAGGAAAGGTGCCTTGCCTTATATCAGCGAGCAATATCAGGTTCATGACGCTGATTTGAGAATTGGTGCCACATTCCAAGTGGTGCCTTGCCCTTGGCTGAGCGTTGAGGGGTAGTTGGTCAATGCCGTGACAGGGGATATGAGTTGTGATTGACGGGTAAATCCACCCGCCTTTCTCCGCTGCAGATCCTCACTTGTCTGACTCTTATTTCACGAAGATATCCCCGGAAATTGGAGAAAATATGAAGAAAAATTAGTTAATCTCAAACATATGTCTCACGGCTGTGAAACATAAAAATCAGAAATGGGTATATGAATAAATTATTACTATGCATGCGTTCCCATAACATATATATCAGGAGTAGATATCAACAGATGAAAGAGACAATAAACGGACAACAAGAGATAGCGGAGAACATGTCAATTAAGTGATTTTTTTACCATGATCAGATCCTCCCAGGGTGCTTGGGAGAACATTAGCAGTACGATGCACATTGTCAAGTATCCAACCAGATACCATAGCTATCTTGCCCGATGATTCTTAGAAGACAGTACCTTTGACCTGAGCGGTCTTCTTAAGATCAATGTCTCGGATCATGATGGTCCAGGCAATGGCCAAAGCCATGATACCCAAACCAGCTGAAAGCATACGGACTTCAGCATAGCCGTAGGCTGCCTGAATAGCTAGTCTTACCTCACTTCCCATTGGATAGCCAGTCTGCACTGTGATATCTTCGTAAATGTTATCGAAGTTTGACATAGCCGACTCTGGGAGGTAATTTGCAAGAGCCTTGGGGAAGGTATTGGTCCAAATAGCTGTGCAGATAGTATAACCAGCGGAATCGCCGATAGTACCAACCACATTCAATAAGCCCAAGGCAGCCGCAACGTGTTGGTGATCGACAGCGGCCAAAATGGCAATCTGCTCGACGAGAATGAAAATCGAACCCCCGATCGAAATGAAAATCTGGCACATGATCTGGTATCCGACTCCCATACCAGGCTTGCGGAAATAGATCATCAATCCCTGGGCGAAGATGTAAAGCGGAACAGAGATGTATAACAGCCACTTGAAACGGCCGGTCCTTCGGATAATCCAGCCGACGATGAGAAGTAACACCCCGGACACAACGTCGAATGTGTTGCTCACATATCCAGCCTCGGCGATCGTCAAGTCGCTGACCACCTGTAGGAAGGATGTATAGTAATTGTTCCAGCAGTAGTAAGATAGCTGGTACGTGGCATCCAAAAGACAGGCACCGACAACGGTCCGGTTGGTGAGGATCGCGATATTGAGCAAAGGCACGGGGGCCACCCATTTTTCGTAGATAGCAAAGAAAAAGAGCATCGAGAACCCAACTACAAGCATGGCGATGATATAACCCGAGGCCCAGCCGTCGGGCGCTTCAGTCGCGATATCGAAAGGGAGTTCAAAGAGCACCAGGCCAACGGTAAACATAACAACGCCGGGCACTATTCGAGATTAGTCGTTGTTTGAAGAACTAAATGATTGGAATTGGCAAGTCGCGTCGATAGTGTCCAACTGACGCGATATGTGCAGCACCGAAATGATAGAGAGAGATGTCACTCACAATCAAACTGGATGATCCAATACCAGGTACTTTGCCAAAATGTACGATCACTCTTTTCCTGGATCCGATGACCTTCCCTTTCGGCTTTGCGAAGATTGGTCTTGAGCATGATGTACAAAGGTGCCGCCACGATAGGGAAGATAATGGCCCAACAGCCCAGGCCCCATCGCCAGCTGACCCGATAGTAAAACTCATCTGCTACCTTAGGTCCAGCAAAAGCGGTGATGATGTATGGCGAAGAGGTGAAGGCAAATGCCAGGCCTCGGTTCTTCAATTTGGAGGCATCCGCCGTCATTACATCAATGGCATATTCCATACCACTGAAGCCAATAGAATAAAAGACCTAATTGAAATGTAAGCATTTCCAAAGAAAGCTTTCCGGGGCGTCATCATAAGCATCGATGGTAGTCTTACGTATGCAGTGCAGTAGATGGCAAAGCTGTTGCAAGCGGCCAAGAGAATCAATCCCAGGGTAGCGAAGCATGTCATCAGCAAGAATCCCTCTGCACGGCCCCAAGTGTCCATCATCTTTCCGACGGGGATGTAAATTGCTGCTGAGAAAGCATCGGCAAGCGCAGTAGGAACACCGGACAGCGAGTGGGCCGTGAAAGAACTGGAGACGTAGGGGCTCAAGCTGGAGAAAACCGTGGATTGGAAGGCGTTGACGAAGTATAGGAACCAGATACTATAATAAACGGTTTTAGCAACTGTTCAAATTTATTTCATAAGAAAAGGACTCACTTGAGAAAAACCATGATCAAGGTTCGCTTGGACCAGGTCATGGTGATGGCCTCGATATCCCTAACACCATGCTGGAGGTCTTCCGCCGGCATTTCCGGCTGCTGAACTTCAGTATCGGTGGCAGGATCTCTCTTGCTTTCCTCGGCGGTGGTTCCATCCACTGCAGGTGTGTCAACTAAGCTTGCAGCGTCAGAAGCCGCTACGCGACTGAAGACTGTTCGAGCCCTTCGGAACAAAAGACGGACACCCATGATCAGTTCAAGGTAAAATCAAACAAAGACTCTACACAACCTTGGAAATAATGGGACACCGGTGGCACTTATATTACAAAAGACCCCGAGACCGGCAGAGTTCGGATGGGAGACCGAACAGGCCGTAAAAAGACTACGCGGTGTTATGACCCACATAGTAAAATCGGGGGGATTTCGCGGCCACTGGTGCTTTGGTGAAATTATTCTATTCACTCGGCAAATGCCAGGGCTGCTAGCCTGGTGCTGGATCCACCAAGAAACAATAGCGACAAGGGCAGATCTAATCAGATGTCGCCCTCATCTAATCTAGCGAGCACTAGGCCATAGCGGGTAAGCGTCCTCCACAATAAGCTTTGTTTCGTCAGTCTCAAGCTTCGCTTGGCCTCTTGGCTTCCAGAATTCCATATTAACTGTGGATAATTTCTCGTTTTTCTGGTCATAAATCATGGAATTCCCTCAATTGTCTCGCTTGTCGCGCAAGAAATTTAGGAACTCGGATGGATTCCAGGAAAATTCTCTTATCTGATTTGGACCGGACCCAGGTATAACCAACCGAGATAACCGTCTGATCAGCCAGTGTCTCTTGAGCTTGCTCTGGAAATTCCATTATTTCAGAAGTCATAGTCGAGATATAATTATCACTACTGCTTATTAGTTCATCTGCCCATCTTATGAATTAGGAAAATCTCCATGGATTGCAATTGGGGTTCGCGCAAATCGAGATTGTTTCGGGTGTCATTCATACCAACCTAATGTAGCAAAGCGCACGGGGTAGGACTCGTTTGAGTAATGATTTTGGACTACGGGCTAACCACTTACTATCGCTTCGTCCGAGGGCTCACGGGTGGGGACGCGGTCTTAGCGGACTCCTCTTCAACGGGTCGAGATTACTCCGTTGGTTCTAGTGTTTTTGCTAATGGGCAAGGATTTTGTTTGCCGTCAATTTGGGGGGCAATAAGTATGGTTCTGGTGTGAGACAGGCAGAACACAAGAGCACAGGGTCACTAGACGCAAAGGTAACTCCTTGCGGGCCCTATCACAGATTCCCGTCCATATCAAGGATATTAATGACTAAATATATACTACGCTTCACATTCACATATTTATCTTCAATTATATACAGGATGAGATTCGATTTGGACCAGAGTGCGAATATATCAAAGTCGTATGGAGAAAGCCCCTGAGCTTGAAATACTTTGGGACCTCAAACAGATGATTGGGATGGTTGTCGAAATGACCCTGTCAAAGGATCCCTTTCGGCTCTCTGGTCATCAACTAATGCGACTATGCCACTCGTAACCTGCCTGTCTGTGGTCAGGCCTTTCACTGCTTCCTGGATTTCGCGGAGCAAAGAATCGGCTTTTGCCGGCCGCGAAACCCAGCGACCCAACACTTGGACTTTTGGATATTGGGTCCTCCGTTCTAGAATTATATCTCCACGCTGAACATAACGGAGATTGTTGCGCAGGTAGGAGTAGAGTGTTCTTGTACGATAACGTCAGCGCATGCATCATCAATTCATGTACAGCAACGAAATACTTACTTGGGATTAGTCCATGCCTCCAAATGTGAGTATTGAGCTTTGGTCCACGAATGATCTAAACCATGGACTCGACCACTCAAAGAAACGCACTCCGTCTTCAAGGCTATTGCAATCTTGCTTCGCCCCTGGTATTTCCATGTAGTAGCTAGCCACCCCATTATTGAGATTGTGTTGGGATGTTCCGGCCCACAGATGCGTTTATCGATCTCCAGTGCTGCTGTAAACAACGCTTCGGCTTTTTTTAGTTGCCATCGCTCCAAATATATTATGCCCATCCTAACCATGACCTTAGATGTTCGAGGATGCTCAGATCCGAATATCCTTCTGGTGATTTGCAACGACTGCTCAGATAACTCTGTCGCATCTGAGAGCTGTCCATTGTAGAGGTAGGCCATGGTCAAGCGAGATATCAAATCCATTGTCTCCGCGTGAGTGGGACCAAGTGTCTTGAGATAGTATGGAATGACCTCCTTGTAAAGAGCTTGAGCCTTCTCGACGTCATGGGCTAAAATGTAGCAAGCCGATAAGTGAGCAAGAGCTCGGTTCACTTCAAGGCTACCCGAACCATGAAGTCGCTTTTGGGTCTGTATTATCTCCTCCAACAATATGAGGGCTTTCTCCGTCTTGGCTTGATCCATGTAGATATCTACCAGTCCTGTAAGAGCCGAAATTGTCCATGAACCTTCAAGATCAGGCATTGTCTCCGAGATTTCGACGACTTCACCATAAAGGGCTTCGGCTTCTTTGCTCCTCGCGTCAATCATTTGACATGTGGCTACCTTAAATAACAAATGGACTCTTTCGGGGGAAGGATCTTCTTTTTGTGTCAGAGTGAGGATCCGGAGGGCATGAGGTACTGTAGCTCGCCATTGACTCCGATACATTATATCAATATCGGGAAAGCGTATATCTAAACAACTCAACACACGTAACTGCCATTCTCGCAGGGAACCAATTGACTGTAGCCAATTTCTCGTTGCAAGGTGGACTAAACGATGCATATCGAGGCGAGAGTCTTCATGCCTTAGGCGTACAAATGAATAGGAGCTGAGCAAACCGATCGCTTTCTGCTGTTCGACATTCGGATGTGGGGGAAGGAGCGAAACCAATATATCCTTTTCTTGCATACAGGCCATAAAACATAGATAGTCGGCAGCAAGGCGACTCTGTCGTCGAATTTGCTCAAAGGATGTAAGCCAGGTAGTTGCGACAGGGTTTCGAATGCTTTTGTATCGGCCTTTGTCTTCAAAATCCTCGCTCAACAAATCGATGGCGCTCTGCTCTTGTCCATCCAAAAGCTCAACATAACCTGCCAAGGTGGTTCCATTCTCGTTGATAAACGACGCAGCTTGCACAATGGCTAAAGGGAGAAAGGTCAACCGGTCGAGAAGCTTGCGAGTGCTCTCAGTGTCGTGAAGGACGTCCTTGTCAACCAAAGAGTTTCGCAAGATATGAGTAGCTTTGTTCTCGTCCAGCTCTGGTATTTTTATAATGTCCGTTGTGGCAAGGTATTGGGCCACTTTGTTGCTTCGAGTGGTAAAGAGAATGGCGCCTTGGTCACTTGTGGGAAGGTAGTCTTTCAGTCCTCCAGGTGTCGAACCATTGCTTTCAGTCCACATATCAATCTCATCAGCGTTGTCAAAAATCAGCAACCAACGTCCGTTGCTTGGTTTGCTCAGGTAATCTTTGACACGGGTCTTCAAGTCCTCCCTCGTATCATCGAGGCCGATTTCAAGCTGATCAGCCACCGTTTGGTATGCCTGTTGGAGGCTTTCCATATCAACTGCAGGGAGCCAGAAGATCGCACAGTCTGGATAAATTTCTCGTGTTTGATAAGCAAGCTCCAGGGCAATTTGTGTCTTCCCTATTCCTCCAAGGCCAAAAATAGCAATTCTTTCGGCTCGGTTCTTAACAAATAATCTTCGTTTTACCTTGCCCACGACTTCACGATCGACATATCGAGGATTCCTCTCGAGCGGAACAAACCAGCCGGCGGCTTTTCTGTGACCAAAATTGCTCTCTGATAAATGGATGGTTTGGAGGATTCGATAGCGATCGATTCGAGCTCCATGCTCCTAACGGAGTGTTAGTACTCGACATGCCAAGAAAACGATCCTCTTAGGTGATTAATAATGATATCTTACACGTATAATTGTTTCAAAATCAATGCTTGTCTTTCCTGCAAGCTGTCAGCATCTCACGACAACAAAAGAGAAGTTTCTGGAGTTCAAGTCCTACCCTCCTTTTCTGAGAGATTCATAATGCAGTCACGGACTCGAACCTTTTGCGAGGAATGATGCAGATAGGCGTATGTCGCAGACTCCATCACACTTTGCTTCTCAAACTCGGTCATGTGGACTTGCTGCAGTCCTTGCTCGACGTTGAAGCGAAAGTAACGTTTCCCTTTTACCTCATTACTCCATCGAGCCACGAAGCGACGCTCAGTACTCTCGGGCTTAGTCGCCATTCTGACCAATGTCTTTGAAAGAAATTTCAGCACATTGTCATTCATGGGGACTTGTGCGGCATTGCCAGTTCCAACAGACACCAAACATTTAACTAATGGTTTCAGGGCCCGGCTCGTAGTGCACCATATATCGGCAGCTTCTTCTTCTACTTCCTCGATAGGGTTGTTGGCACCGAATGCACCGTCCACGAATTTGTGATTGCCGATCGAAACCGAATCAAAAAATCTGGTTGCAGCCGAAGTTGCCAATGCCGCCTCAGAAATCGTTGCTGATAGCGCGATCTCATTTGACACAGAATAGCTTCGAACTCGTGTGACTTGAAATGTATCTTTGGAGGTTGTGCAGACAAAGGTTTTAGAGCGACGAGGCTTCCCATCATTCATCAGGTCAGTTGGCAACAACCCAGCACGAAGGATCACGTTTTCAATCGCCATTTTTAGCTTCTTGCTGTCGTACTGTGATACGATATTCCCGGACCAATCGACAGGTACATTGTTGATTTTCTCGCTGAAGACCGATTCCATCAATTCGGTGTATGCAAGGATACACTCCTCGACCCCCATTTCCAGCCGTCCGAGCATTATAGCGATCAGTCTAAATATGTGTCATATGTCAGGGCAGCTTTTGCTAAATCTTTTACTGATACACACCCTCCTGTACTTGTACCTCCAATCAGGTCGAAGACATCACACGGTTTGAGTAGTCGGTCATCCTCACGCTCTGAATTGAGTTGTGTCATGATATCCTTTAATATCAGAAGGCTTGAGAGTCCCCTCACACCCCCACCATCTAGGGATAAAAGGCATAATCCATTAGTGTCAAGTGGGCTGGGTCCAATCTCTGTAGCCATAACGCAGTCTATATGTTGAGGTTCCTTGACGTAACAAATGATCAGACATAAGATGAGATAGGACAATAACAAGTTCAATATTAAATATCTATATTGCCGGGGGCTTCTGTGGTTTATATTTCAGGCAATTCTTCACTAGACTAGACAGCAATGCATAGAACAAGGCGCTTAGGGACAGGACGGAAACTGGCTCTCTGCCGATCGCTCCCGAGACTGGCTTAGACCCAGCTGCGCCCCCATATTATTAATTTTCCATAAATAAACTTAGGATGGATTTTTTGCGTCTCGAAATAATAGAAGTCCAGAGTGAAACGATTACATGTAATAGTTTGTCAAGTTTAATGGCTGAAAAAATACCAAGATGTTGAGGTTTGCGGTTTTGGTATCAATATAGACATTTGAGTTAAAGCTCGCCGAAATGCGGTGTAACATTATTTCTGGATAATGTTATAATGGAGTGCCTTAATAGAGCCACCTATTCATGTATTCAATACATATATGCACACGTGTCTGAGCAATGGACGCGGAATTTCAAAGTCAATCAAACAAACCTTGGATGGATGAACGGATATTGGAGCTAAATTGACTGAGCCTGGAGTATTATGTCCAGAGAAAGCAAAAGTGCAATGTAACAGAGACGAAAATAAATTATTGCAATTGAAAGAGTGCAGTAGTCTGTCCCAGAACGCTGCGGGCGTATCGAGAAATTCCAACGCCAGCAAGAAGAAAGGTATCGTCGATGTCATTGATCGTAGAGTTTAGCAGCACATATCGCAGCAATCCATGCAGCATTCACAACTCTCCTCGCATAAGAAGCAACAACACATCACGGCCAGACTGAAAGAAAAGAGATCACATTAGCATTGTTCCAACTTTCGATGACAATATGGATACTTACCAACTCATGAGACATCCCTTGTCTGATTTCTGCTCTGGTGCTGCTGCTGCAGGTGGTGCTTGCTGGGGGTAGCCCATCTATGAATCGATAAGTACGGAACGTAGGATGTGTGGGTTACTGATATCAAGACTAACCTGCTGCTGCGGAGGGTAGCCCTGGGGAGGGTATCCCTGAGGAGGGTAGCCCTGCGGAGCATAGCCTTCTTGCGGGGGGTAGCCATATCTGTATTTATAAATTGATCAGAATCATGTTCAGCGTCTTGGTGAAGACACAAGCTCGCTGTAGACCAGGCTGGGGCTTCCACGGTCGCAAAGCGCACGGAAGTCGACCAATCTCAGCCTTCGCGCCTTCAATGATTGGTGCGAGGTGGACAGGTAAAATCGAGTTCTGAGTTGATGGGGATTGCTTACCCTTGCGGAGGGCCCTGCTGATATCCTTGCGGAGGGTGCTGGGGATAGGACATGGTGACGGGAGATCTTCTAAAAGCAAGGCGGAACCAATTAGCGACTTGATAACAACCAAAACTATAGGGCATTGCGGCGCCTTGATGTGATGCGACTAGAATCACAAAGGAGGGATGGCAGCCACAGCGGTTAAACCCACGTACCTGGGATAAGGAAAAGACGGAGATTGGTCGAAAGGGGGAGGCTGTGATGAGCCACCGGAATAAGTGAGTGAAGCGATGGAAAGAAGATGAAAGGTTAGGTTGGTGAAGATGGGAGGTTAAGAGTGTCAGGAAGAAGGAGAAAAAGTTAGGTAACTCACTGTCTGGAGATTGTATTGCAGAGAAGGAAATTATTGGGGTACCTGAGAGGTACTTTGCCGGTGCGCCCGATAGGGGATTCTGTCTGCCAAGACTTCAGGGCTGAGGTACCTCCGAAGTACCTTTTGATCTTTCCCCCTTTCCCCTTCTTCTCCACACGGGCCATGTTTGTTAGTAAATATTGATCCTGGCCTTTTTTTGGACTTTTCTTTTGGTTCGTGAGTCATTTACAAGCCAATACATTCACTTTCAAACTAACAAACCATGGGAAGAATTACATCTCAGTACTCTGGACTAGGTCCCATGAAGAAACCCCCAGTACCCATCGTGTACTTAAGGCCGCAGTATTACCTCCAAAGTTCTGTCAGCCACAGTTTTCCAGCCCTATCGTCGACCAACGTAGACAGCCACAAACTGCATCCCTTGAGTGGCATTCCATTGGTTGGGGAGCAGCCACCGGGTCACGCGGGGCTCCACTGCTGGAGGTGGTCAGCCACTCACAGCATTGGCCCGCTGCCGAGGCCTCTTGGCACTTGACCGCCGATATTGTTGCTGCCTGGGCAGTACCTGGTACTTGGGCCCTCCTACCATGGAACACTCGGATGCTTGTACCAGCTACCATGTACAAGGTGGAATACCGAACTTGAATGTCTCGAGGACTTCTCATTGCAACGTTGTGGGACCTTCAAGTTCCATTGATTATCAAAGATTAGTTCGAGCTTCTCATCACTGTCAGTACGCCCTAGTTCGTGTGAACTAGTCTCCCCCACCAAACGCCATTATTTTATGTCCAAAAATATAATATATCCAAGTCAAAAAGATCCAATCCCCCACTAACCTGGAGACTGACCATTAACCGCATCCCAAAAGTACAGTACACAAACCCGATCAAACGGTGATCTGGACAAACAGTCGCAAAAGAACACACAACAGACAAAAGACAAAACAGACTACGATTGCTCACTTGACATACGAATCAATATCAGGCCGGCAGGATGACTGCGAACCCGAGAACGGGGAACTCATCGAGTCCTCGATGTCGAGGTCTAGATCGAGGTCCAGCTCAAAATCAAACTCAAACGGCGCATCAGGAAACTCGGGGAATTGGTCAGACTCCTTCAGCAGAGCTGACTGCACCACATAGGGAGGCTGACTCTCCACCAGACGACAAGCAGCAACAGCAAGCTGATACCCAGGGTCCCTAGTCGAAAAGCGGCTAGGGTTCCGAATCAGAAGCCTCGAGGTTGAGCCACCGCCAGCCGCCTCATCGGTGACTTCCTCAGCGGCAATCATCCAATGTTTCAACACATCCATGCCAGGCTGGTTACCTCCACCCTTCCCACCGCGCTTTTCACTATCTTTCCCACGCCCGCCACGGCCCCGCTCACAGGGATTGAAATGCGTGCGACGCAGATGCGCAGCAGCATTATAATTGGCGCCGTAGCGCTTCCCATTCCGACAAGCTTTGCAATTCGCAAGGAAGTACTTGCCAGGTGAGATATCAACGCAGACCCAGACTGTGCGGACGGTAGCGTGTACACGCTCAATATGGCGGCGTAGCTCGTGCTCGCCGTGGAATCCATCTGGATGATCTGTGCAGATGCGGCAGTATGTCTTTGGTCGCGGCGGTCGCCGTATTGAGGCCTTGGGGATAGCGGCGACTTCCTTCGTTGTGCCGTTTGCTGAGGAGATGCGCAGCATCCTGTGGGGGTCAATTTGGGACATGCTGCTTTCGACGGACTCGACTTTTGGGGCAATAGGGCGCGCAGCCTGGGCGATTTGCTCTTTGGTGCGGCGGGCAGCGCGGGAGCGCTGTGTTGCCAAATTATTGCCGTCGATGGAGTCGATGGGGAGACGATTGTGGGGCATTGGGTAGCGGAAAGATGTGGTTGGGGGAGCGGATGCTGAGAATGAGGAGTTGGAGAAGGGAGAACGGTGGGAGAATGGGGAAGAGGATAAAGGATCTAGGTCAGGGTACACGGGGGAGAGAAAGGGGTCTTGATACGGCAGGCCGGATGTGGATGTTGGCACCCACTCTGTCGGGACGGAGCTGGTCGGTTCTTGATAGTTGGGTGGTCCAGTGGAGTCGAAGCGGAACATGTTGATTCCGCCGACCAGGGAGTCGGTAGTTGTGCTACGGGACATCTCCGGCGCAACTGCTGGGGCCTGGTCGGTCCAGGGGGACGTCCGGTCAGGGTGTTGAGGGAACGATGGTCCGGTTTGTCCATGATTTGCAAGTCCCAAAGTCAAGGCCGAGTCAAAGGGTTGACTAGGATAAGCGTCCAAATGCTTCGCATACTCGGATGGCGAAAATTCGTCGACATGGTCGAGGCGACAATGGGTCCGTACTGGGCCGACGGATTGGCGTTTACCTGTGACGGCACCAGCGAGCTGGTGCTGGTGGGAGACCGGAATTTGCTGGCTCTGGGAGCGTACCATGGCCGTGTGTCGATAGGAGCCTTGTCCCGAGAAGGCAGCGCCGTTCCGAGGTATGTCGGGGTAGGAGGCGTGGGAGATGTCGCGTATTGGGTCGAGAGAGAGATCCGGGGTCTGCCAATTGTCAATCCAAGGACGAATGGCGGCTGGGATTAGGAGACGAGAGCTCAGGAGGGGCGGAGCAGATAAGGTTGGAGCAAGTAACCAAGGTCACACGTACGGTGGCTCTCCGTTTTGCCTCAGGAAGACCGGACTCAGAATATGGCAACGTCCGTGGTGTCGCATCCTGTCGAGTCCGTTTCCCTAGGCTTCCAGCGTGCTGCCAGTCGGAATCCCGGTCATTGGAGGCCGGGATGAACTGACTTAGCCTTTCAATCCATAGCTGGTTTCGTTCAGATTCCGGGAGGTGGGAGTGTTCGACCAAAAAAGCTTCGTAGTATCCGGAGATGGCACTGGTGAACAGTTCGTCATCCAGATTGACAGTCATGGTGATTGGTTCCTCGTCACAATGGCCGGGGAAGTAACTGTCTATCAGTAGTCAAATGGATGGAGAGAGGTGGGTTGTATCTCTGCGAATAGTTAGCGCATGGTTTGCGAGAACCGGCAAGAAAGACGTACGTAGATCTTGAGCGCAATAGAAAAATTAAAAATTAAAACGAAACTGAAGGCAGGTGGAACAACAGATCTTATCAATGCAATCAAGATGGAGAAGATCTGCGTTGAGATAAATGTACTTTGTATAGTAGAGGATCGGGGAAGAAAACGATTAGACAAGAGTATCGCGAGTTGGGTGAAGAAATAGATGCAGATTGGGCAGACGAGTAGATAAAAGAAAAGAACAAAAGTTCAGATCGACGATGAAGGAGACTCCCCACAAAGTGAGATACGAGAATTGGCACTTTAGACAACTACAACAATACTCCAAGAAACATGGAAGCCGATCATCGGTCTGGACCCTAAGATGTTTGGGTAGTGATGTATTTCCTCTTTTCGCTATTTTCTCCCCTATTTCTTCCATTCTAAGGCCTGAAACTTTATCCGTGTCGAGGTCAGCCATCAGCAAGCCATCTCTCACCCCCCCAAAGACATACACCCAGGTGACAGAGCCGACTACTCCTAGAAGTGAAATCCTGCTGTGTGAGAAACTGCAAACGGCCGAGAAAAAAAGAATTAAAAGTGAGGCAGCGAACCGGATCACCCCGACAGTGACCCGAACCAGCAGATGTGTCCTTGCTTACGAAAAGGTGACCCGATACATGTCGACCCTGGGGTACATGGCACAATACATAAACAAGTCACTTTTCCCTCAAGTAGCAAGCGCCTACAGCGGGAGCCCGAAAGAAACCGCAAAATCAACCCATTTTTCCGTCTAGCACAGCCATACCCCGAGACCCTCCTTGGGATCCATTTACTACGGTCGGACCAAGATCGCTCGGGCGACAGACTGCCACGTCGTCTGGTGTGGCAGCCGGGGGCATCCTGCAGATGCTGTTTGGCTCCCCGGTTCAGCGCCCAATGCCCAACCAGAGATGGCAAACAACAATAGCACACTTATTAATGAAGTAATATCGAAATCCCCGAGGAAATAGAGTGAGTCGTACAAGAACGGTTCGATTCACGTGTTACCATGGGTCACTCCCGCCGCAGTCCCACGGTTCCCCCTTTTATGCTTGTGGCTGTTCAAGGCCCATAAAACCAGTTTGCTCTTATTTGTTCCAAGATCCTCGGGGAGTTATTTTCGGCTTGAGTACTCAACATGCCCAATAATGGTCTATTTCAACTAACGGTCTGCGACACACTAGTGATGGATCATCCACTTCACGTGATGGGCTGTACAGAGACTATTTAGGGGAAACGAGGGTTTACTGGTGCGATAGTAGTACGGAGGCTCCACGGTGGATCAGTCTCCTGATCGGATAATGGTTGGACGTTTATGGCTCCATTATGATGATGATCCTGGGCGTTGGCAACTACTGACATTAGATTCCTTAGACTGAGCGGTAATCTCGGGATCAGAAGAAAGAGACAAAAGTACGGAGTACCGCAACCACGTTGTAAGTCGAGGTGATCCATCACGTCAATCTCTGTTTCAGGATAAGTTTTCATGAGAGTGAACACATAGTACGGGGTAGTCAGTGGGGATCGCCGGGCTGGGCATACTCACACCTAACGAGGGAATCCTTCACTGTAGTTGACAATTTCGATGTACGATGTATCATTCTTCCCGTCCCGAGACAAACGGAATAATGTCTCCCGTCGAATGGGCGGGTTTCAATATGATCATCTATCGCCTATAGGCCGCTCTCACCATTAACTCACGCCCTCATCCCCTGACCTGTTTTGATGGACTTCATCATTTTAGGGGGGAAATGGAGAGACAGAATACGGAGTTCCTGTGTCGATCCAGTGCATCATCCATGTCAAAAGCTCGTCTAGAACTGTAGGCGTTACATAGCCCAAGCGCTGATAAGTCTGTCCCTGCATTAATGCTCAGAGCTTCTGAGCTGATACCTGCAGTTAGATGTTGTCTTGAATAGAATAGGTCACATGTGAGACTTGCAAACCTCTAAGGTGAGCCACCTTTGAGCCACTTTGGATGATAGGCTGTAAATTCCTAGCGTGTGCGCACAGGCAGAAGTCATTCCAATGCATGGCACTGAAACGGGAAACATATTGATCGAATATGAGTATGCTCCTCATGCCCAAACCTCAGCTGATGGTATTGACTCCCCGAGCTCACAGACATATTGGGCTCGGGATAGCCGTTTGGAAATCTATATCTTCCATGTCTGTGCTTTTCCGGTTCGTATACTTCCGCAATATCTCGCAACCACATGCCAGCCCTCCCCGGGATTTAAACGCATGCAAATGCAGCCTACTTCCCTATGCTGATCGCGTGACATAGGACAGCCTAGCCAATTTGCCGACAAGCGATAGAAGGAGTGAGTTGGTTCTAATGGCAATGAATCCCAGACGCCGATTCAGTTGAGCTGCAGTGTTTCATGACTCGTGGAAAGCGCATATCAGCACAGATCAGGATGCCATGCAAGTTCTATGGTCCAGTTTCCAAGCAGGCTGGATGTTTGAGTCAGTAGGTTAATTTTGTCTACTTGCATGATTTGTTTGCTTGGTTATGTATGTAGCTACGCCTCGAGCCTAGGATGCGTCCTTTGAGGCTCTTCGGACCTTCCTCTAGAAGGCCGTGGATATATATTCCTGCTATAAGACAGGGATGCCCAGTGTTGATTAGATTTAATTTAGCTGGTACGAGGATCTATTATAGGCTGATACTATATATCTTGTGTGTGCGTGTGATATCATTACACTAACAAGACACACAATACATTCCGTTGTTGGGTACTCGGGCAGTGAATAGGTTCTTCTTTCTATACGATTCGAGGTAGGATTGTTGTGTCGGTAATGATTTCTCCAAGATGACGTTCCAGTCCGAAACGTTATCAATAATACTCCTATGGTTGGATTTACTAGATCTATGGGGACCTCGTGAACCACCATATATATAATAGCCAATAGTGAAAGTGACCGAAGTACTAGAAGTGCCTAATGACTGTTTCAAGCTGACGTTCGAAAATCTACTTATTACCCAATGCTTCATAAGTGCCTATACATAGCGCGTAGGCATGCTTATCATACACTTTGACGTTAGTCGAGAAAATGATGCTTGATAGTGACATGTGACAGTTATAGTTATCCGTAGCGTATGTTTTTTTTGGGAATGTCGGGCCATACGTTCACTATATAGTACATAGCACCTATATTAATAGGCACAGTTTCAGACTGAAGCCGAACAAGCCGAAATTCACCAGAATATTCCAGGTTACGTGCAACTCTGGATTTGACGTCAAGTTGCCACACTGGGGCCCGTTTTCCAGGGCAGATAGCCGTTGGAGACATGGAACGGCTCGTGCTGTGGGAAGACGATACTTGAATGATAGGAAGCAATACACATCATAGACCAAGGGGCTTAATGATGCTATATAAAGGGGAGAATCTTGCTGTGAAATCGATAAAGCATTCAACTGCACGTGATACCCAAGCCACGTCATAATAAATCCTCCAGGGGGAAATAATTTATTTTTCTCCTATAGATGTTTAATCAAAGAAGACAAGACTAACCCCTGAATGAATTGAAACTTCCTCAAAAGACCCTTTCCCTCGTCCTTAACCCCCATTAATTCCATCTTCAACACCACACCATGCCAGACTCAACCCTCTACCTCTACACTTCCCTGACCGCGGGGTCATCGCACATCATCACCGCGACCTCCCGAATTGAGACAATCCTCAAAGCGAACAAACTGCCCTTCCGCGCCATTGATGTTGCCACCGATGAAGCTGCCCGGAAGCTCTGGGGCCGACGCTCCAAGGGCAAGAAGCTTCCAGGGCTGGTGAAATACGGCGATATTGTGGGAGTATGTGACTGCCCCCTTGCATGGGATGCCAGAATCCAACACAGCTCTGTTATACCCAGATCACAATTCTAACACCACCGGCTTGTAGGATCTAGAAGAAGTCGAAGAATGGAACGAGTTTGGCGAATTACGTATGGTAGTAAATAGCGTGCAGGACCTAGGGGGCATGCCCGCCACCAGCTATCCTGCCCCAGCCGCGACCGAGACCAAAACCCAGCCGACACCCGCCACCCCCAAACCCTCCACAATCACAATCCAAACCCCTGCCGTTACCAAGCCCGAAGACAAGAAGGATGATACGGCCGTTCTGGCGCTGCGCCAGGCCAGCTCGGAGGCTGCCACCAAGGCGAAGGCCAAGACAGATGATAAGAAAGAGCCGAAAGAACAGGCTGCAGAGGTACCTGTTGCCAGCCATACGCACCGTGGCTCGGTGGCCCCCGAATTGCCCGACACCGCTCCCGATTCACCAAAGTCTACGAAACGCCCGGCCCTAGTTCCCGAACAAGCGGCCGTATCATCGGCAAACTTCCACGCGGATAATGCGGAGGTGCTGGGATTGGTTGAGCACCATCGCTCATCCAGGGTGACTACGCTTGAGAACGCGGATCAAGACAAGGCGGTACATGAAATCAGACAGTCCATTTCTGCGGAGCCTACGGGCAACCTTGATGCTCTGCGCAAGGAGGCCGCAGAGAAGGCGAAGTCCGAGCCGATTGAGGAGGCGCCGAGTCCGATCGTTGATGTGGCCGTGGAGAATAAGGAAGAGCTTATGGAACCCAATGAACCTAAGGGCAATGCTATCGCTGAAATGATTGCGACGGCTGTTGTGCCTCAAGCACTCAAGCCGGAGCCTAAAAGGAGGAGGCCAAGAAGACGGAAGATGTGAAGGATGATACCAAGGCAGGGCTGATTCCCACAAGCAAGTCCGCGGAGTAAGCAACTACGAGGATTTGGGGAAGTTGCTGTTCACGAATTCGATGATTATGACATCTGTACATCAAGAATGCCTGACAAGGTTGCAATCGATTTTTTCGTACATTCAGTATGAAAATGTAAATAACTTCGAAAGCGTGGACAGTTGACTTCCACATGTACATGCCATTCATAACTCGTGATTAAGAATGTATAATATAAAAAAAATAAAAAAAATTTAAAGCGAAGACCACTGAAATGAGGCCAAAGATAAAAAAAACACCCAAAACCCCTTTTGTGCTATGTACCCATTTCGTCTCTAAAGCTCTGTGCCGCGACGCTTCTGGACAGCCTGGCGCAGCTTCGCGATGACGTCGGCGGGGTCTTGTGCGCCGAAGACCGCTGAACCCGCAACGATCACATTGGCGCCTGCATCGGCGGCCTGATCAATTGTACCGAGGCCGAGACCACCGTCGACTTCAATGTTCAGATCGGGGTAACGTTCGCGCAGGGCGGTGACCTTGGGAAGCTCAGAGGCCATGAATTTCTGACCTCCGAAACCGGGGTGCACGGTCATGACCAGAACCATCTGTAAACCGCAGTTAGTACGATTGCAATTGGAAATAAACCGGTGCGCAAGAAACGGAAATATCGCCAGAAAGGACCTGAAACAAAAAAGGAATGACTTACGTCCGGTCGTTCGGCGGGGTCCTCGCTCTCAATAATATCCCACAACACATCGACGGGGGTATCGGGCTTGATCGCGATACCAGCCTGCATACCTTCCTCGTGGATATAACGAATCAATTGCTTGGGGCTGGTACGAGCGGTAGTTTCTTTATCGGTAGGATCAGTCGCGGCGACGGAGGAAACAGCCGCCTCATAGTGGAAGCAGTAAAGATCGCAACCGGCCTTCTTAAACTCCCCGACCCATTTATGCGGCTGTAACGAAGCGAAGTATGGTCAGCAGAGCTCATGACGTCCCGGAATGACGCGGGTAATGGGGGGAAAGTCTATTAACTCACCTCCATAATCATCATGTGGCAATCGAAAGTGCCACGACCGCAGGGTTCAGAGGGACGGTCGACGCAGCCGCGAATTTGAGATACGACGGGGCAACCGATGGTCATGTTTGGCACAAAGTGACCGTCCATAATGTCGACGTGCAGCCAGTCGGCGCCCTGCTCCATCTTCTTGGAGCAGTCATGGCCCAGATTGGCGAAGTTCGCGCTGAGAATAGAGGGGGCAATGATAGCTGGAGGGGCCATGATGTATGTATGTATGGGGGAGAAGAGAGTGGGGGAGTAATTGGGGAGAACCTGGAGGGGCGGAGGGGTTATAAAGAAAAAAAAATAGTTATCTGAAGCTCTCCGCTGTTTACATCAGTGGCAAAGAGTGGATATGTTCGGGTTCACCGTAAATCCAGAAATATACTTGGACTATCCAGATATCGGTTTTATGTTTTTGTTTTTATGTTTTTATTCTTTTCCTCTTTTCCTCTTTTCCTCTTTAAAGTCCTCTCCTTTTGAAGGTAATGTCATGATGCAACCGATAAGGGTTCTGACTCTCACGTGTCTCTTGATCTACGAGCTTGACTTTTTGGTATCTCTTACAAGTTGTTCAATTCTCATTCTCAGTGATGATTTTAGGTTAGGATTGAAAAATGAAAGATCGGCATAGTCAAGACCTTGCATTGACCTGGATAACCTATTTAGGTGATGCCGGGAAGGAAAAAAAAAAATATCTTCAGTCTGCTGACCTTGATAGACAGGGGTTTACTAGGATTATCCGATCTAAGATCAAATAGGCATCGCCTGGAATCTGCGTCGAAGCTGCGGAAGTCAGGGCTGCAGCCAATCAGGAATGTATTTTTCGTACAGCTTTGCCTGTCAACATTCCAAGATTGGGAATCCCGGTCTTAGCTGTTCCCTAGCAGCCTTGCATGAATGTATATGTCTTGAATTTTAACCCGGGGGGGCTGCTGGTTGTACCACGCTATATATATGTCTTACTAGTGGCTCGATGATCGGTCGTCTGACTGTATGTACAACGCATTAATAGCTAATCTCCCCTTCGCCGATCGTCTTACAACACATCCTTCTGACTCGAAGATCGGGTACAAATACTCCAATCCAGTGCAACTCGGTATCTCAATAGCCGTTAGGATAGCCGCTTCGATGCCCAAAGAGATATGTCGTGCTTAGAAAGAGTGGGCCATTGTCCGTGCTGGTAGCGGGGCACACTGCTCCGGAGTATCGACACTTTGCACGGAGTATAGACTCCCAACATTTTCATGCTAATATCTTAGCAACAGGTTTGGATTATCATACCGATGTCATTATTTTAATTTCAAGGCTAGTTCTCAAATTCCATTTTTGATTGAGTTAAAGGGAAGATATATATACCAGCTGGAGTAGACCGGAGACATAGTGGGGTAGGTCGCTACGAAGGACATGACTCGCCACCAGTCAAATCTGCGAATGCTCCAGGGCTATCAACACGGATTAGAAATCCGCAAGATAGACCAAAGTACTTTACATGTATCGATGTAGACTCCCAGAAGCACTTGGTCATACCTCTTGAAACGATCACTGTCTCATCATTGACTGGCTTCTTAAGGGGACTATCGGCTCAAGCCGATGGAAGTGCGCGGCAATAACAGGTCTGTGATGCCCTTAGATGTTCTGGGCCGCACGCGCGCTACACTGACAGGGCCAGCGAGTACATCACCTTAACCGAGAGGTTTGGGTAATCTTGTTAAACCCTGTCGTGCTGGGGATAGAGCATTGCAATTATTGCTCTTCAACGAGGAATGCCTAGTAGGCACGAGTCATCAGCTCGTGCCGATTACGTCCCTGCCCTTTGTACACACCGCCCGTCGCTACTACCGATTGAATGGCTCAGTGAGGCCTGTGTTTCCAGGCTTTACCGGAAACTACCCGCCTCTAGACTTATTCTATGCTTTGCAATGATCTACTTCGAATCATTCTCTAACTGCATTACGGAGGAAGGGAAAAGAGGAGCCTAACAGGACAGCCCCAACTAACAAAAGGATTTCTGCTACTGAGAGTATGGTGCTTGCAATCTGAGTCCAGACTTCATTGTTTACTGAGTATACTAGCAAGTATACATTGTTTAGTTCTTTTCCTTGACCCGTATCGGATAGGTAAGTTTTTGATCGAACATAACCTGAGTCTCTCGAGGAGAGACCCGTTTTGCAGCTTTCACGGACTTGTGTGTGACAATTTCTTGTTCGCTTGTGGGGATGACCTTAACACGGCCTATCCCGCCCATTGAAACCAGTAGGAGTTGGTCACGAGACTGCTACTACGGTCATTTGAGTGTGTTACAATTGGTGTTAGCAAGAGACCAAGCATAATAATCCACTGGTTTGAGCTTCTGTGCTCTTCAATCCACTTTTTCTTATTTAGTCGTAAGAATGAGTGAAAGGGAACTAGGTGGACTGGGAGTGAATGGAAATAATCAACTCGAGATAAAATGAAATGGAGATAAGTGAGGAAAAGAGAGAGAGAGGTGGACTGAGAGTAGAATGTCCAAACTTCGAGGATGACAACGATGGGCATAGCCCTGGAGGGACCTTCCTGGGAGGTTGGGGTAGAGTGATTGAAGGAAGGAACCCATTTGTTTCTATTTGATATTTGATATTTGATATTGTATTGGACTGGATTTTAGTGAAGTAAACCATAGACATAAACCATTGATTACATTAATTGCGAGCCACCAGGGCCAAGGCTAAATACATAAATAATAGACCAGTGTCTCTAAATAGACCCAGCCTTAGCGAAAGAGACAGAACTCTTCTGCTTTGGCTTCATAGCCCATCCAGAAAGGCAGGTCCAGCCCGCGCCACTCTTCCTCCCCTCATCAAACAACGCACCAAGACCCTCAAGCAAGATAGATCGCTCACGACCCATCTCCACTCGCAATTTCAGTAACCACTGCTCCCACATCCACCCCCCAATCAATCCAGTCATACTAGCAATATCCGCAGTGCTACCAATCGGCCCCTGCACCGCCTCGTAATCTTCAATATGGCTCTGCACACGCGGCGGAGGAGTCTCGCGCAGTGGCTCCTGCTCGACGGGCTCAGTACCCATCGGGAGGAACATCCATGCGCGCTGGGTGTCGACGAATCCGGAGTTACGGAGACGACCGACGAAGCTCTTGGATGCTAGTGGGTCGTACCCGCGGTTGCGCAGGTTGAAGGCAAACTCCACTGATGTTGCGCTGGCGTACGGCCCGGCCTGCGAGATCTCGGCGTCAAGAACTTGGAACTCGAGGTAGCCGCCTGGCTTGAGGCATCGCATGCATTCCTTCAGAACGAGGTCGTACTCGTCGCGGTCCTTGCCTACGGGACATTCAGTCTTCAGCAGCGCGTGCAAGGAGCGGGCGGAAATGACGTCGAACTGGTTGTTACCAAAGGGCAGCTCCCAGAGGTTGGCCACGGTCACCTGGCGGTGGTTGGGAGGACCCTTGATGGCATTGTTTACGGTCTGATTCTTGGAGGAAACAGTGTAAACCTTGACATTTGGGAACTCGTGCGCGGCTTGCCACGCCCAGTCACAGGAAGAGTGACCACCAAGGTCTAGGATGCGGAGGCTGCGCTTGCGTGGTCCCTGCGTGGTCTTGGGCTTTGATGAGGCCCGTGCAAGAATGCGCCGCGCAGGACTTGTGAGCAGATTGCCGCCGTTGAGAGACCGGAGAGCATCCATGGCCCACATGGGTTGGGACAGCTGAGCAAGAACCAGCTGTTCCTTCTCCACCTTGTCAAATTGGGCCTTCTCGGCCAGCTCAGTGGTAATCACCGAGTTGCGGGGTGCCTTGGCGAAGGGACCCCTGTATGCAGGGCGCTCAGGGCGAACAAGCTCATACTTGCCCAGCAAGCAGTTGATGTGAAGGTCGTTCATGGCGAGGCGCATGGATTGTACGGCATCGAAGCGCATGTTGCGGTGCATGAACCCGTCGGTCTTGGTCGACCGTTCCCGAATAGACTGGAATCCTTGCCAGTAAATTGAATCCTTGCTAGCAAGGACCGGGGGCTGAGGACTGGGGGACTCGGGAACGCCTTCGACGAATCGCACCATCTTCTTGGAAGAATCTTCTGTGGTGTCTTTGACTTCAGCCTCGACCTTATCAGACTCCTCGAATGATTCGACAGGATCAACGTCATTCACGGGATTTGTCTCATTAAGAGCAGAGAGGTAAGATGCTTGGGCAGACAGCCAGATACTGGTCCGATCGTGGCTTGCAACTGCACGCTCCTGCAACTCTTGGTCATAGCACTCATCGTATTCATATCCGTTCCCAGAACGGGGGATCTCCTGAACCTGAACTGCGTCAAACGCAGCACTCATGGGGCTATCCTGGTAGATAGACCGACGAGTAGGTGTGTCACAGGGAAGTCGAACAGCAGTTAGCGGGGCCTCTTCATCACGAACCGCTGTGACTGGATCATCGTCAACAGGGCGCTCAGGCCACTCCACTACCTGCTCCACAATCTCTCCTTCATCCCGATGCCAAGGGAGGTTGTAAAACCCCTCTGCAGCTGCCGATGACGGCGGGTAATTGGTGTTGGGGATTGACCACGTGTGGCGTGCCCGGGGTGCCAAAGAGGCAAAGAAGCCACCAGGAGATGGAATGCTCAGGTCACTGAAACTGTATCCAGACAGCTCAGATGCGGGAGTGACCCCGTCAGCACTCCTCGGGCGGGCGGGAGGCGCCTGGAGTTGCCACATCTCACCCTTATCCTTTGAGATCTCGGACCATGAGTCGGGTGTCTCATCCAAGTGAATGTGGTGGAGCATTGCCAGTGCCGAGTTAGGCAGAAAGTCACGTTGATCATCAGGCTGTGGAGCATCGTATAAGTCATCATATTCGTGAATTGGCTCATTATTCAGATGAAAGGGTGGCGACAGCGACGGCGAGAGCGGGGGTGAATACGCCTGGGCAGCAGTGGGAATCCGGGGGAAATTTCCCAGCACATTACGCCAGTCCTCGTGTGGGTTCTCAATAGTAATGGGCACAGTCTGAATATCTGAATTGGCATCCGCATTATCTAGGTCGCTTTCACTTCCGTCCAGATCTCGGCGAACATGTATATCATGTGCATCCCAGTTGGTGTCTGGCAGAGATTGGGAGTCTGGTGTAGCCAGTGCACTGATGATTGATTCTTGGTCTGAAGTCATACTACCATCCAGCGAAGGCGGGGCATATGATGCAGGTACCGAACGACTGAGCATCGACAACGCTGCTGGCGAGACTGGGATCTTGGATGGAGGCGTCGGCGGCACTGGAGATCCCTTGAGGGACCCGTTAATTGACGGCCACAATGCAGAAGCGGGAATCTCAAGTGTCAGAGAGCTTAGAGGGCGCTTCCGACTGCCAGTTGAGGTCACTGAGTTTCGGGTGATTGGTGTAATTAAGCTCGATGGCCGCGTATCGGGGGAAAGCAGGAATCGCTAATTTCGGTCCCATTGTCATCACTATCATAATCTGTGGCATCATACAAGTCGTCGTATCCCCGGAAGTCTTGCATCTGGGACTGCCATTCTGTATCTGAACATGATGAGGTAGTCCCGGCTGAGAGGGGCGACATTAGGCGGGCGAGCCGGGCGTGTGTTGGTACCGCGAACCCGCTGGTCTGCAACTTCAACTTGGGACTGATAGCTGCCGGTGTAAGTCTGGAAGGAGCTGAGCCTTTGGGACTTGTTTGAGCGAAATGAGACTCGCGCGTATCCTCCATTATAGTATTAAGCACCGTCCCTCGGGCCTGCCGAAGGGGCGGAAATCGTACAGTCGAGTTACGAAGTGTGTCGGTCATCTTGAAGACCTGATCAAACTGTTGGATGTTGGTTTTGCGTGACTCGGTCACGGAAATATCTATGGGTATCTCGACTCGTAGGAAAAGGCGACGCCGATCAACGGGTCTGTGAAGTGAATGATAGAAAGCAAGATAACAAGATAACAATAAGAAATAAACACAGATGCAAAAGCTACCAGAGCTATAGGCACCGAGCATAAGAGAATGAAGTCAACGAAACGAAGAACGCTAGCTTTCACAGAAGTTGTGGCAGTTGGGGAGGGTTTATAGTCAATTGCGCGGTTTCCACCAGCCACGGGGGCATGTGCAGTGACCAGCCGATCCCTCTTCAGAAAGAGTCACTTTGTTACAGAGACTACTGCAGCATTGGGCACAATCCATCCAATAACCCTGGTCTTGGGGGGTAGCGGGCATTGATATCATTGGCCGTGAGGCAATGGGCGCGTCGCGCTGGACAGGGGGTTCACCCGTGAGCACAGAGCCAAGACCTTTTTTTGAGCAAGAATTGTGTAAACGAGGATCAAAAATGGGAAAATGGACGAATGAGATTTGTAGATAGTGTGACGAACCGCCTGGGGGGTGGGATGAGAGTGAGATGCAGTGTGAAGAGGTTGGTGATTGGTCGAGTGTAAGCGCCGGGCTACTATCTTTAGCCAAATTAGTGACCTTTGGAGGTGGATGGAACATCAATTATGCACTTTCCCGGCACCTAACCAGGCCCAACCAGGCCTAAACAGGCAAGAAACCAACATAATTAATGCATGATAAAAAAAAGTCGGTAAGATGAAGTGGCGATCATCGGGCAGAGAAGGGAAAAAAAGAGGGCAAGAGGGGAAATGGTTACCAAGTCCAACACAGTACATATGTCACTTGTACGATCTTAGCTGCCACTTTTACGAGGGCGCTCAGAGTCAGGCTGAGTAAATTTCAGTCCGGACTCAGAATGGTTGTGATTGAATGCTCGTTGATTGCTCGCTGATTACTCAGACTACTTAACTACAGGCATCTATTAAGCACTAGGTCCACCCTTAGTCCATACCTAAAGGAGCACTTTGCCCTAACAATATTGTTTATTGGGGTCACTTTTTGATACCCCTCCTCATTATACACCGATTTCCCAAGGTATACGATCTCCTAGTCTTATTCCCCTTTTAAAAAAAATTAACGCACTAATATACGAGAACGCAAAATTAGGCGGCACCTACCTTATCTATAACGGGGCGACGTAGGAGCAAAATCTTAGGTGACCTAAGGCTAAGAAGATATACTGCGGAGGTATTACCCCTGCCCTTTTTCTTCACACACATTAAAGATATCATCACCGATATCAAGCACATAACCAAAGCCACTGATGTTCGGCCTAAGGTGAATCGCAGTGACTCATTGCGGGCTTCCATGCTTTCGACAGTGGTCTTGTAAATGTGGACTCGACAAGGACCTGGCCTGGCAGTCGGGGTGGACTTCGCCACCACCGCGCATGTGTCATTGGTGTAGTCACCGCCAGACCACCTCACATTCCATGGGACCTTCAATGTTTTGTCAGTCACATTGATTAACACTCCATATTCCTCGGGCCATGTCTTTTTGGCTGTAGCAGCAACCAGATCCACCTTGGAGGCGGAACTTTGAGTGGTGAAATAGGTTGCCCAAGTGGTCATGTTGTCAATCATATTGGCGTTACTGAGCCTATTTTCAAAGGTGTCCTGGTCGCAACTCTGCCAGGTTACGGTCCAGCTCACCTTGTACCGTCCATCATTTTTGAAAAGGGTGGAGTAAGAATGTGCAAGGTAGGTGTTTTGGTCGGTCCAATCAGTCCCTTTAAGATCATGGGAGCTGGTCACGGCGGCGTCCAGGTCCTACAAATTCCATAAAGTGTAGGAAATTGCGGGGTTTAGGTATCTCGCGCGCTCGGCATTCTGGAAGCAAAGACAATAGGGAACCTGTCGGCGGGCGCATATGTTTCGTTGCGCTGGAAAACCAGGTCCACTTCTCGTATGTCAGAAGCATTGATTATGGTCCCTATGCAGACAGCGAGCAACCAGCTCGCCCTGGGAATGCGCATGTTGAGAGGGAGTCGGGCCTTCAAGCGTGGAGTCGGAAAGATAGGAGGGTGAGAAACCCCCGTAGATTCCTTTAGACGATGCTTCTGCGAAGAATGGGAACAAATTTACTTGTGGATGGTTAGCGTAAGATGCACAAAAGAAAATGGGGGCTACGCACTAAGGTAGACTGCGGAGGCAATCAAATAGTCGCAGGGGTTGAAAGAAGAGATGAAAACCTGAATCCTTGCTCGCACAAGGCTGAACCTTGGTGGGCAAACTTGCCACGGGGTTTAAGAGCCTGGAGGTTTCCTATGAAGCCCTAAAAAGAGCGGGTGTTGCTGCCGCCCCTGCCAAGGACTTGGCTTCTCCCTCTGTGACCAGTTGATTTCAGCGTTACAGTGCCCAGAAACTAGTCATGCATGCAGTGTTTACATTCGGACTGGCTCCTAGGTTCATAAATTAGTTCGCTTGTAATTTTTCTTGGTCAGACGTGCGACCCTACGGCTCTGGTCGGCTAAGTTATCCTCATCCTTGAATTTGTCTTGCCCCGTTTAAAATATCTACAATCTTCCATTTCGCCCCCGGTGGGCTGTATACAATGAGGTCCGTTCCTACGCTAGTTATCGATACCGTATAGCAACAAGCGTAGTAATATAACAATAAACTAAGGACTTTAGGGCTTTAGATAATCCTGGAGTAGTTGCGAAGTAAATGAAGTAGCAGATACCCTTGGATGCAGGCCAGGCGGGACGGTGCATCCTCGGAACTGTTAGGGCCTCAAATTTACATGTAAAGGTCAATAGAGGTCGTAGTTGAGGGTCAAATATTCCCTCCAATTCGAGTCCATTAGTATGTGGCCCTCAATTCCCCGAGCAGCAAACTTTTGCTGACGCTTTATTTTTGTATAGTTCAATTTAAACTCCGCGACAATGCACTTGACACCTCTTCTCGTCGTCAGAGCTGTCCAGCAATGGCTGCGGCCCTAACCCGCTGTGTTGTGAACTGCGACTTCTCCACTCCTGTTGATGCCGGAGCTACATGGTCGAGCTTTGCCAGCAGCTGGGGACTCTCGGTCAACAATCTGCTGCAGCTAAACCCCGGAATTGCCTGCCCCAATCTCGATACCAGCAAAGCGTACTGTGTGATTGGCACCGCAACGGATGAGCCCTCAAGTACCACATCCACGACTACAACAACTACCACCACCACCAAGATTTCAACCACCACCGAGTCCATCCCCAGCAACTCACCCACTATACCCGGTATCGCAACCAACTGTGATGGCTTCCACAAGGTCTTATCTGTCGACCAGTGTAACACCATTGCTGCGAAGTAGAGTACCAGCGAAGCCCAGTTCAAGAGCTGGAACAGCCAGATGGATGCTAGTAAGATTTTATCTCCCCTTTCCCCCTTGACATTCTGTAACCGGTCAGAATCTAACATTTGTAGACTGCTTAAACCTTTGGTTGGACTACTACGCCTGCGTGCATGTTCCCGGCACAACCACCACCCCGGCACCCCAGCCAACGGCTGAGCCCACGGGCCCCACGCCACAGATGCCTGGGATCGTTAGCAACTTCAAGACCTACCATCGGATCAAGAATGGCGATAGCTGCTATACGATTGGCCTGGCTGCGAAGATTACGTTGGCACAGTTCCGTGCTTGGAATACCCAGGTTGACGCGACGTGCAGCAACCTTTGGCTGGAATACCATGTCTATATTGGTGTTTAAACTGGTTAGTAATGAAAATTGCATCTAAACAAACGAGGGGATGGGATCAATCAGCCGCGGTGCCCACTATAGGGACTATGATCTTTAGGATATCAATTAGAACTATATAAATTTTTAGATTGATTCTCGTACGAGAAGTAATTCTAGTCTACTCATGGCCCCACCTTTTTCTCCCATAGTTAAGCCAAAGTCCTAATTCCTGTCTACTAGACTAGCGCCCACTCCTATGGGATAGGTATTCAAGGCATATGATCACATATTGAGGCCTGACTTATGTTGAAGTCTACAGAGTAGATGAGATCATGAAACAGCACAATGTAATGTATTGTGGATGGTTGATTGTTGTACTGGAGGAAAGGTAGGAACTAGACTACTACTAATGTAGGGAAATATCATGTGACCAATGAGAGATCTTAAGAACTTATAAGGGAAAACAATTTAAATAAGGCTAGGCTAAGGACTCTGTAGCTAGTACTAGTGCTAGTTAAAGTCTTGCTGCTACCGTGTGCTGAAGGCTGGGGGTGCTCCATGGTCCGCAAACCCAGGGTAGTACTACACCCGACGCTTTACCCGAACCAGATGTCCGGGGCGTATAGTACCGTTAATTAAAATGTAAAATCATACACGGTTTTGAAGCTGCCATCTGCTTGGTGGTATACAGTGGCCACGTGTTTCGTAAGACCCTCGCCCTGACTAAAGTCGACAACCCCAGCATTTTTAGAAATGCCGTTGAAATCGACAATCTCACGAGGTTCATGGGTTTGTTGCGCAATAAAAAACTTATAAATCGGTTGGACATTTTTGGTCAGATTCGGGGTGGCAGTTACCTGGTATGCTCTAATTAGCATGAACGCTCAGAATATTCTCGGCAAGAAAAAGAGAGCATCTGCTTCTCACTCACCGACGCAACAGGGCTTGGGATTTTGTGGCTGTCCAGTTGGGCCATGCCCAAAAGATACACAGTACCATCAGGCTGATACGGGTCAACACCAATTTGGTAATTACCTGGCCCAGCAGCCGCAGTGCCATCTTGCATACTAATGGCACCTTTCTTGGCGACCGCATTGAAGGTGGCTATTTAGGAGTGGGTTAGTATGGTAAGGTAAAATGCTTGAGCAACATAGAGAAATCAACACTCACATCCTTTGGCTTTATCCGTACCGAGAATTGCGAGCTTTCCCTGGCCCCTGCCAATCACGACACCAGTAGCAACCTCCTTTGGAGCAGTTCCTACCCCTAGGAATTTTTTTCTATTAGCTTTCCGAGCGTATGGTAAAGGAATTTATGTTGGTACAGTGACACCTACAGGCATAGATGTCGGGTGTCAACACAATTTGAAAGCTTCCACCGTCAGGAACGACTTCCTTTCTCCAGACAGCGGTAGAGAAGTCGGAACTTGGAGGTTGCATGAAAAGTGAGTACGTGTTGGTACTCTTTTGTTGATTAAGGAAATTAATGGTGTATTGAACAGACATATTGGCTGACTGTCTAGATTTTGATTTCACCTGCAGAGGACTTGTTTCAAAATGTAAATAGTAATGTGAGTGCTCGTCTGAATGTTGTAGCAAAACAGTTTTGGTGGGATCGAAGACCGCGATATATATACCTTGTGTCAAGAAAATCTTCTCCTTCCTCGTAACTTGCTAAGAATGAGCGGTCAAGTAGTCCTTTCTTATGCATCTGCTAGACGTTATATCCTATGCACAGATTCTCAATGGCATATACATCCAGTGAGAATCACTCCCGTCTTTCTTTTTCCTTTCTTTTTTTAAGATGATTGCTTCATTGGCCCCAGGGTCACAATAACCGAAGACAACGTCATTCCCTGACCTCAATCTTTCCAACGCCAAACCTGATATTTGTGATAAGAACCAAACAAATCACTCAGAGCCTGGTGAAAGGGGTTCTAGCTATCCACTTGAGCGATTTTCTGCGACAGAGTGGCGTATAGGTTCCTCATTTGGATGTTTGCCGTTGGACAAATGCAGAGATATCACAAAATTAGGCGCATTTGCTGCGAAGCTTCTGCGCTATAACATCATGATAGTCCGTACGGCAGTCTTGGTGACTGGGACATCAGCTCCAGCTGAAAAAGAATACCACGTAGTACTTTCTAAGTTCAAAAAAGCAATTATACCCTGCTTTTCAGAACTAGCGAGGTTACGTAGCTTCGTACGTGGCGGATTGTCAATCCGTGCAGCATATCCACTCGGAGCTCATCAACGCTCCTATACGAACTGAGATGACACACCGGCCTGCGAGTTGCGCCACGGTTTGCTGGATGACTTTCAGCCGCAGCAGGAGCAGAACTGAGAAGATATCAGTGGGATTGATCCATTGGGTGGCAAAGTAATCGGGGTGGTGACCGGTTGCGTGGGGTCGACGGACCTGAGAAAGTGAACATTTGTGAATGAGAATGGAGCTATTTTCACCCTCGTAGCAATAGACTGTTTCAGAAAACAACTCTTTTCTTTTTCTTTTTATTTTTGTTGGATAGAATAAAAGAGGAAATCGAGAAAGTACAGATCGATAGAAGACCAAAAAAGCAATGAACAAACAAACGGGCCGGAAACCTGGCTGAATGTGGGATTGGGAGGATACATGGCCACAGCTTGCGTAATGATTCCGCTAATAGCCACTAAGATGGGCGATCGTATACCCTGATCGTATATATTCCAATGTAATATGTACTACACCGTGAATCTGAAGCGCCCTCGCAGCTTCCATAATTGCTGTTTGCCCTTTGCCCGCACGACTTTGCTAGAAATTCAACCATTGGTCGCGGCAATGCTGATCACTGCAGTCCTGGCCGCACTTTGCCTCAAACGGCTGTCAGCTGGATATGCATCAGGTACACTGTCTGCACTGAGTGCATTCTTATGATATAATGATGTCATCTCCTGAATTAATTAAACCTCCTTCCTAGATAGTTGAGACCGCCACTTCTGCCGTGCGTCAGTATATATTACTACCTAAGCAGCATTCCGATGGTTCTGAACACTTACGAGCAGTACACATCCTCCTCTTAAGTTAGTGGAACTCTTCTTGCGCTTCTCAATGGCTTTTGATCCAACTAGTGTCACATATCCTACTGGTAACCTTCAGCACATGTTTGATCGCCATAAAGGAGACTGGGGTTTTGCTGGCCGAAATTGGAACAATCAGACGAAGGTTGAATTCCAAGCAGCTATCGCCCAGTTCATTGCTGCAGCACCAACAGTATGTCTGCTTTCTATGTGCTCATGAGATTCTTGCTGATACCTTTTCGGCCTACGCTGGTACCTATCGTGGACTGGATGCGTGGTTAGTTGTCGACTCCGCGACCCGTAAATGTGCGATCATCTACCGCCCCGGCTACCAGATCTGGTCCGGATGGATTTTGAGTCTTGCCCAGTTTACATACGCCACCACCCCGCCCTATGCCCTTGGCGGAGGGGCTCTCACCGTCTTTGGCGATATATTGGAGAATATTATCAAGACCGAAAGCCACAACGAACTGGACAAGCTCACCAATAAGTTCCTTGACACTTATAAGGTTCATGGAACTGAACGCTACGACGAAGCATCTGAAAAGAGTTTGATTGATTTCTTTGCGGTATTGGACAACTACATACCTCCAAATATGGTGGCAGTTGTCACTCCTCAAGCCAGCCACATCCAATCCCTAGATGAGGTGAAGAGGAGAGCAAACCATACCTTGGCTGTGCTTGAGAAAAACGTGTTATGAACTCAACCCCTCATCCTATTCTTTTCAATAAAAATCATTGATTAGGATTATCTTATGGGTTGTTGAATGAATTACAATCAAAATACGGCGCTGATGTTTAATAAGCCAATTAAAACACACCGAAATCCTAGGTAGTTTCCAAGACGGAACGGGCCATTCCAGTAACTAAGGTAGTCTGACAGAAAACTGGCGTATGAACAATGTATGGTATAGATGACCAATGTTGAAGACTCTAACTAAATTGACAAAATCCGCTTTTTCAACAATCTGTGCGGACCATGATAACTAACTGTAATATGCAATTTTGTATGGTATGCCTGGTACCTAATGTCATATGATGTTTCCGGTATATCACCTGGTTTCTACTATATATTCGGACTTGATATTCGACATACCCCCTAGTTCTTAAAGCCTATATTTTCCTAGCTTTAAGAGCTATCAATTCATTCAATTTCAAGCCTTCTAATAGCTTCAATTTTATTATTTTCAAGCCTTCTAACGGCTTCAATTTCTTTATTACTATACTCTCTTTAAATAGCCTCGGATCCATAGATTAGATAACTAATCTCTCTCATTCTAATTAGCTCTCTAAAGAGATACTACTTCTATCTTGGAAGCGCTTTCGTAAGGCTATCTACTAGTATAGACATAGGATGATCCGCTAAAACCCCAAGTGAAATCGCTTTTCCCGGGTTTAAAGGATTGTCTCCTTAAATAGAATCATATCCTCGATATAAACCGGAACATTTGGCCGCGGTTGTTTGTCAAGACCGCGCTTATCCACCAAGTATTTCATGCCCTATCCGTCTTCGTCAGCGCAAGCCTCCTATAGACGATTGGGCGGGGGGAAGGACTAAGAAACAAACCGTACGAACTGCCTCACCTATCTCTTTGCTTATCTCGTGTTTAGTGACTCGTGTGTAGTAAATTCGGAAGTACTTCCAATCCGCTTTAAGGGCGCTAGCTTTTATATAGCCTTTCTGACGGCGGCTATCGGGACTATACTCTAGCTTCAGACACCAATTTAGAAATCGATAGATCTCATTTGGAGACGCCTTACGTAGTGCATCCTCCGTATCCTCCTACTTTAGATCGGTAGACGGCTCTAACTATTGCCTTTATTTAGTAAGTCGAAGTTTTAACTTCTTCGTTTTGTTAGATCAGCCGTAATCCTCTGGTACCTAGGCTAGATCCTTATCCGTATTATTATCCGGGACTTGGTATCGGGCCTAGTAGATACGCTCTATATTCGATAAGTCTACTAGTAACGATTTTGTTCTAGTGCTTAGACTTGGCTTCTTCCTAGTAACCATTCGACTCGCTAGAGGGGAGTATTCCGACTCGGTGAGATCGGTCTTAGAGGAATCGGGCTCGAACGGTCTATTATCGCCGGTGTCGATAGGAGAGGTATAAGAAGATTAGCTTGTATTTCCGTGATTGCTAGTATAGGGCGTCCTCCGACGAGATATAGCTAATAGATTTCGCCGACCGTACGAAGAAACTACCTCGGAGCTCAAAACGTTTAACGTACGACTAAATAGGAGATTTGGAGATTGCCTATTATTCATGATTTCCTGGTACTGGCGAGGTTCTCGATTGATACAACCTTGAAAGTGCCACATGGAGAGACAGTATCATTGACTCTCTACTCTCTACTCCGTATCCCGTACTCCGTCTATGGCCCTAGTTCGAATGCGAACATGCCAAGATAATGTGGGAATGATGCCAAGGAACTAACGGTATTTATGCTGGAGACACTGGATTGACCAGGGACCAGTACAAGTAGGGTATTTCAAGGGGGACAGAAAGTTTGATCTAAACCTGCTCACAGCCCTGAGGGGGACTATAAAGCAGTCCTTCTAAGGTTCCAATGAGGCTGGACTTTTCTCCGTCTACAACTCCCCTTTAAACCACCGCAACATCCAAAGTCGACCAATCATGTCGCTACTTCGAAAGCCGATGAAGCAATGCCACTGGCTTCTAGGTTCCATTCGTAACATCTATGAATGGCTCCATTACTCTGAGCCTACCTAGGGCTATACTATCTACCGGACGACCTACACTCCCCAATCCAATGCCGCTTTCCCGCGTATGGTCGACCTCACCACGAAGTATATGAAAGACGGATTCTACAATTATTACGAATCTTCCTGTCAGTACAACTCTAGGGCAAATGAGTTCAAAATCACTCCCTGGGATAAAATCTGGCCTAATTACCAGCCACGGGTCATTGAAGATGCTTCCTAGTTCAACGGAGCATCGATAGACCAGCTCCGCGTGCATTTTAGGGCCGAGGCAACTGAGCGTGATGTGCTCGATGAGTTTCCTGGCTATCGTATGTTTATTGTCATTGACGAAGAAAGTTTTCACACGTTACAAACCGCTCCCCTTCCAGAGGACTCGAAATACGAAGAGAAGAGACGTTATTATGTGAACCTCGTCGAGGCGTTGGAGGTAGATCCATATGAGTCATTTCTAGGGTGGATGAAGTGTTCCCTGCCCTCGTTGTTCGAGGTGTGGTCGGATATGCAGGACGGGGCTTATATGAAGGACAGTTATTCGATGAGACCCGACGGTACTGATGTTTTATAAATTTGTTATGTCATGTGGGACTTGAATACTACAGTAACTAGACCTAAGATTCAATAGCTGCATATTGTCAGTTCTGCGGCCGAAATTGTTTATTGTATTGAACCGCCTAGGCAATCAACGACCCAAGATACGATTGACACAATGTCTAAAAAATCACTATCGTCATCCATCCTCTGAGTCTTTTATAACAGCCTGAATTGTTTTGTCATCAAAGCTCATTGCCCTTCAAGCAAAATTTAAGAGACATCTTGTATGAACTATATATATGTATCTATCAATTCACATGGTTACCTACTCAGCTTCAGTCCAGATCATCCGTGTCAATCTTCATATCTGACGCATCCGCGTTCAACTTATCCAGAGCCTCGATAGTAGGTGTGACATTGGATCCCGTCCTCACTGCGAATAGTCGTCTCATGTCAGCTATCTGGCCCGTGGCCCAGTTGGTATTTACTGTTCCAATATGCTGAAGCCGGTTTCGGAACCATTGATCCCACCAATCTTGGGAATAGACTGCCTCATTTCCATCGGCTACCAGACATTTAAGTTCAAAAGTCGGTCGAGATCAAATCTTACAGTCAGGCCCTAAGCCGCAGAATCCAAATTTATTGCAACATCCCTGAGCACAGGGTTTTGAGACAGAGCACTCTGGTTCAAAATCACAGCTAGCGACACAGTCGTCACCGCAGAAGTCATCGGTTATTCCGCAGTAACCGAATTTGTTGCAGAAGCCAGTGGCACAAGGCGCGAGAGCACCGCAGCCGTATCTGGGCCGGTTACAATGAAAATCGCAGCAAAGATAAAGTCACAGACAAATACTGCAATGGTATGTTACAGACTTCTCCGACGACGGTACATGCAACTAACTCCTTCCTCTACAAGACGTACTTAGTGATTTCACTTTGGTTCAAAGCACCGCGGATATGCCTGAAGCCGAAGCTTGCTCTTACTGCTACACAACTCGCCTCCAGATGATGCAACATACGCCTTACTCGATGTACGACCACTATTATCAAGAGGTTCTAGTAGAACTGAATAGCCGATGCGGCCTCTCCGGACCTACCGACATCCTTGAGATCCCCTGGGCGACCATCGAGGAGGAAAACGAGTTCTGTGTCTCGGACAATTACTACACAACAGTCCAAGGAGACAACTGCACATCCATCGCAGCGGCAAACAAGGTCTCATCCGCATCACTTTACACGGGTATCCAGGAGAAAATTGTGGATTGCTTCTCCATTAAAGCAGGCCTCAAACTTTGTCTTCCTTTGACTTGCGACGATACATACTCCGTCGAGCCAACAAACAATTGTACCGCGATCGAGTACGCTTACTCGCTTTCAACCGGGGATCTCTGCAAGTACAACCCTTGGATCTCCTTCGACTGCCAGCAAGATTTACGGCATGAATCTTTGTCTATCGGCACCCGGTGGTGCGCACTCCAATGCCACAGCTAGTACAGGTTCAACTACTCCCAGTAAATCAAACGGGTATAGTGAGGCTTGGTCTCCCCCACCGACGAACGCGACTGTGGCCGAGGGAACAACCCTCAATTGTGGAAGATGGCATGAGGCTGCTGCCAATGAGACCTGTGTTGGAATTTGTGCCCAGGAAAGTATCACACATGCTTTGTTCCTGGCTGTCAACCCTTAACTGGATGATGTTCGATGCTCGGAGACGTTGCAGACAGGCAAAACTTATTGTGCTGGTCCGTTGTATTTGTGGAATGATGCGGAAACTTCTTCCAGTAGTAGTGCCAGCGAATCGGCTTCTACAACTTCGGCCGTTTAGCTGAGACTCAATTCGAACTATATATACTCCGTGCCCAGGTGGCCGCAGACATCAACTGCTATTATAATTTATTCAATCAGTATATATAGGAACCCCCTATAGATCACTTCCCAATTACTTGCTGCATCTGAGTAAGCAATTTAGGGGTTATATAGCTGAGCATATTGCTCTTTAGAAATACACACTCATTTTACCACTTGCTCTACATAGTAAGATACTGGTATCAAGTCATCTTTGGTCCTCTATTGTTCGATAGAGTAGACTCCTTACGCCGCTAGTGACCTAGGGGCGTAAGGAGCACTAGTAAATTCGATAACCGAATGGTAAGCCTAACCAGAAGGACCTCTGGCATCAATAGGACATGCTACTAGTATGTTACAGAATAAGGCTGGTGGTGTCAAAGATGGTTCTATTGCTATGGCATAGCTATGTAAGATATCTCCCAGAGCTTAGTCATAGGTTAGTCATGGATAGTGCCGTCACATGGATCCATTCAGACACGCTCAGCCAGCCAGCTTTACGTAAACATCCAATCAGGGAAAGTAGTGACCGAAGTGCGAATAGTCATGTTTACTGTAAAACTAGATGGGCGTAATAGGACTTGAGGCTTGTCCAGCAGGGAATGTGCTAAAGCATGTTTGACGGCTGTGTAGCGGATGCAGGTGTGCATAGTTTGTGCGAGAAATAGGAAATGATTAGAAGGCGAAGGCATTATCAAGCCATTTGTTTCATAATAATGTGTGCTAGTTGATCTAAAACAAGCCTCCAAAAGTTTCTGATCTATGGTCATCCAAACTCTAGAAAATATGGCCAGGATTTCAGTTCTTGGAATTCATCGACTGCTTATATGGGGCCGTGCACGTGATCACCTCCGACGGTTTCTCTTTTGCACCTTGCCTTACCAACTCTCGAGCGCTGTCGACATTCCTGTTTCTAAATCTTGTGATATTCATTAATTTAAACCCTTCATATCCAACCCGCTGTATCGTCGGGCATCGGCAGAATACGTATCACAGCTCTGGTCCAGCGCACGTCTTCTCATCCAAGCACCCCTCCAAGCTTTCTTATCCACCGCAACCATGCTTTTCTTCAGGTATGCTATGGCGCAAAGCGCAAACTCAATCCGCAAAGGTGAATACTAATAGATGCTTCATTACAGCTTCTTCAAGACTCTTACCAACCAGACGGTCACCATTGAGCTCAAGAATGACATCCGCATTCGTGGAATCCTGAAGTCTGTCGACCAGTACCTGAACATCAAGCTTGACGATATCGAAGTATTGGATCTGGCCAAGTACCCTCATCTGTCCTCGGTGAAGAACATGTTCATCCGAGGCAGTGTGGTGCGTTACGTGATGTTGCCTCGGTCGGAGGTTGACGTGGGGTTGTTGGAGGATGCCACACGGCGTGGTAAGTTGTGCTTCGTTCCCCGAGCTGAGTTCTTGATATCAGTTCATGTTCTCGCCTCTCTTAAAGCATTTACGAAGGTTGCGACCGCGATTGCCATTCGAATCAATACTAATATAGACTCATCATACAGAGGCTGCCAACCAGGCTGGCAAAGCTCGCTAAACGATCATGGCCTCAATTTTACGACAAATCACGCATCGCGCTCTTCAATACCGTTGTTCCCACCAGGTGGTCTCCAGCAAAGAAAATGACTATATGCCCAAAAGTATGGGGTTTCAGGTGGCTTCCCAATTGTGGGTTGACCCAATCGATGGCCGGGGAGACGGGTTCATACAACGAAGAATGTTCGAAACTCCCATACCACTCGAGTGCACCCAAGATACCAAATGGACCTTGGATCGCCACTCATGAATCCTGCTGATACGCCGCAAAAGCAATTTCGTCGGAGATTACCCGTCTCTAGCTCACGCTGGCACCTGACTGCGTTGTTCATGATACCTCGTTAGACTTTTTTTTTTTTTGCAATAATGAACAGCAACTTTTTTTGGTCATTTGACTATATCACAATGCTCTAAAAATACCAAAATCAAGTGTAACTCCAGTTGGAGCCGAGTAATACCGACCACGTGACCGCGTGTCGCGATCCTGTTTCTTCGCGCATCTCGACCAAACTAATCATAGACATTGTCACTGGCGACCGTTCACATATTATGAATTTTTTATACATCTAACCAGACTGTTTACATTTCATCCGACCCAAGACTACGTTGGAACAGCTGCGAACTCTTTTATACCCTCGTCACGACTCGATTCTCGCTCACCGGTGGAACGGACTCCCACCCCTCTGTGACCGAGCCACAATGGCCGGATCCTATGCGAAGAAGGGGGTTACGCCATCCAAGGGATCTTCTGGGACAAGACAGTCCTCAATAAAGCGAAATTCGAGCATCCTGAGTTTCTTTCAGAAGACCGACACGCCACCGGGTGCCACTTCTCGCCAGGCTCGAATCACCCAATTTGCAACGGCGACCTCACGTTCACCGAGCAGCGGCCGGGGGACCCAGGCTTTCCAATGGGACAACAGTTCAAGAAATGATCCTGCTGGTGGACTTTTCTTGGAAGATAAAAAGGGACTCGCAAAGATTGAACGAGCGATGGTGACGAGCGAAAGAGAGCGATCTCTGACGCCTGATTTTTGGGGCGACAATGATGAGTCCTTGAAACCGGATGCCAAACGGTACAATGAGAGCGATACAGCGGTCAAGCGTCGGAAGGTCGACTCAGCGGGCAGTCCGGTCAACGAAACACAACAACCAGACACCGAATCGAAGACTGAAAAAGCACCCGCACCCGCACCCGCAAAGACCCAGAAAATGAGCGGACCATTTATCGATGAGTCTGACAGCGAAGATGATATGGAGGCATATCAGGAGCTTCATGAAACCACGCCTGCCATTAGGGACATGCCGAACGGGACATTGCAAATGGATAAAATAGTGGCTACAGAACGCACTTCCGAATCTACACCCCCGCCACTGGTAAGAGCCGCCACGAGTAATGCCGATAATGATGAACACGCGAATTTTGACGATATAGAAGAAGATGAGCTTATAGGGGAAGAATTCCGAAATCGGCCTTGGGAGGGCGAGGAACAAGGGGAGCAGTTCGACCTTGAGATAGATCCTGACAAGGATTTAAACGACTGTTCTGGTGTAGAAGATATTGAACAGGAAGTGAGCACATGCCCTATTTGCCAAATAGTGCTGAAGGATTTTAATGAAACGGTAAGTGCCCATTACTGCCTTTTGGGTGAATTGAAATGCTGATTCCCAGCATAGGCGATTGCAGTGCATGTCAACGACTGCCTGGATGGAAAGACCAACTCTATGGCGGTCACACCCACTCCTAAGCCTACAGTGAAGCCGAGTTCTAAGCCAGCCAACACCGACAAAGGGCTGACGCGCGCGGAGCGCGCTGCTATTGCCCGCCCTGCGCAAGGAGATCCCTACTCACAGAAAAAACCCATTGGAGGTTCTGCATTCTCCAAGATGATGGCTGGGAACGCGGAAGATACTGCTTGGGCTACTGCAGCCGCAAATGAGGTGTCTTCTCGCGGCAAACAAGCCTACCAACGGACTTGTCCATTTTACAAAATTCTTCCGGGGTTTTCCATATGCGTCGATGCCTTCCGCTACGGGGCTGTCGAGGGTTGCAACGCCTACTTTCTCAGTCACTTTCACAGCGATCACTATATAGGGCTCAGTAAGTCCTGGTGCCATGGACCCATTTACTGCAGTCGACCAACTGCCAATCTTGTCCGCCAGCAGCTTCGCGTTGATCCAAAGTGGGTAGTTGACCTCGAGTTTGAATATACCTCTGAAGTACCGGAGACGGGAGGGGTGCGGGTCACCATGATACACGCAAATCATTGCCCCGGTAGTTCGCTTTTTCTTTTCGAAAAGAGTTCTGGGAATGGACCCAATGCCCATAACCAACGGGTGTTGCATTGTGGTGACTTTCGTGCGTCTCCCGCCCAGGTGCAACATCCGCTTCTACGCCCTAATGTGACCAACCCCGTCACTGGTAAGCCGAGGCAGCAACATATCGACAAATGTTATCTCGACACCACATACCTGAGCCCGAAATATGGATTTCCCGCCCAGGAGGATGTGGTCACAGCGTGTTCAGAGCTATGTGTGCGTCTGAACGAAGAAGCTGGCGTCGGACCTGATGCGGGGAAGAACGGTGCAGGTGGTTTGATGGGCAAATTTCTCTCCGCCGCCACAGGGAGTAACAAAGTACCAGACAAAACCTCGAATACTGGAGGCCGACTGTTGGTAGTGATTGGAACTTACAGTATCGGCAAAGAACGGATATGCATGGGGATCGCCCGAGCACTTGGATCAAAAATTTTCGCGACTCCACCGAAGCAACGAATCTGTGCCTGCTTGGAAGACCCCGAACTCTCCGCGATGCTAACCAGCAATCCACATGAAGCGCAAGTACATATGCAAACCCTTTTTGAGATCCGCGCAGACACGCTGGCAGACTACCTGGATGGCCTCAAACCGCACTTCTCCCGAGTCGTCGGTTTTCGCCCGACCGGCTGGACCTATCGCCCACCAGCCGGGCGACTGGTACAAAATCCGCCAGTCCCCACTGTGCTACACGGCGAACATTGGAAGTCACCATTCACCAGCCAAGACCTCACACCGCAGCGCGGCAGTACACGGGAAAGTGCCTGCTTTGGGGTGCCCTACAGCGAACACAGTTCATTCCGCGAGTTGACTATGTTCTGTTGCGCTTTGCGTATCGGGCGGGTCATCCCGACAGTAAATGTTGCCAACCAGAAGAGTCGGGACCAGATGAAGGTTTGGATAGAGCGGTGGGATGCGGAAAAGAAGAAGAATGGGTTGTTTCCTGTCACTGGCGATCGGTGGTGATCAACGGCTTACCTATACGATGTATGGATAACATGATTATACTATATTTATCGCATTGGAATTTACATAGCGCAGATTTGTATTTAATTTTGGGTTCGCACGGCTGGTGTTCTTCTCGCTCTCGTTCTGATCCTCTTTCATGCATTTTTAGTGGTTTCAAGACTCGGTCGAGTACTCCACCTGGGCACTAAACGAAAGCCTAGGTCCTCGAACCTGGGAACGCTTGTAGATCGTTTCCTTGGATTTCGTTAGATATCGCAGCAGTTGGATCTATATTCTCGCTAATGCACCTGCCAGGGGATTGTTTTTGCAACGAACCCCTCCAATTCCCCCTAACAAGGTTAACATTAACATGCGGCCTCGCAAGATATACATATTACTCTGTACTACGCTGTACTATGTTACTATATCCTGATTACTCATACCTTCAGTCCCAATTTTGAATACCACCAGTTCCGCTGCATTCGAATTATTATCTATAATCTACGATATACGTACAATCAACCTGTGTTGATCCAATCTCGGGAGAGATTCGCTATTTGTGTTGGATGTGTTCTCATTTTTAGGGCTCTCGGACCAAGTGGATCAGCAAAGTCAGAGATCGTGAACGGTTATTCGTTCCGATTTAGATTCGGATCGACAGTATGCAGCAAGAACTGCAAACTTATACCGGTTTCTTCTCTTCAGACGGAGGTATCAGATCAAATGGAAGTGATGATTGGTGCCGTTAGGGCTACATGATGTCAATTTTCAACAATATCCTCCAACGTCCACGCTTTCGGACTCAGGGCTTAGCACCGGAGAACAACCTTTGATGGGCGTGCACTATCGATATATGCGTTAGTCGGGTTCCACTCCAATCACAGGGCTTTTGACAAATCATTTTGGGGCCTATTTTTCGAAACAGACTTGCGAGATTTTGGATAGGTTATTTTGTCGCGGGTGAAGCTTTCTGGTGGAAATTCTATATATGGGCGGCAACCCCTTTTGCGCTTGTTCGAACTGACTGCAGCGATACCACACACAACATCGATTCACGATGCGTACTTCAACAATTGGACTTTGGGCTTTAACGGCTGGTGCTGCCGCTACAAAGACCTGTTATAATGTCACAGTTGAGGTCCCTCTCACTGCTCGCAACGGCGTGTTCGACAACATCAACACACCCCAGACGAACTTTGACGCTACGGCTTTCGTCCTCTCCGCAACCAAACAGGGTGGAAATCTGTCAGAAACAGCCCTGTCGGGCTATGCCACTGTGTCGGGCCACTACAATATCTCGACACAATACTGTATGCCGAGGAACGCTGGGAACTCGGCCTACACGCTTCAGATCCTCACACATGGAATGGGCTTTGACAAGTCGTGAGTTTTGAGACTTGACTGGTCTCTATTTACAGTGGGCTAATGTAATAGCATAGATACTGGGATCTACCATTCAACAACTATAACTACTCTTACGTGGATTACGCCTTGTCTCGGGGATACCACACACTCTCCTACGACCGATTGGGCCTCGGCAAATCTTCACATGGCGACGCAAAGAATGAGATACAGGCATTCCTAGAGATCGAAGCTCTTGCACAGTTGACCCGCATGGCGCGCAGCGGCAAGTTGGCTAACATCAAGACTCCCGCCAAGGTCGTCCACGTCGGACATTCATTTGGGTCTGCCCAGACAGTTGCGCTGTCCGCTATGTACCCAGAGCTCTCCGATGCGCTCGTACTCACCGGGTATACGGCAAGCGCCGACTACATGCCCATGTTCCTCAGCGGCGCTAACTTCCAACAAGCCCGACTTAACGGAAAGAACTCAGACTACACAGCTGGGTACTTGACGAGTGCGGACATCGGCAGCAATGTATATCTCTTCTTCTACCCGCCCCATTTCGACACCGGCCTTCTGGAATTTGCCGAAGAGAACAAGCAACCGATGACTATTGGTGAACTCCTGACTATCACCGGTCTCCCGGCGCAGAGCAACTTTACAGGACCTGTCTATGTCATCGATGGTGCGAACGACGTACCATTTTGTGGAGGCGACTGTTTACACACCGGTGGGAAATCGGCTCCTATTCCCGCTGCGGCTAAGGTGATCTTCCCAAAGGCCAGCGCTTTCTCTGCCTATGTCCACCCCAACACTGGCCATGCTATCAATCTGCATTATAATGCCACTGGGGCTTATAAGCAGATTAATGACTTTTTGGGGGCTCACGGATTATTGAGCAAGAGTCATCATCATGATCATGCCCGTCATCGTCAGTGAAAGACGGGGAAAGTAAGGAGACCTGACTTATGATTCATGTACATTTATTACACATCTATATCTTGAACGATCAATAACGATGTACATACTACCCATGTACTTGATTTCCTGTGCCACTTCTTGGTTTTCCTTTTCCGGAAACTCGAAGTGAGACTCGTGAATCAGTCTTATTGCCCCGCAAAGGGACGCATCGGACTACAGTAACATCGATTTCGTACGACGATGCCGAACGCCAGTCTAGCCAATTTAATATCGATGCGGAGACGCACACGTGTACGGTGACTGGAGGGTTGTCAAATTGATCAGATATTTAAAACTGAATCAAGCCATCGACTCTGTGGTTGAAGTAGTATTAATGTCACGCTTGCTGGAAATCGACTCGGTGATCGGAGTATTCTCAACTCTATCCTCGCTGCAGCCCGCCATCTCAGAGTACGTAGCCAGTGGTGATGATTTCGGCTTCTGAGACTCACGGTATCGAAGTGAGTGTGCTCGCTGTCCCTTCGTGGGTGCCATTAGGCGCACCTGGGCATATGAGGTCACCGGCATCTTAGTGGTAGGGCTCCCGGACTATTCAATAGTGATTAGTATAGACCAAAAGAGACTTTTGACGAGATAAATTTACCATGGCTATGGAGGCCTTTTCATGGCCTGGGTCGTAGAAATTGCGAAATGGACAGTCCCTTAGTGGGTGGCCCCATCGCTCGCAAGCTTGACATGGACGTTTTGCTGCCTAGATATCCACAGGTAAAGTAAGTCGCGAGATCAATCAAACATGAATGTCCGTATTAAGTCTGAGGGGTAATTTCCCCCTCCCGATGCATATGGGCCGCCCTTTGATGGTTAAGGCGTGTCCACCCAGGATCGAGGATCACAAACCAAAGCCCACAATACTAGAACCATGGCATAACGGATAAACCGAAAGGGCTTACCATGAGTGTGGGTATTATTGTCGCTCAGGTGAAGAGAGACTGAGGATGTAGAAGAATAGAGGTCAATAAAGATGGTCTTTGATGAGCACTCGCTCATAGGAATTGTCCCTTCCTATAGACCTGAACAAGGATTTTCATCTTACACCGAAAGTCATTCGGCCATGTTTGAGACATAAAAGGACAGCGAATGGGTATTTCAAAGTGGTATGATTGCTGCTTGTGCAAATATAATAATACGCAGGGGCTTCCTATGGAGATCAATATATTATGTTAGTCTCTCGGTAGATGCCATGGAGATAATGTGTAGGTAAGGTGGCGTTGTGCATGGCGTTGTGCATGGCTTTGTGCATGAAAATAGACATGGGTAGCTCCAGGGCCAAGATACACGATAGAATTAATCAATCATAATGAGTAGGAACCTCATAAACCAGGGAAAAAGGATACAACAAAGACTTACATGTCTAGTGCCGCGTTCATTGGCGCCAATCTGTTGACACTGTTTGAGGGGGAGAAAGGAGGAAAGAGAAAGCGAGAGAGAAAGCGAGAGAGGCGGAGACAGAGAGAGACAGAGAGAGACAGAGCGAGACAGAGCAGCAAAATGTCAGTCGTTGACTATATCTGAGTTCTAATCTTGGAAGATGCTTAGATGCGTTGTCAGATGCTACTTACATTTTACTCACCTTTTGCTCACATCGTATAATCGAATGGTTTCCCATTACTCAAGATATATTCTCAGCTTCCGCATCAAATCATATTTCCTTCATTAACACCTCGGTAGCATCACCTTCTTTCCACCTACCAAGGAGAATTCACCATAACGAATCCACACCCACCGATGGCTGCTACTGCTGAAATCTGTCACATCAACAACATTCCGGGTACTAGGTGCTTGTCGAGACACTCTTACCGTTACGAGGACTTTTGCCAGAGAAATGGAAGGACGTGCGGGCAAGAAGATTACCTTACCGGTAAGTACACGTACGAAGTAGACACTATGGCGGCTATGGTGATTTATGTATGATTTCCATTTAAGCCTACGACTACAGACTTTCTAGGAATTTACTTTGGATTGAAGCTGAATGGATGTGGTTCTGTCTCCGGGATATCATCCCGTAAATAGTATGAGAGTATCAACCACATTGGGTACACTTTCTGTATTTTCTCATAAGGTGCAGGTCCCCGCTGCTGCCTCAGAAAAAAATGCTCTTATGCAGCCATAGACGAATTTCCTGACATGAGCCAATTCGGTCAAAGGGAAAGGGTTTGTCTATGCTCAGGGATCGTACAGAGTAATCCCAGCAAGCAATTTGAACTGGTTCTGGCCCACAGATACGTCACCCAAAACCCGCGGTATGCCCAACGGCCTATTGATGATGCCCAGAACATCTCCCAGATCGGGGTCTGAAGCACCCTGGGGTTGTAGAAACTCACAGACCTTTTTGTCCTTTGGAAGAGTGTACCATCATGCCCGCTCTTACGTGCTTTGTTGGGTTCTTGACAGCTTTGCCAATTTTGCTATATCAATATGGGGATTATGTTCTTTTTCATCACTTGAGCTCTTGGTATAGTCACCTAAGTACCTATGTACATCCATACTCATCGAGTTATGCAGGCGATGTAAGCTATGCAAGTTGTGCGAGTTAGTCATCCAAATTTATATTATGTAATCTTCTGTTCGTTTATTGCCTCACCTCCAAGGCTGCAACTGATGACGAATTTTATGGCCTTGTAGACCAGGCATCAATTACGTCTCGTGCCGTTTTCTCCCCCACAGTCTTCTCCAACAAATCAAGAACCAATGATTACACCGGATAGGGAATGGAGGGAAACCAACAGCTATATGCGACCGCTGATTTGCCTAAACTCGTCAATGCCAATAACCGAAACCGGTGCCGGAGGTTCGGAGGCTGGAGACGGCACTCTCCACGGATCTTCGCCGCCAATGTCTAAACTCCACACTACCGAAATTGCTTCCCGTTGACTTGCATTACCCTCGGGGACGATTTGGTGACCACGCATCGGTCGTTTCATAAATAATTTGGTTTCTCGCGTTTGGTCATGGATCTGAGCTGATTTCTCTCATTTGAACATACGTTCTATATTTATTGATTGGCAATCTCCTTGCTGCATTGGGCTGGTACCTTTTCCCCCCCCCCGAGTTGTTTTGTCCAACACTCCTATACAACACTTCACAATGTTTGTGACACTCGAGAACGTTCCGTTGATTCTTCTCGGCGTCGCTGTAGCCTATTACTTGGTGCCGTACGTGCAGAAGTCGCACCTGCGCGACATTCCCTCGGCCGGGTACTCCGCCTTCACCAATGTTTGGCTGCTGCTGCAGGCGCGTCGGGGTCAAAAGTACCTGACGATCGATGAGGCCCACAAGAAATATGGAAAGCTTGTTCGCATTTCACCTACCCAGATCTCTATTGCCGACGATGAAGCTATCCAGGGAGTCTATGGACACGGCAACGGTTTCTTGAAAGCGTACGTCATTCCTGTAACCTAGAAAAACTACACCGAAGCTGACAAAGTTCTAGGGACTTCTATGATGCCTTTGTCTCTATCCGCCGTGGCTTGTTCAACACCCGTGACCGTGCCGAGCACTCCCGCAAGCGCAAGACCGTCTCCCACACTTTCAGTGCCAAGTCCATTGGCCAATTCGAGCAGTATATCCATGGCAACATTGAGGAGTTCGTCAAGCAATGGAACCGTCTCTCCGACCTCCAGGGGAACCCGAAGACCGGGTATGTTAGCCTCGATGCCCTCAACTGGTTCAACTACCTCGCCTTCGATATCATCGGTGACCTGGCGTTCGGTGCTCCCTTCGGCATGCTCGAGAAGGGCAAGGATATTGCCGAGATGCGCTTGGACCCCAAGGACCCTCCCAAGTATGTCGCCGCCGTCGAAGTTCTGAACCGTCGTGGCGAGGTCTCCGCCACCCTGGGCTGCATGCCATCTCTCATCCCCTTCGCCAAGTACATCCCGGACCGCTTCTTCTCCGAAGGTTTGGAAGCCGTTGAGAACCTTGCTGGTATCGCCATCGCCCGTGTCAGCGAGCGTCTCAAGCCCGAAGTTATGGCCAACAACACCCGCGTGGATCTTCTCGCCCGTCTCATGGAGGGCAAGGACGGAAACGGTAACCAACTTGAACGCGCCGAATTGACCGCCGAGGCCCTCACCCAACTGATCGCCGGCTCCGACACCACCTCCAACACTGCATGTGCTATCCTCTACTGGTGCATGACCACCCCGCACGTTCTCCCCAAGCTGCGCAAGACTCTGGATGAAGCCCTCCCAAAGGACATCGAAGTCCCCACACACGCTATGGTCAAGGAAATCCCCTAGTAAGTCCTATATCTCACCACCCAAAAAACATACTCCAAACTAACAAATCCATAGCCTCCAATGGGTAATATGGGAAACAATGCGCATCCACAGCACCTCCTCAATGGGTCTTCCTCGCGAGATCCCCGCCGGTTCCGCCCCCGTCGTAATCTGCGGCCACACCTTCAAAGCCGGCGACGTTCTCTCCATCCCCAGCTACACGATCCATCGCTCAAAGGAGATCTGGGGTGCCGACGCTGAAAAGTTCGTCCCCGAGCGCTGGAGTCCCGAGCGTCTCACTGCCCGCCAAAAGGCCGCCTTCATCCCCTTCAGCCACGGTCCCCGCGCCTGTGTCGGTCGCAACGTCGCCGAGATGGAACTGCTCGTTATTTGCGCAACTGTGTTCCGTCTCTTCGAGTTCGAGATGCACCAGGACGGACCTATGGAGACTCGTGAGGGATTCCTGCGCAAGCCGCTTGCTTTGCAGGTTGGTATGCGCCGTCGTCGGGTTTGAGGGTTTGGGATCCCATTTTGGAATATAGAAAAGCATATACCTTTGTAAAAAGGGGTTCCGGATTGAAATTGTTTGGACCTAGGGTGGAATTGAATGGAATCTTGGATTACCATATTTTGTCATGATTCAATGAGAATGGCTGGGTTGGTTCTGTGCTTGGGGTAAGTATGTCACCGCGTAGTCGCTGATGACTTTCTTTTTGGCTTGTCGATTTCGGATTTGGTCTTTGGTCTTTGTAGCCGTCAGTCGAATATCGGGAATCTGATGAGCGTGTATATATGTCATATCTTTGTATATTTTCGCATTGAAACTATCGTCGGGTTTTAAAAGGAACTCTTGCATGCTGGTATGGAGAATAAAATTAAGACGAGGAGTGAAGGTGGTAAGAAGTGAGAAAAGATAAATTGCTCAGCACTTAGTTCCTTAGCTGTATCATAGGTGCTCGTTGAGCGTTAGATGGATGAACTGGGTATATTAAATACAGAAAGTTTGAAAAATGAAAATGAACGATATTACTATGGTATCATGACTATTCGTGGCTGGCGTGAAATTCGCACAATTGTAGCATGCCCCAACCCCAACCGCAGTTAATAGGAGCCAAAGTAACATATAACAGGTCCGATATTCTACCATGTTTCGGGACCAAAGGTCTTGCCCGTAGGGACAGGATCACGAATGGCGGAGTCAGACATGTCCAGGGTGTTGGCAGCGATCCTGGTGCCCCACCATTCGGGGAAGCTGGTCTTGGTCAAGTTGAGGGTCAAGAAGATGAGGATGGTACACAGAGCGAGACCGACATCAAGGCCAGCGGACAGGACGTAGTTATATTGCATCCACCACCCACGCCAGCGGTCACGAATATACTTGTTGAAGACGAACCCGACAATACCCCAGGAGAGATAGTTCAGAGGCGTAGCGGGAGGAATCAAACCGGCGCCACCGAAGATGATGGGGGCACTGAGATACTTGATGGGGCTCTTGGGGAAGAAACGGGCACCGAGGTAGATCAGGACGGGGAGGATGCCGCCGGCGAGGAAGAAGAACATCAGGGGCGAGTATAGCTGGCCGACAGAGAACATCCGGGCGGGTCCGATGACGCCCCAGATAACGGAGGCGTTGAAGAACACACGACCATTAGGGCAGATAAAGTGGTTAGGCTGGAACTGCTTACATACGTCCTTGATCGCACCCAGAGCCCAGTTCATGGTGGCGATTTGGACTAGGGATGACCACAGGCAAGCAATCATCTGGGCCATGAACGTAACGCGGGGAGGAATTTTCATGTAGTGACCTAATGGAATAGGTTAGTGCAACAAATCGACACTAGAAGACAACGTCGGGATTGACCAATTTTCAAATCCTGTGTGAAGTACATTCCCTGGTACATGCTAATATAGCCGTAAGTCTTGAATAGCATCATGGCCATGGGTTTACCAGGCTGCATGTAACCGATGATGAACTCGGTGATCACGTTAAGGCCAATGTCGATGTTGGTGGCAGCCTTGACGATACCAATAGGAACAAACCAAATAGCGGAAATGACAAGGGCAATTATGAAGGACCACCAGCTCATGTGTGTAGGGTAGCCCAAGATAACACCGAAGCCAATTGCCGTCATGGCCAGAAACACCCCCAAGTACCACCAGATGGGAACTGTAGCGTATCGACTCATAAGACGGCCATGGATATCTTCCTCCTCCTTTCCAACGTGACGGAATCGATCCCAAATATCTGCACTGTGAAAAAGACCGGTCTGAACGAGCACAGCAACGATACTGGCAAATGACAGGCCATAGGACAGCATGAATGTCGTCGAAAGGAAAAGCGGGGAGTAGTTCGAGTATTTGGCGTTGTCAAAGGTAAACTCTGGAGTAAGAATGTTGGCGACCTTGTACACTTGACCGGTGTTGTCATAGCTGTTAGAGTCACTTATGGGTAGGTGCTGAGCATAGAAGAGATTGGAGTACTGAATGGCAGGGGTGACAATCCAGAACCAGATGAACATCCCGATCATGGTGTTAGAGATCGCATACCAAGGAGCGATGAGGGGGCTGAAGTTGAATCCAGAGATCTGAGTCCAGTCAAATGTCATTGGGATAAGCGAAAGGCCAGTCGATCCACCAAAGAGCTGATTGATGACCACGTTCTGTGGCTTGATCCATGTGACCCAGGCAAACACACCCAGGAATGGCGCAATGTATCCGGGGAACCAGTACCAACAGAAAGAGCCAACCATGGTGTATAGGAACATCTGATATTTGCCGATCCTCCAGCCGGCGACAGTTTCGGGATCAGGCTTGGTGCGATCGTGCAGCGCAGCAAAGAGAGAAGTGTTGATCAGCGTGGAGGGCCATATCATGGCGGATGGCTGTACCAGGAAGCGGGTGAAGAATCCAGCCATGCCGAAGCCCAACATCTGAGTGGAGATACACATAAGGATTTCGAAACCCCAACCGAAGTTTTGTGCATAGAAGGCACGTTGAGCCAAGAGGACATCCGTCGCATAGGCGGCGCCACCACCAAATGTAGCGTTTGCCATAATAACGGCAATTGCATGCTCTTTCTTGGTAAACACACCTGGGTTCAGCTCAGCTTTGCAGCCAAAGAAGCTGAAGGTGTAATTGGGCATCCATGCTTCCCATGCCTTTCCCACTGGGTAGGCGACAACCTGTGCAATGTATGAGGGGATGACAATATAGGGCTGGCGCATGGAGAACAGCATATTGAGAGAAGAACCGACGGTCGCAAATAGAAGACCAATTACCCATGCGCGAATAGTGTTGACAGATCCACCCTCATCGATGTTGGGCACGGCGGAGCGAACCTCGGGGTAAGGGGAGTTTTCCAAGAGCTCCTGGGAGGTGATCTCTTGGGTATGCTTGTCGGATGTGTGCAAGTGGTCGTCGAGTTCCTCGACAACATCCTCAGGCATGTTAGGATCCCAGTGGTGTTGGTGTTTGAGGTCGCGCAGCTGCTTGAGCTTCTCATCAGGCGCAGCCTCGTCGACCATCGTACCCGTGGTAACGGCGATAGACTCGTCCTTCTCCATGGTGAAGGGTATGGAGCTTAGATGTTAAACTCACAGGGATATTGAAACGAGAAAAGGAAGCAAGGATATGGGGGTTTCAATATGATTCAAAGCTCGTGCTCGAAGACGAGGCTGTCGAAAGTCCGCCTGATCACCCAAAGAGGATATCTCAAACTTATGCTGCAGTGGGTGTAACACTCGGGCGGAGGTGGAACTGAACGGGAAGCTAAGAAATTGATTTGTTGGGAAAGGAGAAACTGGAGGAAGAGAGAGTGCATGGGGCGAAGTGAGAGATGGGTTGGACAAGGGAGGAAGCAGGTGCTGCAAGGCGGAAAGTGGCAGCCATGCATGTAAGAAGCAGCCACTGCCAATGTCATCTCATATTGTGATTTGGCCTTGTTTTGGTCTGATAGCTCACACACCTCTGATGCAAACAATTTATGCATAATTCGGAGAACATTCATCGTATCCAAAGCATCTAGATACTCGTGGTGGTTACGTTACCCTTGACCCTGCCTCGGATGATTCACTCTAGCCTAGTTTGTGTTTCAAGCTTCAGGACGAAGGATTATAGGAATCTATGACAGGGAAAATAGCTAGACAGTTAATACAGAGTGTAGCATGGTGTATTGTATAGTATTTCTTGTCTCACGATAACATTTGTAGAGTGATTACTGTTCTGTGGATGGAGTACAAGGTCTATTCAATAACCAGGTAACCATGTTATGCTGGGCAGATTGCATGAGAAATTACATAGGTACTCCGTAGTCAAGATGGAGCAATGCTTGTCAAAAGGATAGCGCATTTTTGAAGAATACATGTGGACCCCCTGGCTACTCCAAATCTAATGTACCGGGAGATCCCCCGAACCAGGATTCCGAGACCTATCGCACTAACCTCTCGACCAGGCAAGGAGATACTGGATAGTGCCAAGACGAGTGCTAGAAAGGGATCCATAAGCCCGGGCTGCAAGGGCTACGCGTACCGCGCAACCTACAGGGTATTGCTCCCATAGTTCTTTAGGCTTAGTTGTTTTTGCCGGTGATATCTTTGCTTTGACATCTCGAGGCGGGATCCGCGGTTCGTGGGCATATCGGAAAGTCGCTGAAGAAGTTTTGCCACACGGTAGTGAAATTGCCGATTGACAGAGGTCAGCAATGCTGGGCCCCGAGAGTGGCCTTTCCATAGCTATGTAGTTGGGATCACGAATGGCGCAGTCCGTGATCCGAATACGCCTTTCGTGTTCATGCTGTCTCACTTCGACCGGAGGACAGAAATGCAGCAGTAAAGTCGATTTTTCAGCATGAGTCAACCTGTGCGCTCACGGTAGATTGTTTGCTAACGACAAATCCGGGGGAAATGAAAGAATTTCATCACTCAGCCACTCAAAGTTGGTGAAGTAATCCTCGTTGATCTGGAACTCTCCTTGCAGAGAAGCCGCATTCTGAAGAATCCCACCCGTGGGCTCCCGAGTGGGATCTGTTCCTATGATAGCGCGCCCTGCCTCGATGCTCGAAAGCATACTGGGTTGGGACGATGGCCCGTCAACGTACTCGGTCCCTTGAATTCTGGTGCGCGCGTTAGGATCATATTCATCACGCCACCACCAGACAGCATCCAATATTTGACTGAGGATCAAGCGACTGCGAATTCGAAGCACCGTGTGTTCCGAGCCATCGGCTTTGCGGAATGCCTTGCTGCTATTCCAGAGTTGATTCAAGACCGTGATCATTCTAGCAGCTGTATCACTTCTGTCGGTGGACATTCGCTTGGCCAAATTGATGGTAGCGAAGAAAGAGGCCTGGGCACGGTTTGTATCGAGTGCGCTGGTGTCATAATTGCTTTTCAGAATCCGCAACAGCGATACCGAAGCTAGGAGTAGACCGAAGCTTATTTGAACAGGTGCCATGAAGAGAGATCCCATACGATCCGCCAACGCTTGAACATAGTCTATCAAGTTGCAGGCGGTCACAATAAGACGTGGAAGGCATCCACTGGAGACAAGTGTTTGATTTTTATAGAAATGGAAGCTTTGAATTGCCATTCGGCAAAGGATAAGGTGATACCTCTCGTCGTCTGTAACAAAGAAACAAAAATTAGTGGATGGACTATTGCCAAGGGGATCCATTTTGGAAACAAACCGATTACTCCCTGCGATGCAATATCGTCTACCTCTCCTTCAAACTTCCGCAGCAAAATGTCTAAAGCCAGCTCCTGATCCAGAGACATGGCACGAACTCCATTCTCCAGAACTGCCTCGCTGCATTTCCCAACGACTTCCTGGCATCTGAGTTTCTGAACTAGGTGTGGAGCAATCTTATCAAAGAGCACCTGGCGTTGGATGGTATCGTGTGCTAAGCTGACCGGATTTCGGGGGGACTGCCCTTTGATCACACAAGACCTACGATGAATCAGCATGGTAATCCCGCTTGACTACACTTCAAAAGACAGAAACCCACCGTTGATAGACTACGACACAATGGGCCCAGAGCTCAGAACGTCGGACCATATCTAGGTCCGATGACACCGGGATCTTCACTCGGGAAAATTCATGGCTCGACATTGGGATATGGAAACCATATTGCATCGCTACATGCAAAAGCATTCCACTTAGAGGGAATGTCACATCTGGGCGATTCTCCTTTGGAAACGGCCACGTCAGCAGGAGCAACAGTCCCTGTATGGTGTACCACGGCGCGCAAGTCGACAAGACCGACAAAAGTGCCATTTCCGTGACCTCCTTAGCCAGTGCCGTCTGCAAAGTCGGGTTTCGGGAGTATGACCGACTGGAGACACCGATGACGGCCCAGAACAGGAATGGAGACTGCGCGTAGTACACATTGGGCTTGGTCAGCACATCGAGGATCGGAAGGAACGAGGCATAGTGGCGGAAGAACCTGGACGATGTTAGAACCATGCTGATAAGAAGCTTTTAGGGCCATATACAATTGATACAGGTCGTCAATCTCTGGGCCTGTGACGGTAACGCTGTTCAGTGAACGGGGCTTTGTGGGATCATTTCCTCCCATCAACAAACCGGGTGTGGGGACGGCTGGTGCAAGATGATATTGGGGATAGGCCAGCGACAAACCCTGCGAATCGTCCAACTGAGCATCCGACTTCAGCACGGCCGGCACTACCAGTTCCGTTGCCGCTGTGGATAACGCAGTCGGCACGGAATCGGGGTTGAACTGTTGGGAAGTCTGCAGTTGTCGGCGCCACTGCTCATTCTCGTTCTCTAGTGCGATGTATCGGCTTTGGAGAAATATACGTAAGAAGTGGATTCCGTCCATCTTACTCGGTTTCGGGCTCTTACCGACGCTTGTGCTCTCTTGTGAAGCTATCATCTATGGTGCACTCGAGGTTGCGCTTGCGGCATCGGGAACAAGGTACACTCTCATCCCGCCAGACATCACATCTAGCCTGCTAGAGTCAATACAGTTTTTTGTAAAGGAAACTCATTAGTAAATACCTTTTGCTGGCGGCACATAGTACACGCCTTCTTTCCTTTCTTTGGTAATCTGTTCATGGTTAGCTTAGCATGCTTCTGTAGATAGAAAACAGTGGATACTCATACACCTCCATTTCCGAGCTTTGGACGAACACGATCTGGTATCGTAACTCGTAGGAAACGAATAAAGCGGAATATGTGATCAAACCCCCTGTTTATCGTCTTCACTTGATTTTTTCTTTTAATCATAGAACAGGGGAAACGCAGAGTGGTAGGGCTCAATCCCGGTAACGGGATGGTGGCGGGTTTGTGATTGGTCCAAAGAGAAGGGTTGGGGATCAGGGATCATGTGATGCTCACCTATAGTGAGATTATACCGCTTTCCATATCGCACCTTTGCCTCAGGTATCAAGTCACGGTGATGCTGTACCACGTGACCATATATGAAACATGCCTCCTTAAGTAGGTTTACAGATGGCTGGCGGCCACAAGTATCCACAACCTTTGCTTGGACGGCTTCGAGGGCCAATAACCATTAAGAGACCCCTTGATGTCATGGTACCTGAGTTATCGTGTACTGATTGTGAAGCGTCATCATCCCCCAGACCATGAGGTTTACATGTTAACAGCACTATATCCCTACCTCTATGTGCTTTAATTTACAACGACTTCCATGTCTGTCATCAGTAGCATTATACCCTGCCTGCGCCGTTATACTATTTTCCGTTCTCCCCTTGGCACACCGAAGCACACGCACCATGCGCCTTTCCTTAGCCTATGCTATTTTTTATGCTCGTTCAACTCATATTCTGTCTTTGGCAGAGAGTTTTAGCTGATAATAATTTTCCGGCGAAAGCTGAGCACATGGAACTCGTACCAGACTGTTTCGTAGAGACAGAATTCGCTCCTTGCTCCTTGCCCTTCTCCGGGATTACGCACTTCCAGAAGAGTACATATAGTCTATGCCTCTGCACCTCGGAGAACCTTGTTGGTGCTGGTAACGGCACTAAGTCCGGCTATGGCCTACTTGAATGGAAAAACATATATGAAGCCATGGACGGCGCTAAAAAAGCTTGATGGGCTAAGCTAACATAATTTCGTCACGACAATATATATTTATTCACAGTGACCGAAAGTAGCGCAGTGCAACAACTGTAAGAGGTCTGTCTCCCTGCGAGCGACATGCAACTCCTAATCTTCTGAGCCGTACACCCTATCAGCGGGGTACAGATCTGGATCCTGATGATGATGGTGATGATGATTATGATAACCAGATCAGCAGGCAGCAGGCAGCAAACAAACCGATGTAGAAGCGACGCTCCCGGAGACCGGCTGACTCGTCTACAGTAATACAGAAATCGTCCCCAATAACGCTGCCATGCATTCCCAAGCTAAAATGCTCGATCTCTCACAAGAGGCTTACAACTCATTATGGTAAAAAACAGATTAAACAACCCGACAAAGCGCATTACACCAGCAACATACATCACTACTAAAGAGCTCAAACCTTCGACTTTGAAATCCCATTTAGTGTAACTTGACAAGGTGCAAATGCAACATGAAAACGGGATCTGGGTAATCAATATAAATAATAGCTCTCCTTAACTCTAGATACAAGACCTAGCGGTGGCGCAGCAAAAAGGCTGGGTTTCTTCACCTTTACCTTAATAAATTAAAGTCTCTTTTAATGCCTATTTTATGGTCATCACGCGTTGCTGTATTTGTAATTTGGCATCATTTTTCAGCTCTGGTGCTGTAACTATCGAGTATCGGCGGATTAAACGCAGAGATAAAGTGGCTGGAAGAGCCACATATGATTGGTTCATTGCGACTCCTTTCCCCGCATTTTCGACCAAATGTCACGTGCACAGACCACATATGACACGTCTCGTGGACCCTCAATACCCGTGGATGTTGAATCTGAGCTTTATTTGGGACTACCATTGGGTACCCCCATGCTCTTAAGGACATGCACAACTGGAAAATATCGACTTGCTCAGCCCTAACCCGTGGTATTATGTATATTATGTAGCATCGTACTTCGTATATACCCTGCAGCAGTCCTTGTCACAAGTCGGGCCAAGAGCGTTCTCGCCCCCATTTTGATCGTTCAGCCTTCGGAAATTAATGCTGCTGAACTGCTTGTATTGTGTCTCTGGTCTAGTTGGGAGCCTAGTTTTCGACTTGAGTCTTCTCATCTGTGCATACTACAACAAAGAAGCATGGATACCTATACTATTATGTTTAATAAAGTTGTATACATGGGATTTATCGGGCGGTTGAAGTTGTGGACCATGAGGCCATTGTGTTTAATATCCCTGTATTTCCGATGTTACCTCACTTAGATATTAAGACCCCTAAAAAAGACGGGGCCTCCCGGTTCCCTCGGTTTGATAGGTTAGGGCTATTTTTATTCTCCCCGAGGCAAATGTTTCCAAATCCCCGGCGTTCCATGTCTCTATTTGTAGGATGATCCATTTTTGATTCCATTTGCCGAAGTCCATCTACACAATGATTATCAAGATGCTCTGTGCTTCATTTCTAGCAATGGTCGTCCTCGAGGCAAGCCGCGTACTGGCGGAGACAACGATTCCACCTAGTGTCCAAGGATATTATTGGGATTCAGTGTCTTGTGAGTCTCTAAGAATGACTGGGTCTAACATAATTTTCATTCATCATAATCATAGGGTCTGAGGTTCCTTGCTATGACGGACAAACCTATTTCAGTTGGAACAGATACGGACGATGTTGCACATCAAGTACCGACGCCGGTTGTACCCTTCCGACAGCTTGCCATGATAACTCTGTTTACTTCATCGGTGTCGGTGGTCTTGGTACTGTGACTAAACCATTCTCTTGGTCAGGACTGCATTTACGATCAAACCACCGCGTGAGTTTCTAATGAGAATTGTCTGAGAAAATAGTGCTACCGACTCAACTTGCGTTGCTATGACTATCTATGAGTCTGCTACTACCAACACCCCAGTAGTAGATTATTTCTGCTATCAGAAAGAACATCCGTGGACTGCATCAACCATATTCCGAACGACCGGTAAGCAACAGATTATTCCGCGGCACATGGACTGGAAGCTAAAGGATCAACATCCGACGAATAGAACTTGCTACTGCCACACCGAGGACATCTGTCACGCCATCAACTGCCACCCCCACATCTTCTGGTGACGCTGCACAGGATTCTGAAAGCTCTGGAAGCAAAGCATGGATCGCCGGTGCAGTGGTTGGTCCCGTTGCAGCCTGTGCCATAATTGCAAGTCTAGCTTCCTGGCTTATGCGCCGCTCCCGCGCAAGGAGGCAGGAGACTGTATCAGGGAACGAGGATATTCCCTCTCCGCCCAACATGACTACCAATACGAGAGGCGCAAAGTTCGGACCCCCCAGCGAGCTTGCTGATGGTCCGCGTAAGCCAATTGAACTAGATGGAGTGAATCCCATATCAGAGCTTCCTGCGCAAGTGCATCCCGCAATTGAACCTCATTAAGGAGCCCTCATGAACCATAATTCAAGGAGTAAGGCAACGTCCAAGGACTTCCACCAGTTGTGGAGCAGTGCTGATCATGAATAGCTACGATATTGAGAATGTTTTCGTGTTTATAGGAACAACGAATTGGTCGATGTGTTACGCCAACCATAAGGAGGTTGTCGAATACTAAGTCGAGTACATAGTCGCGACAGGGTATTTTACCCGGAGAATAATGGGACACTTACTGTCAAGCATACCATACAAAAGTGCATATTGTAGCCAGTCATCGATGTCCGCACACATTGTTGAAAAAGCAGGGTTTATATATCTACAAATTCCCAAATAATTGATAAGTATTAGTTCAGTATAAATACATTTCTAGAGATCTTCTCGGTAGCATTGCCATCTTCAGCGAAATTGTCCCGAGGTCGCGACGTTGGCTTATGAAACCTTTTCGGACCTGGATTTATCACACTCGAGTAGTGGCATACATTCGAAAGCGCCATTTCGTCAAAATGAACTCTCAGGGTGAGACAAAATAACGTGTACCATGAATTGAAACCGAGGAAATTACAAGACGTTTGGATTGACAATACACTACCGTCTCATACAGCAGATGGTCTTGTATTAGTGACTGTATGGTTTCAGAGGGCCTCTGGGTAGAACCTTTGCTAAGTAGAAATCTAAAAGACCCTAAAAAAAGGGGGTGAACCCTCGGCGAGGGTACATCGCCGTGACCTGGGCTCGTAGCCATGCATCTTGCACCACCCATAACATTAAACTCAATAGACCCGAGGGCGTTCTTACTCGTGACAGAGGTCCAGTGCAATATCATACCATGTCATGCAACGTAGAACTCACCAGACCTCGTCGGATATCCGGTTGCCGTCGTTCGGCCGGACCGGTCGATGACGACGCGAGATGGAAGGTGGTTCGTTCTGAGGACTTTCATTCGACAGCTGTTTCCTTTTTCCTTTTTGGGGTTTGGTTGTGGTGGCACTGACAGGGGCAATCTGCAGCAAGAGACCCATGGAACGAAGCTGGGAAGCTGCCGCGAATAGGTCAACCGCTAAAACATGACCAGTCAACGAGACTTGAGCAACGTACTCTGTCTTGGAGATCTCCAGATAATCTCACTCCGTTGTACAAATTGTCTATGGTCAGTAAATTTACTCCAGATATCGTTTCACCGGATGATGATGATGATTTGGAATGATGTGGTAGGGGGAAGGGGTCTCCCTCCAGATAACATGGCAAATTCAGGGTATCGCGCAACCCCCACAATTTTTGTTTGATCGAAGCGTCGAATATTCTATTCAAGTCTGGATATACCCAACGCCCCCACCACTGACGAGGGAAGGCAAAGTTCGGTCGATTTGATATGCCCTCACCGTGACATCACCGACCCTGAAGCTGAAGTATATAGTAGAACGACAAGATGTGACCTAGCGAAATTCCAACAAAGCATGTCATGAATCAGCGCCAAGTTATGAGTTTTGATATTCCTACCGTCGCCGAGATCCAGCTCGCTGCTGAGCGGGGGCAACGCATCACACAGGATGATGTTTCGGCCATCTCGCAGGCCGAGAGCGCGCTGACTGGACGCGGACCTTCTCGGGGTGGACCGGCTGGTGAGTATGATTTATGTTCTTATCTGCAAGCGACGGATCACTGATCAAATATAGCAACTGCCCAGAGTCTTTCCATGCGGCAGATGAATTTCGAAAATAAGGTCGCAGAGGTATCGCGGAAACCCTCGAGCACGATCTCGTTGGAAGATGCAGAGGAAATCCAAGCCACAGAGGTCAGGGAATGCCCGTACAAAGTTCAGCATGGTGCCAAATCACTAACGTGAGGTTCCCATAGGGACGTGCATTTAACCAACCACCCGGAATCGGTTACATATCAGCGCAGGTTCGGTCGATCGCTGACAGTAACGATGCGTTGGGACTTACAGCTGCAGCTGATGTGCCCGCATATATCACCAAGGATGATGCCCGAGACGCACAACATGCCGAAGCCACTGTTTATGGCGGTCAGAACCCTCGGGGAGGAATGGCAGCTCAGATGCAGGTAAGTGGGTAGAGTGAGCTTTGTCACGACGGTAGCTGACATTCGCATGTTTAGAGTGCAGCGGACAAAATCGACAATGCCCGACGAGGCAGTTATGGCAGCTATTGATAGTTGTATAAAATAGACGGACCGAACACAACATATATATTGTACCAACAGGGAACATATGCTGGCCTCGCCCACTTTGAACATACCAACCTTGCACTAATGCAATAAGATATATGTTGTACGACGAGATCATAGGCAGGGCCCAAAGCTCAATTTGAATTGAGCTAATGAATATCCTTAGAGCTATCTACTTTTGAGGGGTGTTTGGAAGACCAAAAATGCCCTGACCCGCTGTTCCGCCGTGCATTGAATTGACACGTAGAGTCTGCAGTCAAAACATCCAACGAAATCTGTTTTGAATCCTCGGGATTTCAGCTTCGTGGACAGCCTGCATAACGTGACAAATATATACCGAGTCACCGGGCTGATCCCAGCTTGTTACTGATGTCCTGCACCGCTGTGCGGGTAGCGACTGCTCACAACGCACATGGCAGAATAGACTTTGAAGCCTCACCCTACTCTCTGCGTCAACCCACTTTGTTGTAGGTCCAAAACTCTCACGATAATGGAGTCATAAGTGAATTGAAAGTTGAGGCGACCCACTATAGGCCGTGCGAATTGCTAGCGGATATGTGGCCTGATCATCCCCTCCCCCCACAAAGTTGTGGATGATTTGGCCGATCGCATTGTGGTCCCAAGGGATTTTTGGTCTGACAGCTTGAATAGTAAGACACCTCGTGGCTTCCAGACCCATCTTATGCGTGGACGTTCACATCTGGAATTACCAGGTAGTCCAATCGGAGAGGGTCGGAGAGGGTCGGAGAATGCGTTGACAGATAAGGCGCAGAAGCGGATCTCCAAGGTGATTTGCACGGAGTCCGCTCAACCAGTCGACATGACTGGGTCTCGAAGGTTTAGAGGGGTAAGTGGCTCTAATGCATGGAGCTCGCACAATAATTTGGAATTGCCTTGCAGATTTTGGGAGAGTGGACGAATAATCGGCACTACGGAGTAGCTGATTTGAAATTCTCTAACAACTAACTCCGTATTTGGAATTCTTGGAATTCCAATTGCCCAAACTGGGTTAAAACTGGAATTCGAATTAAAAAAGAAGTTGGTCGAAATTGGTGGAGAGGCGTCAAAAAGCTCAAAAACCCGTAGCTATGACGTACCCGAGGTACTGGGTACCTGTTTCACCGGCATTGGCGAAGAGGAGAAGCAAGTAGTCGGGACTTTGACGCATCCGTGGACAATGACCAACTCAACTGTTTCTAGTGTTGGGGCAATTATCTCTTAAATACCCTCTCTTCCCCCCCTCCAAAGGTACTCACTCTCAAGGACCTTGAAAGAATCAATTACATCAATTACATCAACTTATATTCACCATGCCTCTCTCCGGACACTGCCTTTGCAAAGCCGTCACGTACACCGTGGACGTCGACGCACCTCTAATTACTGCTTACGATCACTGTGATGACTGCCAGCGCCAGAGTGGCTCGACGTACTGTTAGTTGCGGTAATACCCGAGGGAAAAATACAATTATTGACTTTGATAAATTATTATAGCTCTCGTCGCTGTCGTCCCCAAGGACAAGCTGACCATCAAGGGTCCTACCAAGAGCTGGGCTGGCAAGGGCTCCTCCGGCCTCGCCGTCCACCGCGTCTTCTGCTCTGAGTGTGGCTCCCCGATCGCCCACGACCCCGATGCCGCCCCCGAGATCATTGCGATCAAGGCTGGCACCTTGGATGCTGAGATTAAGAAGACCCTGAAGCCCGTAAGTGTCAGAAGTTAGGGCTGGATTTAACCTTCACGGGAATGTAACTGACACCTCGTTCAATGTAGGACACCGAGATCTGGACCGTCAGCAAGCTTCCTTTCTGCCAGGAATCCCTTGCCCACCCTTTCAAGAACATGCCAGAGTAAATCCTGGACTCCGCGAGATTTTTTAAAAAGGGAGGAGATCTTTTGTTTGGAGCCTATAATGAGTGATAATGACGAATACAACCGATATAGTCTAATATGACTTGCATGGATCACCAATCAGGATGTCCGCAGTAGATCCATATTGTAGACTAATCACAGAGGACATTTGGAAGACAATAACAAGTACGAGGTATCTTTGTCAGCGAGTTGAGGTGAGACAATTTACTCGGTGTATTTGGGAATGTTATTTTCATGGTGACAGTGAATAAGAATAAATATTTGCACCCAGCGAAAAAGACCTGCTTGCAGTGAAGAAGAAATTGCAACGCTCATTTTTATAGTAGTATCTTGCTCCAAAATGTCGACTGGCACTCTATTCATTCGCGACTCGCGCACTGATGCTAACTATGAAATCCCCATTAATGGAAATGCAGTACGGGCGACCGACCTTCAACGTATCCGGGCGCCTTCGCTCAACAGCAATCGCGCGGATCAAGTTGCCCATGGATTGCGAGTCTATGACCCTGGATTGCAGAACACGGCCGTGACAGTATCAGCTATCAGTTTCTCGTGAGAATCGCATGACGGCTCTTATGCAGTCTGGCTAATTATTATCTAGTGATCATGAGCACAGTCTACTCCTATATCGAGGGTATACCCTGGAGCAACTCTGGGGATGCGAGTTTGAAGAAATGTTTCATCTGCTGCTATGGGGGACATATCCTACAGCAAGTCAACGCGAAGAGCTACGACAGCAGCTGGCACAATATGCGCAAGAAGTCCCTGATATTGTGCGCCAGACCATCTTTAATCTCCCGTATGACGCATCTTTTTGTCATGTGCCTGGCCTGCCATCTTGCTTTTCTAACTAGCATTGAAATATACAGAAAAGATACCAGCCCACTGCCGCTGATTGTAGCTGGCCTTTCAGCCTATCTGGCCTGTATGCCCGATGTGATCCCAGCAACAACAAATGCGACGGTTTACCAAACAGACATCAAACGGGCGGACCAAATCATTCTACAAACTGTCGCCGCTTACGCGGTTGTCTTCGGAGCAGTGCGATCTCACCGACTAGGGATTCCCTGGCAGTCTCCGTCTCTCCATCAGACCTACTACGAGAATCTATTCACGATGGCCGGTCTCGTAGACCCAGACACAAGCCGCCCAGATCCTACACGCATATCCTGCTTTCGTCGATTTGGCAACCTCAACGCCGAGCACGGCATGGCGTTAACAGTATTCTCAACCCTAGTGACCGCCTCATCCCTGACTGATCCGGTGTCTTGTCTGATATCTGCCGTGGCTGCCGCCCACGGACCCTTACACTTCGGCGCAACAGAGTCCGCCCAAAGCGCTCTCCACCATATAGGAGACCTAAAGAATGTCCCAGCCTTTATTGAAGAAATCAAATCTGGGAAGCGAAAATTATTCGGCTATGGCCATCGCACGTATAAGGGAATGGACCCCCGTGTGCGTCCCATCCAAAGTATCCTGAAGGATTTGGCAGATGTTCACCAACCGCTATTGAAAGTCGCTGAAACAATCGAAGGGGTTGCTGCCAAGGACGAGTACTTCAATGCACGCGGCTTGTATCCCAATGGGGACTTTTATGGTAATTTCGTGTTTACAGGAATGTAAGTGCCACCGTTATATGTTTACTGTGACCGTAGGTCCCAATACACTGATTTAGTGGCTTTGAGCCTAATATGATTCCCGCGGCTATGCTTGCTCATCGCATTATGGGCATCATGGCGCATTGGAGAGAGTACATGGGTAAGGGAATGGTCCAAGGAAGCTTGGTAAACTGACTGACTGTTTATAGTGAATCGGGGTAAGCTGTTTCGACCAATTCATTTGTATACAGGTCCCGTGGAACCGAGTTTGGACCCACAGTCAAAGATCTAGAGGTTGGAATTATAGCGAAGGAATGTTTATTCCTCTGTTGTTAGCTCCCTTTTTCCTTGGAAAACCAGTGAAGATCTACAGTAGTAAGAAATCCATCGCGATGTACCTCATCCTCTATAAAAGCGCGTTGAAGACATCTATATTTGAAGAGTGATTGGCCCTCCGCCGACATTCAGTAAGATTGGGTTCCCGGTTGATTTAAAGACCAAAAAGACCCGGGTATTTAATCGCCATCAAGGGCACAACGGATTGTCTCGAAGTTTTGTTTCGTATTCTATCTAACCCAACATGAATAACCAAGATATCGATCAAGTGCAGCGGCAGCATGACGAGGTAAATGAAGAAATGCCTTTGCTACATCCTCCTACCATCGAGCCATATTCCGTCTTCACATCCACACAGAAACGCCTCATTATTCTGACAGCGGCACTGGCTTCGAGCTTTTCGCCTCTGTCTGCTAATATCTATTACCCGGCATTGAATTCCATTGCAAAGGACTTGCGAGTCAGTCCATCCAAAATTAATCTGACGATCACGACATACATGGTATATCATAAATCAACTTTTACAATTCCGTTCGAATGTACTGACATACCTGGCTTTGAAGATATGCCAGGGCCTCGCTCCCATGTTAACAGGGTCATTGGCAGACCAAGCAGGTCGTCGACCCTCGTACATCCTTTGCTTCGTGATATATATAGTTGGGAACATTGCTTTGGCTCTACAACACAGTTTTCCAGCACTCCTAGCTCTTCGTGCAGTTCAGAGCTGTGGCAGTAGTGGCACTGTGGCCCTTGCATTCGCCGTGACAGCGGACGTTATCACATCTGCCGAGCGAGGTATGTACATGGGCTTTACATCTCTGGGAAACATTCTTGCTCCATCCATTGGGCCTATCCTTGGGGGTATTATGAGTAAGTATCTGGGCTGGGAAGCAATATTCTGGTTTCTCGCTATTGTAGCCGGTGGTTTTCTCGTGCCTCTATTGCTCTTCTTCCCCGAAACATGCCGTGGGATTGTGGGAAATGGCTCTATTCCCGCAGTTGGTTCGAATCGAGCCATTTGGAGTTACTTCCAGGTCAGAGCCGCAGTGAACCCGCCTGCATCCACTGTACCGAGGAGGCGCGTGAATATTCCCAACCCCTGGTCAACCTTGCGCCTGCTTTCCCACCGACCCGTGGGACTAGTCCTTTTGGCAAACGGAGTTGTATTCAGCAGCTACTACGCCGTCACAGCTGGAATCCCCGCACTCTTCCACCAAATCTATAATCTGGATGACTTGGATATTGGATTCTGCTTCATTCCTGCAGGACTGGGGTCATTGCTCAGTGCAACTGCCAACGGAGTATTAGTTGACTGGAATTACCGACGGACTCGACGCAACGCCGGTCAGACGGTACACAACAACCAAAAGCAGGACATCATTGGCTTTCCCATCGAACAAGCGAGGTTGCAGATTGGCCTGCCCATGGCAGTACGTTTCACTGAGACAACCTTGTACCTGGCCTGTTCTATGAGCTGACTTTCATTTTCCTTTTTAGGTACTTGCAGCTGTCTCAATAGTCGTCTATGGAGTACTGATACCATTACAGCCCCCACTCTTGATTACGCTTATTGTGGTTTTTATAATCTGCTTCTGTATCACAGCGGCATATAATGTGATGAATATCCTGATCGTTGACTTGTACTACGAGACGCCCGCTACTGCTATAGCCGCTAACAACCTCGTCCGCTGTTTCTTGGGCGCTGGCGCTGCAGCATTGGTCAACCCTATGATCAAGCGGGTTGGTGTACAATGGACATATTGCTTTGTATCGGGGGGGATTGTTTTAGTTACCCCGATTCTAAGCATTGTTTACCTTCGGGGCTGGGAATGGCGCAAGAAACAAGCCGAAACTGATGCACAACTGCGGACTGTACACGAGAGACAATAGCACCGAGCGGGGCAAGCGGAGTAGGTACGCAGGTCTATAAATTGAATCGCAAAGGCATTGATCTAGCTCTCGAAGTTTGAATTGAAATGCAATAGTCGAATCCTCCTCTCCTCAGTTGATCCCATGATAACACGATATGAGATCACTACTTACTCTCCTCTTTGGTGTTATAACTCCGATAGTCCAAATGTTCCCTTGGACCCCTGGTCAGCAACTGCAAATACGGTATCCTGGTGGCCAATGGATGACTCCTGGCATGGAATTAGACATTCGACGTACGTGAAAGGCGAAGGAATCAAATCAAACAGTTTAACATCAGCCCAGAGACCAGCGTGATTCCAGAGATTAGTAGCATGAACCTCCAATGCAACAAAAAATACATGATCTTCTTCATCGACCTCGACGCTATCCTACCAGGAACTCGTATTCAATCAGTCATTCTACACTGGTACCAACCCAATCTCATGATAGATTGCACAAAGCCATCACCACCTTCCTCACTCGTTCCTGGCCAGGACCATGGGGACAAGCATCGCCCAGCAGCCTCGTACATAGCCCCTCGTGCACCACCAAATACTCACCACCGTTACGTGTATCTCCTTTTTGGACAGCCTCCAGCCTATCAATTTCCCGACTGCTTCTCACATGTGTTCCCAGAGACTGTTAGCGCCCGCGCCGGATTCGATATCAGGGAGTTTGTGCAGGCAGCAGGGTTGGACCCTCCAATTGGCATGAACTATTTCATTGGTAGTCATGGACCTGCCGAAGGCGAGACAACTACCATGCCTCAGAGTCCGACGACAACCTCGTTCCGTTCCGTGGATTGTCCCACGAGGACGGATAGTTTTGTGTAATGAGTTAGGGACACCGTGGGGGGATTGGATGCTGTGGTTGGTTTATATTTTTGGGTAGTAAGGTCTACGGAGACTAGGAAATATAATGTCTATGTAGTACACTTTTTCTGGAACCCTCCGTGATTTGGAATGATAGATTTAACCTGCCCCTGGCGTGGGTCTGAAATCTCCAAAGATGCGAAAGGCTATTTACATGTATTGAGTGATGTTTGTAATGTCAGTGCATTCGAGAATGTGATTCTCAATACCATTTCCCTATGATATTTGCGGTGTCATTGGGGTATTTCATATTGAACATGTTATTGATGTGATTCAATCCTGGCTATGAAGAAGATGGAGTGTGGTTTGGCACAATTTTGGCACAATTTTCCCTGCGGTATGGAATCCACCTCGCATGAATAATCTGCGCTGCCATAAGATCGATTGAATTGGGACCTTGTGTTTAGCTCCAGTAGCGACCGGGCAAGGAACTACTGCAACTACCCAAAGCTGATCTGGAAGGAGAGAAGGGCCGCGGGGGGGGGGGCTGGAATGTTTATAAGGCAAATATAAGTGGTACATAACTAGTTCCAGGATATTCCTTAAGGCCTTTCAAATAATTAGTGAACTGTTTCAATGAGAATCTTGTGATGAAACGTAAATCTGGAGTGGGTGTAACCGTCATGACCTTGGCATAGCCTTTCTGGCACTTGGCCTTTAGATTGCCTTTATGGTAATATCATGAATCCCGGTGCTATACCATGTGGAGTTTAAGGAGTAAAGCCAGTAGTAGTAGATACTAAAACGAAGATCTTTTGGGTATGGAGATACCTCAAGCATTGAGATTGCCGAATTACTTTGGGATTGAAGACGTAGCAAGTACAACAAGAACCGCAACCCTAAGTATTCTCTCAACAACTCGGACGTTCATCCATTCATCCGATGTTCCTTTCTTACTATCATGTCAGAAGACTTCAGCCCAAAAGCCAAATCATCACGGCCATTCCGAGCAATTACACTGCCGCCGTATATGTGCTAGTAGCATCGTACAAGACTTGCTAACAGGGTGATCATAAGGAAAAGAGATGACATCGAACGGTCCTGACCTTGGGACCGGGATTGTAACGTAATTTGGATCGTATGTCGAAAAATGGTTGATAGGTCAGGATTTGATCTAATAAAATGATCATATTAGGGATAATGTATTTTTTTAAGGGGTGATAGCACACCAATTGTTGTCGCTAGATAAGCGCCATCGGGTAACTGTCTTACCTGGCGAAAACATACTCCGGCTAACAACACTATAGAACGAAATTCTGAATTTAATGATGGATGTATGCCCCTGTGATGGGAGAGAATCTCGGTCAATAGGCTGACATTGAAGTCCGGCTTCAGAGCCCGGCTTCATGTTCGGTTGTTTAATGACTGTGTTTGCATTTTCATCTGATATTGTTGACCGCGTCACCACCTAGAATAGGATGTTGCTCGAGGGAAGATATAGCTGTTTTCATGTGCAACAACGGATCCGAGAGTTAGGCGTAATGAAGTATAGTATACGAGCTCCACGAAATGTGAATACCATACAATGGCGTTACTGAAATCAATTAGCTTCAAAGAAAAGGTGTGAAGTATACTGAACCACGTAAATCGTTCATTGATGGATGGTGAGATAAAGTTGGTGATCCTTGAACACCTAGGACCTCCATAGGCTACAAGTGAGGTACTCACACGCAGGTCCCAAGGAGGGTAGGACAAAACTATTTGTCAGTAGTAAGGTTCACAATCCATGTAACTTTTCGTGCTTTCGGTAAGTGCTGTCATGGAAGCTCGTAATGGTGTGGGTAAACAGTGTCGCCTTTCGTGATGAATGCAGCACGGCAATAAAACGTGGTCCTGTGTTATTGTTGTTGGACAGTAGAGATTATCAACTAGAAGGCGGGGGAAGTGATCATAAGGTGAAATATAAATACCTCAAATCAACCCAATACCAGGCAAGAGCAGACTCGTTGATCGTGGAATTCAGCACAAACATTTCCACTTCTTTTCCACGATTCTGCATGGCTGAGACCTCTATCAAGAGGTCTACCCAGTCTAACGGTCAACTACTTCCCAACCAAAAGATGCGCACAACCTGTAACGCCTGCCAACAAGCGAAGATACGATGTAGCCACACCTACCCATGTGACCGATGCCAGGGTCACGGATATGAGTGTGTCTATTCGATCTCGCAACCGCTAGGCCGGCCGGCCAAAAGAAAGACGACCCGGCCGGCAGCAGCGGGGGCAGTAGCGAAGACGCGCAGGGGGGAGGTGGAGGTAGTTGACCGTCCGACTCGGCGGAGTGCGGGGAGGGCACCGAGGCCAACCCCAGCAGGGAGGGCGCAGAGGGCGCGCAGAGTCCCGAGTCGGGTCCCGAGTCCAACAACAGCATCGGGCTCGGGTCCTGATTCGAGGGAGGAGTCGCACGAGGGCGACTCGAAGGCCGGTACTGAAGTCACACCACCGGAGGAAGACTTTCAGTGGCCGAGTTTCACAGCGTTGTTCTCCGAGGTTCCAGGTGAGCACAGACCTAGCCCATGGGGGGTATATAAGTGCCGGTAAATGACCATTGGGATGTCCAGAAAACAACAGAAATCGAGAAGGGATCCAGGACCAGGATTTCGTCAGCGCAAACGAGGCCAACACCCACGTCGATCCAGGATTCACCGATACTATCCTGGCCAGCTCGTTTGGAGGAACTGACAGATTTGGAAGTTTTGGTTGTCCCCGTTTTCCTGAAGCGCGTATTGACTATGCCACACAGTGTCGTGCTCCCCATATCGGGTTGATGGTCGATGAACCCCCCATTGGAGGATTCCTCCATACCGCTGCGCCGGGCACCCAGTCCGCGTCACTCTTTCAGGGTGGTGCAATCTACCCCTTTAGCCTCGCACCGAACGCAATCCAGGTCTCCGGAACAGTCCAGGATCCGGCCAGAATCATGGAATTGCCCTCCAATGATATCTGGGATGAACCATTGGAAACTGATTCCAGTCAATCTCTTGATCCCGGAGAGATTGATTTCGAGACACTGCTGGAAGATGCTTCTTCCCTTCATTGCAACTGCTATGCCCAAGCGTTCAGTGAAGTCGTTCGATCCGACGAGGCAAAAGGGTCAAACAGTTTATTGCTCCACCTGAAAGGGGTGCAGCAACGGGGAGTGGTCATCCTTCAATGTCCAGTATGCTGTGCCTCAAATACCAGGGCTAACATTCTCACTTTATTAGTCATGGCGGTTGAGAAAGCGGCACGGGCGTTGAAGGTGAGGGCCGAACTGGCCACTACCTTGGTGCAAGGGGGGGTTCATTCCGTGTGGGGAGAGGAAGACATCAGCCAGATGCGCCGTTGCTTATCTCACTTGTCAATAATCGTCCGTTTCATCCACCAAGACCTCCAATGTGCCTCCCCGTCAAAATGGCACCTAGTGATGGCGGACGAGACAGATGGTCGGCTGCAGTCGATTATTCGAATCTTCGAGTGATCGCTGGTTGAATGTGTGTATATAGTAGACGCGGAATGGAACCCGAGAGCTCGTGGAGCTTGCTAAATTGTTCAATAATCAGTAGTAATGAGCTGGGGACGAGGATGATGATTTAGAGGGTTTCATCGAAGCTGTACGGCTCGTTCTTGTAAGAAAGCTAGAAACATCAATAAATCACCGAGCTGAGTAGATACCATAGACATCAAACTCCCCGGCAAATTATTAGATTACCATAGTTGACCAGTAATCCAAGCCAGAATAAACAACGCCAACTCCCCGGGATGAGTTGCGTTGCACTGGCCAAGGTCGTCGTGTCAGCTGGCTTGGACAGAAAACTTTAAGCCAATCAGGATTTTCTCGACTGACCGTTTTAGGGCGCTTTTCGAGCGCAACATCCTTAGAGACAACACCAACAGGTATTATGCGTGTAAATAACATGCGGAAAGACTAGTCTCCAGCGGCGGCAGATTTCATCTTGGTCCTTGCCTATAGCTAGGTCATGACTTGCATTGAACTTTTCTGGTTGCCGAATCGTGGAATCTTATGACAATGGACGAGGATTTTTCATCCCGGGGAATATGCCGAAGAGAAGGACTTTACGGGAAGGGACAAGCTTTCGGTGGATTTCTGGACCGAAAGATGGAAACATTGCTTTGATTACAATCTCGGAGGAGAATATCTCGAGTATCTTAGCAGGCCGGCTCTTTTTACTCCACGTTGATATCGGCTGAACGAAGCAAATTTCGCCGAGGTGCTAGCAGTGAAGTTCGCCACATCGAACAAAGACCGAAAAAAAAAGAGCTAGGGCAGTTCTAGGGGTCTTGCCAATCGTCGAATCATAGAATTCGTAGACCATTAGAGAATGAGAGAGGGGCCTTGAATCCCCATATGACCATGTCTAGCACCATTGACATGTCATGGTAGACCTCATAATTGACAGGAAGCCACGTATGTAGACGGTCATTGGTCAAAAAGCCTGTTCCATGCCAGATGGGAACAGAATATGCAACTCCGCTCCGACGTGGGATATCATCCACGGTATTTTGAACTAGCCTGGGGTCTTGCGCTACTACTAGTGATGATTGCACGAATCAGTTATAAAATACAAAATAGAATTGAATAGGAGGATGTCAAGAGATACGTTGTTATTAGCACTTCAGTTCCATAATGATACTTACATCAAGGATCCTGGTAGATGTAAGGGAACGAAGTACACTCCCGCTGCTCAAGCACCTTGGGCCATTTGCCAAACCCACACCCATGTCCGTCCCACGCTGGTTATGCTCGTGTAAGGTAAATTGAGTTGATGATAACCTAGTTGGGCCAGGGTTTTTCAAAGGTTCCAGTCCACTGCGCCCACCCGATAACCTTGCCCGTAATACCGCGCTTGATATCCTTCTTGGTCGCCTTCTCGGGAGCCTTGAACTTGAGCGACTCATTGAGGGCAATAATGGTGAAGACGTAGCGATGCTTTCCGTGGCCGAGGGGTGCACCAGCACCTACATACGGCAGTCCGAGTATGTTGGGCACAAAGCGCCAACCAGCAACAGTCAGGCGGGAAACCTCGGCGTGTTCATCAGGGTAGACATTGGCCGCTTCGGCCTTAGTTGTCGAGGCTGGAATTGCCCAGAGGAGGCCGTGGTGGATGACGAGGAATGGGATCGGTGGATCGAGGTCTTCACAGAGGAGTACATACTCCTTGACTTCCTCGTGGCAGTTTGGAGCAGTCCAGAGTAGCTCAGGAAGACAGCCCTTACCATCGACGGCCTTGCAGGTACAGTGGAGAGGTAGCTTAGAGCCAGATGGGCCGGCCTCGAGTGATTCGAGGGTCATGTTGGGCTCGGGAATGTCTTTGAAGGCCGGACAGTGAATGACCTGGCCCGAATCATGGCCACGGATTGGGTATAGCAGTCGGCCGATGATGAATTCGAGATAATGTAGAATCGTCATGGCACATAGATCTGAAAGAACTGAAAATGTGTATTCTTTTGGTTTATAGATGAAGGAAGAACAAAAGTCGACACGTCGACGATCGGGGAAGGGTAGGTGCCGCCCGATTAGGAAGCTGCCCAGTACCGGCCCGGAATCGGCAAGTACGACTCTCAGCTCTCCTTTTTGGTGTGAAGTTCTGATCTTTGCGGTTCGATACGCCTCAACGCATATAATATGAATTTAAGCATCTAAGTTCTGGGGTGTACTGTGTGAAATCAGTTTCGGGGACAATGAACTGTTCAAAACTGGTGCTTTCCTCTCTTCCAATCAGTGTATCACAAAACGGTTATACTTTCCTTTTTGGAAGCCTTGCGGTGGTTGAAAGTACGCAAAAGAATCGTCTGTAGTATTTATGCTAAGATGACGGGCACTCAGTGCATGATCTTTCCTATTCAATCCGAACGTGTGTAAGTGATACAGGTTCATGGCAAAATCTCTATCTATCCGCATGATGGGCTGACAAAACAAGCATATTCATGCAGAGAGAAAATCGGAGGCAGAAGCCCAGCAGTTCAGTGCTTCCAGTTACGATGCAACGACCCTCGCATAACCTTTGAACTCTCCGGTTTCTTTCGCGATGATTGGAATCTCGTCTTCAGCCAGGGAGGCAAACATGCCTTTTTCCAATGGTGCCCAGCCTAATTTCCGAAGTCGATTCGCCCTATTTCGTGCATTTGATCCGACCACCATGCCAGAATAATCCCCGAACAAATCACCCCAGTCTTTCTTTGGGATTGGTTTCGGCGTAGATTGATCAATGCGCCCTTCCTTCTTCAGTATAAGGCCAATCTCAGCAGCGCATTCGCCCCAGGACAACTCTTGGCCGTTTTCACAAAAGAAGTATGGATTCAGCGCAATCTCAGTGACAGGCGCACGCTCCATCCAGTGAAGGAGAACCATGTATCCCCTGGCAAGGTCTCTAACGTGAATCTGATTCCACACCGCGAGACCCTTCCCGATCTGACCCGCATAGCCATGTTTGATAGAGTACCGGATGAGCGTTGGCAACTGAATTGACAGGCGGTTCTCCCTAGTGGTCACGCCGTAGATAAGGGGCGGAATCATGATGGCCATTTTGGCGTGGGAGGCTAGTTCTTGACCTGCTCTGACGATGACCAAGTCGATTTGGCGATGAGATGCAGAATCGGGCAGACCATCGATCTCTCCGGGCAGTTCATCGTCATATATGGTATCGCTTTTGTACTCCCCTTGGGCGGTATCGGACAGCAAGGTTGCTCCGCTGTTGTGGATGTAGATTGTTCTTAGCCCTTGTGCCGCTCGTTGTCTAATGCCATCGATGATTGCTTGGACAGATGGCAAGTGGTCCGCAGTTGCGGTGTGGATAACGATGTCGCTAACTGCGACCTGCTCCTTGATCACCGATGCATCGTCGAGATTACCAACCACTGTTCCTACGCCTAAATTGGCGTAATCTGCAACAGCTGATTTGCGACGGACAAGGGTTGTTACTTTATACTTTGATATGAGAAGGAGGTCTAGGATCTCTCCGCCGATGAAACCGGGACCAAGAAGGAAGACAGAAGGAGACATTTTGACTGACAGTTTGAATTAGACGTGAAGTATACGTACTGTTCACTAGTCTGGTTAAATATGGGTGACTTCAGGTTGACGTCGCCGCGATTAGTAAGATCTCGCTTCAGCCACCAAGAGAGGATGTCCATGGCCCCGGGAATGGGATTCGATTTCACATCGGAATACATCGGAAATTGGAATCCTCCTGGAGGGTGTCCAATATTTGCCTGTATATGAAGTCTAGAAGGGCGTTGTTTTCGAGAACATAGAAACCATAGCTTCCTTTCATTAGTAGTAGGTATCCTTGTTAAAAGAAATGACCAAGGGAAATCAACAAAGAACCAGACAGCATAGTAACTCTTCTCTCTACTGCTTCCTGCAGCACAATCCATCCTCCTAGCATATCCAACCCTTGTCAGCATACTGCAAATCCACGCTGCGGATAGGAAAGAACTGGTCCATACCCGTAGGTGGCCGAACAAGTCCATAGTTAACGTAGATACTATCCGACCACTGAGTGCCGTCGGTAGTACGAGTCGGGCTGGATAATCCCGATAGGTGCCTGAGAGGTATTAGCTCGTTCAAGATTCAATGGGAGTATAGGACATACATCGTTTTGGTGGGCCAGTCGTATATGATCTTGCGCATACCAGTACCTAGGAGGTACCCGCAGGCTTTAACCGTCCTGATTCTCGTTTGTTAGCTCTAAGTCCATTATTATAATCAAGGTGTGCGGAGAACATACTCGTAGACCTCGTACAACTTGAGTCAAATCTCCTCTCTCTGAGAGAACGAAGAGCTCCAGAACCGTTCCCAATCGAGGGACTCGCCTGGTACCTTCGCCCATATCACATACGTGATAGTCCCCCCGGGGATGGTATCGTCTCCGTCTTGTTGGTCGGATTGATATCCAAGCAGGCGAGGGATAACATCGCAGCCCTTCTGTTCGAGGAATTTAAAAGTGGTTAACTCTGTAGGCTCATGCGACTTGACCGCCTGCGCGGCCCGGATTGGAGCCTTCTCAACCTCGGTGCCGGCAATAGGTATCTGCTTATACATTCGCATAAACACGAGTGAATTTGGGTTGTCAGGGCTAGCAGGGCGACAAAGAAACCTCCCAGCCACGTATGCTGGGCCAAGGCCGTTGGTGGCGTCCCGCTGTATATATATCGGAGCCTGGTCTATCTGAGCGTAACGCTCAGATAGTGGTCTTTTTGGCCTAGTTTGTAACTCGCCAGTCCAGGGGCAGGTTGTAACAGAAAGTCTTATATACAGAGTATAAATTTTTACTGCCTTTATATACACTCACAAAAGATGTCTGAAAAGAAAATCTGAAAAAACCATCGAAAAGACCACCAAAAAGACATCAGTTGGCTGCATAAGCGGCCAACTATTCTTGTTAGTATCTGAAGTAGTATTCAATGAAAGAGTTATGCCTGTGGCATATTTAGCCGCCCGTGCATAGGGTAGTAGAGTGTTTCCTCAGTTTATAATGTGTGAGACATCATATTCCTCGACAATTAGATGGTGTGTAACTCACAAAAGGCCGTCAATTTCGAGCGCAGGTGTGGCTCGATCTATTCTGAAGGTAGAGCGATAGACCCACCAATACCATCAAGCTCCCCCAGGGCACCTAAATTAATTCAAGGCTCATCCTTCCTACCCGAGGCTATAGAACGACCCAGTTTGATCCTCTATTTGGATACATTGCTGTTGTACAGATGTTCTTTCTTTGCACGCTGTTTGTCTAGCCTCCATTTGGTAGCATGTGGCCGTTGTTCTTTGTTCCTATGGAGCGACATATATATATCGACGAGGGAAATGCTCAAGGCAGTATGCCAGTATGCTATAAGACATACAGGTTAATTCAGCACTTGCAGTTCAGCTTCAAACCCAAATTTGCATACAAAGGAACCCAGGTACATGGCCCAGGAAGCGGATTCAGAGAGGTGTAGGAGCGTATATTCTCACTCTGTGTCTATCTGCTTCTTTTAACTCAACGCTTACATAACAAACTCTTAAAAAATCAGAAAGAAGAGGTGACGGCAATGCGTGGTGGAGAGCCTGTCTCCTACTACAATATATATATAGTAGGGGTAGTCTCTCAGCATCATATATATCAACCACTTTTTGGCTCTTTACCCTCCTATCAGTATAGATACATGACTGTCAATTCCATCAGAAGATAGATCGCAATGATATTGATAGACCCTCTACCCTCAAAGCAGGAACTTCATCGCTCCCACACCGAAAGATGAGAGTGTGGCACAGGAGGACGTTGACGAGGAGGAAAGATGGGCTCATCCGGGCATTAGGCGACCCAGCAGACAGGAAAGGAGAAGGAAATCGCACCAAAGGTCTGATATAGGTCACTATATATTAGTAGAATGTGGCAGAGGCCAGCCGATACCCAAAACAAGAACAGGTGTTGTTAACCCGGCCCATACAATATAGGAAGGGAAGGCGGCCCACTTGTGGGTTACCAACCGACTAGTTTGACGCCTAAAGAAGAAAATGCGTAGTTATATTTTATCAAGAGGCTGATACTTCCTCGAACGATGAGGCTGAGACTAAGGTATATCTGAAAAAAATAGGGTGAAAATATGAAATTCAACAAGGAATGAGGGCCCCTTCGGTGTGGGCATTGTGGTGGATCTGTAGGGGATACATCGTTCTCCCATCCCCGATCTAGCTCTGCGCGAGAACTTGATCAATCAGATTGCGAATCTGTCCAGCATGCTTCTTTTGCTGTTTCACAAAAACAAAGTCAGTAATGCTGGCTCGTAGCTAAATACGTCTTGTCAAAAAAGGGAAATTTGAACTCACCATCATGGTAAAATGATCAGCGGCCACCTTATCGAGTAAGAAATCCGCACCCGGTAATAGTTTATCCCATCCATCAGGCCCGAAGTCTTCTCTCCGCTTCAGCATGAAATGATCACGGCCCATCTTGAGCCCCAAATCAGGTGCATCGTTTGCATCCATAACGGTCTCAGAAGCCCAGATCAACCCCACATTCGGCATTTTTCCAGTCACAAGAGGCACAGCCTTATATGGCAGCATTGTCTCCATCGTCCGCAAAAAGTGCGGAATCAGCGAAGCGGGCGGGATCTCGCTTCCGAACAAGCCTCGTCGACCGCAGTACTCATAGAAGCCCGAAGGAAGAGTCCCGAGCTTGCGCGGGACTGGTGAATCAATGATGATTAGACTGTGGACTTCGGCGCCGGATTGGATGAGGTGACTGGCGCATGCGAAGGCGAACGCACCACCGGCGGACCAGCCGCCGAGGTGGTAGGGGCCAATGGGCTGACGACGCCTGATTTCGTCACAGAAGCTGGAGACCATGGCAGCAGGCGTGCAGTTTAACTCTTCCGGACTGCGAACGTAGGGGCAGTTTAAGCCGACTAGAGCTACATCCACGGAGAGGCGGGGAATCTGGACGTAGGAGGTTGCAGAGCCAGAGCCATCAGGGAGGAGGAAAAGGGTTTTGGGCGCCAGCTTTGGGATACCTTGGAGAATTACCGAGGTCGCGGCGCGGCATTCAGAGGATAAGTTCTGGGTTAGGTCGGCATCAGAATCAACATCGCTAGCGCTATCGTCCGGAGTTATCAGAGAGGATGTCTCTGGGGAGTCAAAGGCGCTGATGCTAGTGTCCTGCAGGTCAGAATCACCACCCTCTGTGTTCGCCAGGAAGACCTTTAGGTCTGCAACGGTGGGACAGTTGATGAAGATTGAAAAGTCTGCATCCAAGTCCACCGCTAACTCTTCCCTTAGCCGACTCTGAATGACCATCGAGCAAAGCGAGTCCACCCCAATGTCTGCAAAGTTGCTGTCATCGGTCAAGTCCTCCAGGCTTAGGCCACTCTCGTCAGAGACAATTGCGAGCGCATTCTGGACCAGCGTACTCGCCATTGCGGTTTTTTTTGTCCTAGGTTCGGATCTGGGCTTCGATGAGCATGCATCGTCAGCAAGCGCGGCGGAATGGAAATCAATATCGTACCTGGCGGTTTCATTAACGGCTACTGCCAGAGGAGCCTTCAAGTCTGATCCCGATGAGGACGAAGGGTTGTAAGATGGTACTCGAGTGCTTTCATCGTCGGATTTGGTTGTTGCCTTGAACTCCCGTACTGAGGGGGTGAATGAGGACAAGGATGCCGGGCGGGTGCTGTCGGTGGAGATCGGGGCTGAGATGAGGACAGGCTCTTCGATAGGCTCAATCTCGACATGTTTAGCCTGTACAGGCAACTCGATGGGCTCCTCATGCGGCGCTGCTGAGGATTCGGAGCCCCCGTCAAGTTCAATGAGGAAGTCCTTCAATTGCTTCACCGTAGGACAGTTGACGAAGATAGAGAAATCAGCGGCTAGGTCCAAGTGCAGATCCTCCCGCAGCCGACTGCCAATCACCATCGAACACAGAGAGTCGATACCAATGTCGGCAAAGTTGCTGTCGTCGGTCAACTCGTCCTCAGAAATTCCACTTTCCTCGGCTACAATAGCCATGACCTGTGCGATAACTGGGGGCGCTGGCTTGTTGGTCTTTGGCACAGAAGAGGGTACAGCGGACGCCTTGGGGACCGATCTTTCAGATTGCTGGGAGACGGTAGGCTTCACAACAGGTTTCGGTTGTTGCGGTTGAACGGCCACAGGAGTCGGAGCTGCGAGGGGGCGTGTTTCCACGGGCGCCTTCAGCGGTGCGGCCGCGGGTGCTCTGGACGCGCCATTTTCGACCTTCTTAGTTGAACCGCTCTTCTGGTGGAGCGACTGTGTGACCACTTTTTGATACTTGCGTAGCATACGTTGGACCTGGAAAAACGTTAGCTAATTTCCAGCCTCTCAAAATCCAATCAAACTCACGGTAACACCCTTGAAGAAAGCAACCAGCTTCCCCTGATCCAAGACAACGGTATCGCCTCGGTAGAACTCATGCCCATCAGCGTACATTTGCACGTAAACTTCATACTTTCTATCCGTCTTAATCTCGTCATACAGCTGGAGACCCTGCCACCCATGGCTGATGAAGACCTCCACATCCAGGTCCATGCACTCCCGTGCATTGATAGCGAAACCTCCCACTTGAGTGATGGCATCTACACAACCTGGATGCGCCGCAAAGGAGCCCCCAGGAGTGACAGTAGCAAAGTTGACGATACATGTAGCTTCCAGGGTGTTCTCATTCACGACGAGGTCGTCGAGTAGTTTGTAGTCCGGACCGAAGTCTGCGACGCGCGACATCAGGCGGTACCCACTCTTCTTGTTGTAGCGGAAGAGGTCATCCTGGGATAAATCGTTGCGGAGCCGCTGAATGCGAGACTGGTAGTCTGGGATACTTGCTTGAACAGTCTGGAAGAGAGAAGTATCTGCGAAACGCAAGACACCGTAGCCGTGTCGGGAGGTGGTGTTTCCCTTCGCCTGTCGGGGACGGTTAGTCACGCCTAATTGACTAAGGAGAAAAATGAAGGAATTGTTAATTGGCAGAGTGAACTTACATCAACACTGTAGAACTCAATTTTTCCTTCGCGTAGACTTTCGGGCATATTGTGGGTAAACTGCGCATTCAGAGAGACTCGAACTGGCTGGGGTCCACGGGCATGCGGCACCAGCACCTTGTCAGCGACAACATCTGCCACGTCGAGGATGATAGAACGGTCCGGAGCAAAGCGTTGATGGACGTACTTTCCAACAACGAGAGCCATGTCTGCAAACCATGAAGGAACCGTGAAGGGGATTCCATTAACAATGTGGCCTGCAGCCAGGTTCTTGATATCAGCCCGGCTGATATCTCCCTCGAATACCACACGTATCTGGCCTCCAGTCGTGGTTTCCTGAACCTTGCGGTGCACCGTACTGGTTTGAGGCTCAGGCACGAGGGGTCGTGTCGTTTTGGGTGGAGCGGGTGTGGTGGCTTTGTTAAGCGGTTTTGGTGCTGGAGCCTTGGATTCAGTGTCGGTAATATGCCGACCGTGGGGCTTGTAGATACACCAGTCGTTCTCGTAGTCAATCCAGTAGCTCTTCAGATCCCAACCGTATGCAGGAAGTTCAAGCACACTGTGTGCGGCGGAGAAGGGCGCGTGATAGACGCCCCAGTCCAGGTCAGCGCCGGCCTCGTACAGGGCCTGTAGTGCAGCAGTCAAGTTAGGCCAGACAGATGCCCCGCGCTGGAGGATCGGCAGAGTTCGCATCTCCGCCCCCAGTGTGCCTCGCACCATGCCGCATACCACGGGATGCGGGCCAACCTCCACCGTGAAGGTCTTGGGGTCAATGACCTTGGCAGATTGACCTGCCAAGAGAGCTCCTGCCATGTCCACGGGCTCACGGCAGTGCCGAGCGAGGTATTCGACATCGAAAATACCATCAGTCTGGACAACGGAGCCGGTGAGGGGACAGAGGACGGGTACGGTGGGCGCATGGAATCGGGCCCCTGCTGCGGCCACAGTAAAGGGAGCCAGGATCGGGTCGACCTGCGCCGAGTGGAAGGCGAAGGGAACCTTCAGCAAGGTGGAGGTGATGCGATTCTGAGCGAAAATAGCCTTGGCAGCCTGGATTTGGGCGTTGGATCCGCTGATTACGAAATCCTCTGGGCCGTTGACACAAGCAATCTCACATTGCTGGTTTACCAACAACTGAGTGATGGTATGGCGGGGAGCTTTCAGGGCCAGCATAGAATGTGTGCCCTGCTGGCAGAACTCCTGCAATAACTGGGCTCTTCGACCAACCAGGAACAAAGTGTCAGCAATTGTCAGCACACCAGCCACCTGGAGCGCCGCGTAGAAGCCCAGACTATGTCCGGTTACAGCATGCGGGCGGATGCCGAAGCTGGTCAGAAGGTTGGCCAAAGCCATCTGGACGGCGGTGATAGCCAGCTGAACGGTGACAGGAGGGTACTGGTCAATACTTCCTTCCTTTTGAAGTAGAATCTGAATGAAAGATGGGAATCCGAGCCCCTGGGCCATGAAGTCAAAGTGCTCGACATCGGATCGGAAGCCTGGATATGTCTCCAACAGCTGCTGGCCCATTGCCATATACTGTGCCCCTTGCCCAGTGAAGGCGAAGAGCACCTTGGGCTTAGCCTTGGGCCGTGTACTGCCATCTCCACGATCCAGAGCCGTCTGCAATTTGTTCGCAAGCTCGGCCAAGTTTGCCCCAGTCGCACTGACGCGGAAAACGTGCTGTTGGCGACGTGCGGTGGTTGTCCAGGAGAGCTGTGCCAGCGAGAAGGCAGGGTTCTGTTCCTGTTTCTGGATGTAGCTTACCAAATTTTCCAGGTTCTTCTTGAGAGCGGCCGCCACGTGCCCGGAGACGGTCACAATATGACTGGTACGTGGATCCTGACCTTCTGGGGGAGACAGAACGGGGGCATCTTCCAGAAGAAGGGCTGTGTTCCCACCTGCCGCGCTGAAGTTGTTGATGAGAGCCTTGCGAGTACTGTGTCCTCGCTTCCACGGCGTGGGCCCGAAGGGGATGTGGACGTTACGTGCGGGCAAATCCGGGTAATTGCGGTTGATGCGGCTGCCAGGTTTGATACCGCAGTGGGGTGGGATGGTATTGTGCTTCATCATGAGGAGCACCTTGCACAGACTGGAGATGCCGGATACACCTTCACCGTGTCCAATATTGGCCTTCACAGTACCCACATGAAGCGGGTTTTCCGGCGATCGGGCGGTTTCATCTTTAGCAAACACGCCCAAAACAGACGCCATCTCCACCGCGTCGCCTACCTGAGTTCCAGTTCCGTGCATCTCAACGTAACTGACCTCGGAGGGGTCAACATTCACGGTGGATAGTACAGAGTTCATGTTGTCCACTTGGGCTTCAACATGCGGTCGGGTCATCGAGTCAGCCATGGAGGAATGATTGGTCTTCACATCTAGAATGACGCCCAGGATGGGATCTTTCTCCGCGATGGCGTCTTCCAGTCGCTTGATCACCACCGTGGCTACGGCTTCACCTCGGCAGTAACCATCTGCGGCATCATCAAACGGCTTGCAGTTACCGGTCCGAGACAGGAAGAAACCCTTATCCAGTCCAGTGTGGCCATCTGGGTTGATACACATGTTCGTGCCTCCTGCAATCGCGGTGTCGCAATCACCACGCCAGATTGAGTTACAAGCCAGATGGATAGCTGCTAGACTAGACGAGCATGCAGTATCATTCGTGTAGCTAGGTCCCGTGAACTCAAAGCAAAAGTTGATACGGCCCGGGATGAAGGCACGGTTGCCGCCGGTGATGAAATAAGTGTCGATGTACTGTCCACTGTTGCACTCTAGATAGTCGTTACTGGTGACACCGTGGAAAACCCCAACCCGGTCCTGCTGACTTGAAGGTGTGGTATTGGACACAAAGCCAGCTCCCTGAAGCGCCTCATAGGTTGTCATGAGTGCCATACGTTGCGCGGGATCCATCTGCGGCGCTTCCTTGGGCGAGATACTGAAGAAACGCGGGTCGAACTGGTCTGCAAAGTCCAGCCAGCATCCCCATTTCGTGCCACCCAGATTGTGGCCCTTGCCGTCGGCGGTGACATGGGTTCGCCAGTCCCACCGTTTCTGGGGAACCTCTTTGCAGACGTCCAGCCCTTCGTAGAGCATTTCCCAGAATGCCTCTGGTGTAGGGGACTCAGGGAACCGGCCAGACATACCCACAATAGCCAGCTTCGATTTAGCCCGGGGAGTCGATTGGAAACCGGTCTCCTGTAGTCCGTCCAGTGGCTGGACCTGAATGTTGGCCAATTCCTTCAGGCCGGCAGACAGATTTTGCTCCAGGTTGGTTGCGATAGGCGTGATGGTAATAGCCTCTGTCCCACTTCCACCCACAATGGAGCGGAAATTACCCACGACTTTGTCCCATCGGATAGATTCCAGCAAGCAATCGCCCAGGGCGCGTTCCAGGAGGGCGACGAATCCGCCCGCCCAGACCGGCATGCCAGTGGCGCCGGAAATGACTGGAAGTTTGGCATTGAAGCCGGACCACTGAGCTGATACAGTGGTTTCAAGGATTGTCTCTACATCCTTCTTAGAGAATAAGTGGCTACCATGGGCAGGGAGGAAGATGGGAATGGGCTTGGACCGGTACTGAGTAAACACCGGGGCGGAGCGAAGATCTTCCAGCACGGCGGGGTTCCCGCTGATAGTCAAGGCTTTGCCCGCCTGGGCACTCACAAAAGGCCGGGATAGCTCCGACACACACTTTACAATGTCAGCTTAAAAATATCACAAAAGCCGAGTATAGAAAAAGGAATAACTGACTTTGGTGCGAATAAACTCTTCTAGAGCGGGGATAGCTGTCTGCTCGTCCAATCCAAAGAACAGCATCGACCACTCGTTTGGCTGCCCAGCCTCCGGGCGCCCAATGCGATCCCTCACATCGACCGCGAGGAGACCAAGGCGCAACGCGACCTGAACAGTGTGCACCGCAGCCGGCAGCAATTCAGACAAGGAGCTGGACGAGGCAATCGCTGCTGCCGCCAGCGAGCCCGTACAGAGGCCAATTAGGTAGGTTGACCCTGGAGAGGGATACACGGCGCCAGGCTCTTCATAATGACTAAACGACACACTATCAGCTCTTCTGCTGAATCTTTTGATGAAATCTCCAGAAGGGACTTACCAGATAAACGAGCCCAATTGAGTTAGAGCATGTAGCGATACTTGGAAGGCTGGGCTCAAGCTGCCTTCGCAGTACTTTTGCAGCAGATGCGAGAGACTGGAACTCCGCGATGCTTGTCGCTCAGCAGATGAGCACCAAAGGTTGCTCTGGGCGCGGATGACAAAGTGAGACTGCTCGAGGAAGGCAGCGAGGATAGGCTTGCTCCTGCAGCTGAGCAGCCGACGAAGATCCGGGACGAAATCATAGGTTTGGTCGCCAAAGAGGAAAATGTGAGTCTCCGGCTTCATCATGGCGATAATCTATATAGTTGACTCGGGAATTTGGTGGGTTGTCCTTGGAGTGTCCCCACGGATTCGGTTACCGCACTAAGAGTCTAAATGAATAAATGAAGGAATGGTTGATCGCTCAAATAATCCCAATGACCAAGGACAGGCATCACCATATGTATACACGGTAGTTCCCTTTTCATACATTACCCAGTAAGCCCCTAATCTTGAAAAATGGCCCCCATAAGCTAAGCTAAGTGGTCGGAGAGCGATTGGGAAAGCGATTAGAGCTGACACAAGAACCTAATTGCTTATACCTACTCTCTGCAATTCCGTTGATTCGCTCTGCGAAAAACACGCCACCGCTAAATCTGAACCTCCGCACTCTAAGTCATTTGTTGTTTCTAAAATTCATCTTATTTGGTGATAGTGATCATGCTGGCTCGCCGGACAACATTGGGTCGCCGGCGACTGTCTCCAGCTTCAACACGGATCACTCTTCATACGCGTATCGGTAGCCCGCGATTTATGCCTCAGCGAATGGATTCACCTGGTCGGGTCTTCTCTCGCTATTTCTCTGTCACGGCAGTCAAGAATATCACCATCGGGGGCGTCATGATTCCTCAACTTTTTGTCCCGCCAGTCATGTTCGTCGGAATGCTGTTAACTCTCTGGGCCTGGAAATGCTTTTGGATCATTGTGATGCAAGATCGACTGATGTATATGTCCTGGATGCCTCCATTCTCGCGGTCGGAGAATATGGAAGATTATGAGATCGAGTGTCGGCCTGTGCGGTGGGAGGAGTCTTACTTCCGCAGCCTAGATGGCACCAAATTGGCCATTTGTATCGGCACTATTCCCCAGGGTGATTTTTCACCTCCATTGTTACCTCCCCCTCTGCAGCAGCGTAAGCGACATGTCGTGGTCTGTTATTTCCAAGGCAATGGGGGTTCCATGCCACCGCGACTCCCCATCCTCTCCACGGTGCTGCGAGCGTTAAGTTCCACACCATCCTCCCCAAATGCGCCACCCACTGAATATACACTGGTAGCTCTATCCTACCGCGGCTACTGGAAATCCTCCGGTCGCGCATCGCAGATTGGGCTTGAGCGGGACGCCCAAGCTTTCCTGGACTGGGTTGCGGAAACCTACTCGACCCCCGATACCGATCTCAAGGTCGTTCTCTGGGGTCACAGCCTAGGCTCTGCGGTGGTAAGCCATACTACGCCCACCTATCTCAACCGTTTAACCTCTACCGAGGGGGGCACTCCAGATCATCTGCTCTCCGGGATTGTGTTGGAAACCCCATCCACCAGCACTAAAGACATCCTGAAAAATCTGTACCCCCAGCGATGGCTTCCCTATCGTTATCTATGGCCCTTCCTCTGGAACAATTGGAGTAGCGCTGCAGCAATTACCCGGATCGCTCGTTGGCGGGATGATGCTCCAGACGAGCGGAGACAACCGCCTGCAATCCTGTTGCTCATCGCGGACCAGGATGAGATGATTCCGTCTACGGCAGCAGATGAGTTAGAGCGGTTGTGTCGACAGCATGGATTGGACGCTGAGCGGAAGAGTGTTGCAGGTGCGCTGCATACGGAGGCTGTATTGAAACGTGAGGGGCGGGAAACTCTACTAGCATTCATTCGGCGAGTGACACAAAATTAGAGACCACCAATACTTATATTATAGATTATAGACAAATCACAGCCATTGATGGCATATCTCCTTTCTTTCTCTCGCTCTAAATAGGCCAGACTACCCACCTGGACACCTGGCCGGGGGGCATAATTCAGCGTAATTCAGTGTGATTCACTTGGTGGCTTTGGTCGTTTAATGGGCTACCCCACATGAGCTTTAACAAGCTCAATGAGCCTCACTACTCAGAGTTGACAATCTTTCTTCACCAACGTAGAACCAACATGGCGTACTACAAGGCTGCTCTGTTGACTTGCTAAGGCGGTGCCTTCAAACAACTATCTTTAGTATCTCTACGCTATCCGTTTCAAGCAGGATATGTTTTCGATGATCACCACGACATCCCTGTCAACGCGGCCCGCCGGGGGAACTTTAAAGCCGCAGACCTAGATCTCGCTCTCCGAACCTGCGCTCTCATTGGTCAATATCGAAGTACCATCCACATCTATGGATCAAGATTGGATATATGAACTTGGAAAGCCAACAATCATAAATCCCTAGCTGTATTGTGGCTCTGTTTTCACGGCTGCTCGGTTGCCTTTGATCAATTTCGATTATTCTTTCCATCTTTACCAGCATGGGTATCGACGAAAGAACATCCGCGGAGGTACTGCCTTCGAGGGACTCTACAACCCTATTTTCAGATGACGAAGATGAATCCAAGGCCAATGTTCTTCCAATGGGGTGGCAGCTGGTGGGAATCATTGGCAGTCTGATGATGGCGGTCTTCTGTATGGCATTGGATAATACCATCATCTCTGTCGCCATCCCCAAGATCACGACGGAGTTCCACAACCTCAACGATGTTGGCTGGTATGCCTCAGCCTACCTGCTCCCAGGATGCGGTACGCATATTTCCCCTTTCGTGATATTCGAAATATAACAGCTGACAGCTTCACGCGACTCATAGCTTTCCAACTTCTCGCAGGCAAGCTATACACACACTTCAACATCCGGCAGGTTCTCTTCGGTGCGATATTCATTTTCGAAGTCGGTTCACTGGTATGTGGTGTGGCGCCAACCTCGACCGCGCTCATTGTCGGCCGCGCCGTAGCCGGACTGGGTAGTGCCGGTATCTTCACTGGCGCGCTGGTATCCATTGCGCATGTGACCGCATTGGAGAAGCGGCCCCTATACTTTAGTCTGATTGGAGGTGTCTATGGTCTTGCCTCTGTCATTGGGCCTTTGGTTAGCTTTTTTCTGCCTCTCCATAGTACAAGAACGTCGTCGCTAACACAGTTCACAGCTCGGCGGTGCCTTCACCGACAAAGTAACCTGGCGCTGGTGCTTCTACATCAACTTGCCGCTGGGTGGTGTTGCAGTCGTAGGACTGGTGTTCTTCCTTCGAATGAAACCACGACAAGCAACCCAGAAGTCATGGAAACAGGTTTTCTGGAGCTTGGATCCTTTTGGGACAATTCTGTTCGTCCCTTCCATCGTTTGCCTGCTCCTCTCGCTGGCATGGGGTGGCAGCACCTACGCATGGTCAGATGGTCGCATCATCGCTCTCTTTGTGGTCTTCGGCTTGACCCTAATCACTTTCTGCTACCTCCAATGGCACTTGAAGGGGAACGCGACAGTCCCGATTTCCATCGCTAGTCAGCGGACGATCGCCTGTGCATCGCTCTTCGAGTTCTGCCTTGGTGCTTCGTTCTTCATCTTTGTGTACTTTGTGCCACTTTGGGTATGTCCCCAATCCCGTTCCCCTTCCATCAGATTTTGGATTTAACATACCTTCCCATGTGCAGTTCGAAGCGATTAAAAACACCTCGGCAGTCACAGCAGGCGTTGACCTTCTCCCCCTCATTCTCTCCGAGATCGTCGGAATCGCTATATCCGGTGCTCTCGTAACTCACCTGGGCTACTTCAGCCCCTTTTTCATCGCCTCCTCGGTGGTAATGTCCATCGGTGCAGGTCTCTGTCTCCTTTTCGACATAGATACCCCTACGGCCAAGTGGGTCGGATATCAATTCCTATACGGCTTTGGAGTGGGGCTGGGATTCCAACAAGGTACTGTCGCCGCCCAAGCCGTGTTGCCTTTCAATGACGTTGCTGTTGGCACTGCGGTCGTGGTGTTCTTGCAAATTCTGGGTGGATCCATTTTTGTGTCTGTCGCACAGAACCAGTTCACAACAAAGCTGGTAAGCAACTTGCTGGCGCTCGATATTCCGGGGTTAAGCCCGCAGGGGATCGTTTCTGCTGGAGCAACAGGATTACGCGATTTGGTATCAGCGGAGGATCTGCCGATGGTACTGGTTGCGTATAATGACGCAATTGTGAGTGCGTTGAAGGTTGGGGTTATTATCGGCGCTATTAGTATAATTGGCGCGCTTGGGGTGGAGTGGAAGAGTGTAAAGCAGCCGGCGGGGAACGGGGAGGAAGGAGGGATGGTTGCGCCGATTGCCGCGTAATGGGTGAAAGAGCTCAGATTGAATCTGAATTGTAGATAGAGATTGGTAAATTGGAATTTCCACTCATAACGAATTACGCATTAAACGATTGAATCATCCTCTTGGGTATGTACATGTAGTTATTTACCAGCCTTCGGATATAGTACATGTATCCCAAATCACACGTTCCCTGAACTGTACGTTGCTGGGACACTCGTACGTAAAAGCAAAGCTCGGGGATTCTGACCATCTTAGCTTCAAAAGTAAGAGCTTCGTATTTGAATTTAGGCTTCTCGGCTTAGGTTTACTTACCCTCGAGTGTTCCGCGAAGTTTCGTTAAGTAGATCATTAGATTTAACATGTTTAATTAATTCGTTCTCTAGCATGATACCTCTATAATCCAGCAAATTCCACCTTTATGTGAACAATCTTTTGACCAAAGTCACTCAATATATATTTTAGACTCGGAACGCCAAGGGAGAAATCATCTTCCAAAAACCAAGCTCTGTCGGTTCATTTGATTAATTTTAAACCAATGTCAGATTGATGATGCATCCAGAAAAGCTGAAAGAAGAAAGAGGAAACAGTATGTTTCAAGAGAAGTAAGACGCCGTTAAGAATCCAACGAGAGATGCGAGGACAAAAGTATTGTCACACAACTGTCAAAGACTACATCCAATATTTAAATTAAATTAAGATTGCACTGTGATTCTAAGTTTGAGAGATTTCAACTGGCTGTTTACACTACACCTAGCCATTTACAAAACTGAAGCTCTACGAGAAGAGGTAATAATGGATGACTCGATACTCCACCTCGACCCGCCCGGCCCGTTCCGAGAACGAAAAAGGCATAATATTTGATCAGCGACCAAACACCCGTGGACCCTTGGAACCCTGGAAAATACAATGCATTTATGGATATATGAACCTTGACAGAGCCAATCACTTATTCGCTAATTTCCCCAGACTCCCAGGAACTCGAACCACACTCCAGCCCCCTAGATTACTGTTTAAAGTTCGCTGATGAGCTCCATAAATTCCAAGCAAGCGGACATAAGTTTCTGTTCACAAGCGTAGACCTAACATATGGCTCAGCAACCGCTTCCGCGTAACGCAAGCCAGGTCCAGATCTTTAGCTATGATTGGGGGCTCAGTAGAACTATCTATGTGTTTGTGTGAATGGCTAGCCAAGGGAAGACTGACAGAACTAAGACTAAAGTTTCAGGTTATATGAGTCCGAAGAATAGATGTAAACCTGTCAAAAATTGACTTTATTTCAAGTAGAGTATTTCTCCAACACCTAGATTCAAGTTCACATCAATGAGACCTTTTATCGCAATAAAAATCTAGATGCTCCATATTCTATAATAGGGTCCTAATTCTAGATTCTGGACATTGAAGTCTTCTTTAAAAAAGAACGCTCAAGGTGCAGGTGCACAACGTGTACTATGCACTGCCCCCCTCACCAAAACGCTCTCTAAAACCAGGACAAAACTCGTTGGTTTTATGTTAATTGATTCATAAGAGTTCACGCACGCTGATATCTCAAAGACTCAAAGGGTAGACCAGTGAAAGAAAGCAATGCCTTCGGTTGCCACAAAATAATGGTGCCTGATCAAAAAAACATTTGCTTGAGGCAGCAGTAATTTGGTGGACGAGGGAAACTTGGGACAAAGCGAAAAATTCGGCAGACATCTGTTGAAATGGTAATGACATGTGTCTTGCGTCGACAGCCGAGCATATAAATTTCAAACTCATGTTGGCTCTAGCTGACATGTCGAGCCATAAGGGGCAGCCCCTCAGAGCAGAGGGAATTATTCCAAGCCATCTCCCGGTGACTTGGAAGTCTATACTGCCTTTGAGAAAATGCCTCGTCAATCCAGCTTCCATCCACCTTGCTTTTCCTAGGCCGAACTCGGTCTTCAGCCCATGCCTAGGGATGAGAAGTTGTCATCCAAATGAGAGAGAAACTCATACATTGCGAAGGATGGATTTGATCACATCCCGTACGGTCTCGAATTGTCGTCGGACCTCTGTCTCAAGCGGCAGAAAGACGAGATCGAACATCCTGACATCTGTCTCAGTTTGGATTTGATTAATATTATTATCGAAGTCAAATTCTGGCGGTGATTCTGCAACAGAAGTTTGACCGCTCGCCATTACTATGGGGTCTATTGAATCCGAGAAGTTCAATGATTGGAGAGGTGTGGGCGAGCGACGTGGACTTGTAAGTGAGGAAGAAGAGGAGGGCCGTTGACGACACTGGTGGAAGAGAATATCGATAAATTGGAGCACACGGTGAAGCTCGCCAAAAACCACGCTCGCGCGGGCTACCTTGTCCTCGCAGCCCGCTGGGCCCGACACGGCCACGGCAGCATGTCGAGCTAGAACATCCATGGCGGCGAAGACGAGCAGATATCGTAGCTGGTGGTTTGTTTGTAGACACGGGCATTCTAACGCCGAGGTTGCCACTTCTAGGATGTTTCGATTGCACCCCATGGCTATGTCAACCCCCGGGGAACTAGGGGAAAGCAACCAGGGTTTGTAATGAGTATCATTCTGCGCCCCGGAGAGAACAGCCAACATCTTTTGTGAACAGCTGTTCTGGCCCATTAGGGCGCCGTTGCAGAGGCTGCTGGTGGATGATGAGGATGATGTTCCCAGACTATCGAACTGGTTGGGTATGTCGCCCAACCCAGGCCATAATTTGTAGGGGTCAACCAAGGCTGATGATAACGTGTCTGGTTGCCCTCTTGTTGATTTCGTTGCATTGTCACAAAAACTACGCTCCGACGGGAGCACCCCGAGTAGATAAGGAGAGAGGCCTTCCCCTGTGGATATTTCGGTACCAGACATCGAGTGAATATTTGGCAACGCAAGGCCGCAGAGTTCATCTATATCACTTGGCAGTGAAGCCGAGAACTGCGCAGCAAACTCCACACTTTTGTCGCTTGATGCAGCAGGGGGTGATTGAGGTACCGGAGTGGGCCTAGTGGATGTGCTGATCCGATCTGTGGACAAGACACGCTCGGCAGCTGGGCGTCGACCGGCACGGTGGGAGACTTCATAATTGCAACGGAGCCCGCGAGTTTGGCAGCGTGTACAGGTTGGCTTCTCTTTGCCGCACTTCACTTTGACAAATGCACACTGGCTACAACTCTCCTTGAATTTCCGGCGCGTTTGGCCACCGGGGGATCGTATTGTCACCATCGGGGAACGTTATAAAGAAGTTGAGTCTTAATGAAGGATGGTGGAGACGGAGGCAAGAAAGGCTTGACACTTATATCGCTACAAGGTACTCATCTACATCTATATACGTTGTCTTACTTGGGGGCCGTTGGCTTTGCTCTACCTTTCGTCTGACAGTATCCATCCATCGTGGTGAGCAAGACTTCCTTCTACGTACATACGAATCTAACGCAATCTCGTATTTATAACGATCCTTCCTATGAGGGTTAGGGGGTTCTCATTAGCCAACTGCCATGAGATCCCCATGCAGTAAATGTCTCAATCGCTAAGGTTCCTGCAGCCTGGGTCGCTGGTGGCAGGGGGCAAGGGGGTCTGAACGTGCAGGTAAGCCTTATTGATCAAACCAGATGCATCAGTGTTTACGCCCATGGATAGGAGCTTACCTTGATCCTGCCATTGGTGGGTGACACGTGGGGATTCAGAGTTGGGGCACAATTGGTGGGATAACAAACCTTGGCAACCAGGGTGTGATGCAACATGCTTGATATACGAGCATGTAATATATCTCTGTGAATGAATGGACCCACTTATAAAGCGCAAAATTGCAGGTTAATCGTAAAAGGGAAGAATATGGAGCTTTTGTTCTCAATACGAAACCTGGCAAGGTTAGCTTCGAACCGCCAAACCCCTGCCCGTGTTCTTGGAGAAAAAAGTCAACAAGAGCACATTTAAGACTATGGAGTAGTTGCTACGGCCTTAGGGATGCACAGGTGGTTCCGCAGGTTAGTCACAGGTACTTTGTAGATATCGCCGAATCTGGTAAATGGATCGAGATCCGGGAAGCGAGTAAATCCTGGCGAAGGCACTAATACCGACTGAGCAAATAAGAAATGAATTAGTGGAAGAAGGTCTGACGAAGGATAAGCCTAGATCCTTCCTGAGGTATAGGATTTAGGTAACAAAGTATCTGCATCATAATGTGGCTAAATCCCTCTAGGCTACGGTAGCCGTGAGAATATTCCCCGGTCGAAGGTCGGCTAAAATACGGAGGAGCCACCGTGGCGACGGCAAGATTTACTCATTTCTCTAGCTTACGCCCGATTACTAGCCGATTGTTACATACGTACCTACATACAAGCGTCGCGCCAGGGCTGCACGGACCTTCTTCGTCTCTCACCTCTAGGGCTTAACTAAACTCTTTCTCAGATAAGCCCTGGGCAATTTCAATTTCCTACGGTCCTTGCCAAGTAAGCCAATCTGCAGGCATAGTGTTACGGCCAAACGCAAACCATCACTTGACTAAATCTTGTTAGACGTAAAAGGTGGAGGCATACATTGTCAGTTTTGATAATTCTACGATCATTTTTAGAAGGGTAAGTATCAGAAAAGATAGATATTCTATCACAAAAATCCCTAAAGAAGGCTTTTCGCATCGATATGCCGCGAAATTTCTCAGCTATGTAAGACCATTTTAAATGTTTTATGGTATAGTATGGTACTAATGCCAATTTTAGAAATTCAAACGACACTAGTCATGTAGGTAAATGGTTTGAGTTTCCGTTGCTCCGAGCTAACCCTATATTCGCATCTGTGTTGGGGTCTCTTGGGATCAGATCGTGGGCTACGGGCCATAATATATATGATTCAATAGGGAGCATATGGGTGACATGTCAACTATTTCGTTGCTACACGGAGTACAGTGCTAGGTATTTAGGTATCCGTAGTACATAGTCGTTTTGGTATACTTGGGTAAACTTTGCCGAATCCCTGGTTTGCCAGATAAGCACCCGTTCCAAGGTTTATCCCGAAGGTTATCGTGTCCGGCCTTCACGGGTGGGCCCATTGGACGTAGCGGGTACAACCGTGACCTTTTTACGACACAGATTGAGATATTCATTTTATATATTGCTGAATAGGGGCTTGTCTCTCAGCATCGTGGGGCCATGTAACCCACTCACTGGGCTTACGTTACGTGTGTTTACGAACCGGGAAGGTATGTACAGGCTGTGGATTCCCAGTTGTGAAGGAATCATTAAATTTGGAAAGAATAGACTTTAACAATCAATCCGTATTTCACTCCGCAGGCGGTAGCGGTGGACGACAGTGGGAGGTGTTGTGATATGAGGCTGGCCACGGATTAGGAACCAGACCGCCCTGTTGGGAATAATTCCCCAGGTGTGTGTACGAATAACCAGGTTGATTGATATCTAGTTAACTCGTATTATACAAATAACCTCGAATACGGGGGAAAGCCAGTTCTGCCATCAGGAGGGTTTTAATAGCTGCTACTAGATGAACGGTTATGTGGAATTATCTTTTCTTTCAATGGCCAGAAGTGTCGAAGCTACAGTTTCGTCATTTGACCTTTTGGATGTCGAGGAATATTCTAAGCTGACCAGACCTTCGGTATCAATGGATCAATATCCAAATTCCTGAAAGGCGCCATTCCCATTTCTATTCCCATTCGCATTGGCGTAGCTCTCATATGCAACCTCAATGACAGAGAGCGCGGAGCCTGGCGACCTACGAACCTTCTGCACAGCCAGCCGCCCGGCACCATCACTGGTCGCGTCCAAAATCCGCTGGAATTCAGTCAAATCCCTCTCCTTGGTATTAAAAACTTGCTGCATGGTCAGATCCCGGTACCTCTGGAGTGCATCATCCAGAACACCGACTTGACCTGGCTCAGGAAGCACTGTGTCAATGATGAGCAGCCGGGAATCTGGGTTTGAACGCAGGGGCTGCACCAAGGGGGCGAGGATACGAATGGCGTTGGAATCCGCATGATTGTGAAGTACCATTCGTAGCAGATACACATTAGCGTTCTGAATCGGCTGCGCACTACAGTGGTCGTAAACGCTGGCCTCAATGACCGAGCGAATAGCCTCTGGCTGCGATTTCAGGAACGAGCGGCTCTGGTTAGTCTGCTCGGCTGTGTCTTGCACTACAAATCGTAGTCGAGGGAAGGCCTCAGCTAGCGCTACACAGACGTTTCCTGGGCCACCGTCGATCTATTTTGCTATTTGTTAGACAGTTGCGCAATGGTTATGCTCGAATCAATAAAACTCACATGAACCACAAGGGCTTGATTCAGCTGAGCCCAGTCGTAGTCTGCGATCAGATGCCGTACAGCTGTACCCTCGCTGGCAGAGACTCCTTTCATATAGCCGCCGAAGAGTTTATTAAACTCCCGCGAGCGGGTAATGAAGGTAAAAGCAGACAAGGGCGTATTCATGGCCAAGTTGACCGCTGTTTCAGTAGGCTGCTCAGACTCGCCCCATTTCTCGGTCGCCTCTGCCATCTGGGAAGAGACAGGCATATAGAAGTCGGTCATGAACCTAATCCAGCCTAGATAGGCAGGAAGAGTGACAAACTGCCTGGAAGTGGGGTTATGCGCAATTTCGCCCGGTTGGGGCTCACACAGGCAGCCACTTGTAATGGCCATGCGAACTACGCTCTTCAATTGCCGCTCTGGCACGGAGCAGATGCTTGCCAACTGGGAATACGGGACGGAGCCCGTTAAGGGCACCGCAGCGAAGACTTGGAAATGCGCCAACCATTTGATGCACGCAATATATTGGTACTGAGTTCCTCTGGTGTTAGTGACTTGATAGAAATTGAGTGCATGGGAGACTTAGGGAACTTACTTGAACGGCTAGCATCGGGAGATATTCACAAGGCTCCGCCGCCACTTGAAGCGCCTCTTTGGCAGCAGAGAGGAGCTGTTGGCGGGCTTGTCGAACATATTCCGGGGCCGTGTGAGGCAGGACTACCGATGGGGCGTCCGGACTCAAAGACGGATGTGGGCTCTCATCGAGAGTGCAATACCCACTAATGACCTTGGCGGCTGCACTGATAGTTTCGGCCAAACTCTCTAGATGGCTTGAGTTGTTCATATCGTTGTAAAGAAATATTGCAATAGTAACGTAAGAGATGATGGCCGTCGTTGGCGTTAATTGGAGCTCTATATCATGGAAGTTCCGTAACACCGTTCTAAGATTGCAGAGGAGCGAAATGATAATCCATCCGGGTTCGCTGACCGAAGATATTCGAGGCCGGCTAATGCAATGCAAGGCGACTGGATACCATATTTTGCTTTTGTTATATTTAACGTACATGGAGATGGATTGTTGGGGTCAAGAGCCCTGCTAGTGCTCGTGCTGCTCTTGCTTCCTATCCGCAATGAGGTTTCTTTGTCTCCATGGAGCTGGGACTAGTGGTGCCATATTCCGTGCACAAACCGGTATGTGCCTTGTCGCGCGATCCTTTACAAATCGGGGCAGAGATTTATCCGTCGAGATAGAGAGGGGCTAGACTGACCAGAGGCGAGTACAACAGCGGCATTTCGAGAGAAATTGGATCCCATACGACACACCTTCGACTTTATCGATGCCCCTCATCCATCCACGGCGGGCCCAGGAATCTCAGCATTCTTTCCTGAACCCTATTTTTCCTTTTATCGCTCAACAGACCTGGAAGAGGTTGGCAAGACGCACCAGTGGGTACTCAGGCATCTCCACAGCCAGGCCGAGCCATATGACGCCCTACTTTGCTTTTCCCAAGGCTGTGCAGTTGCAGTCTCCATGATTTTCGCGCACCAAAACGAGAACCCTGAAGTCGAATTGCCGTTTCGCGCCGTTGTGTTCATTTGCGGTGGGCCGCCCCTTCCCATTCTCGCTGATTGGGGCATTCCCATTCCGAGATCGGCCTGGGAAGTGAATGAACGGACCGGGCGAGAGCTTTGGGAGCAGGCAAATTCGAAGGAGAGCCTGTTGGTTGCCCGTCGGGCGAAAATTGAGCCATCACCCAGTCGAATGGCAACGTGGTTCCCCGGTACCGATAACCTGGAGAGCGAGGATCCGTATACACTGCCCGCAATTGACCTGCGAGATGTGTATGGCCTCGATTTGACTAAATTCCCCGAGAGTTGTCGGATCCATCTCCCCACCGTCCATATTTACGGGCGGCGGGATCCTCGCTGTCCGAGCGCACGACAGTTGGCTTTATTGTCCGACGCCAATCAACGGTTGGTCTATGACCACGGCGGTGGGCACGAGATCCCTCGAACGACACAGGTGTCAGAGGCTATTGCAGGGGCAGTGGATTGGCTGGAGGATTGTCTAGCTTCAGCTTGAAATGAGCTATGTGGTGGGGCTCCTCGCCGACTATCGGGAATTGGCCGAGCTCATTGTGCCCCTTTTCTTAAGTACTATGGGTTTGCATCATTTCCTCCTCATTTTAAATATACTAGTTTTGTTATTAGTACTAGGTATCAAGTACGAAAAGAAATATATTGAACCAGGCATATTAAGACTTCCAATGATATTGTTAAGAGATACTATTTACATACGGAGTACTCTACCCCAAATCGCCAACCTTGGAACTGCACAACTGCTTAAACTGCTTCCGGTTAGCGCCATCTGGACACGAGAATCTATTTTCGTTGTTTCACCGTCAAACATCCCAGTCCGTCTTACATTTCCCAAGTTTTGACTATTACGTATTATTCAGAAATAATGAAAGTCTTGTTTGGCTTTTTTAGTATTGATTGGGAAAATTCAGCCTTAGGCGGGACGGCCCATCCTGAAGATGAGCTGTGAGCGAAATGTTAGGGTCACCTTGGGCGTGCCCTAAATTCTTACTACATAACAAGCGTGGGGGCGGAAGAACGGCCACGCCTGGAACTACCCATGTTTTTTGTTCTTTTTCCTTTTTCTTGACTTTCTTGGCTTTCCTTGGCGATGCTTCTTCTTGGCAGTGGGCAAACATGGTCAAAAACAACCATACAAATCTAAGTATAGATACCGTACGTGTTTAGCTGGTATATCATATCTTCTGCCTCTTTTATGGAATTTTATGTGTCCCCTTCTAAACAGGGTGGACAATTATTGTTGCAATCCGTACGAATGTTTGTTTATTACTGAAGCTATGTAGACATCTCGGGATTTATTGCGCATGGTGTGCTTTTACAACAATTATAGACGACTTGATACATCCTTATAGAGCTCTTAGGTGGCAGCGCATACACATTAAAGACAAAAAAACATCGCAGTCGCATAAAGCCCGTCTTTGTGAACAACAACTCTCGCGAAGAAACGACAACAAGACTGGGACTAGTCGTCCACTATCACAATCTCTTCCACATACTCATTCATGTCTTTCATCATCGCGTTCTGTGGCTCTTGGAGTGAGATACCGCTCACCAATGGCGTGGACGCAGTACGTTGTGACACTGCCACAGCAATGACCGTGTCATGCCCGTGAGAAATGCTGAGTAGCACGTTTGTGATACCCGCGTCCTGAGCCGCGCGAAGAGCAAGACCGTGCAACTAAATCCAAAAAGAGATATTGTCAGTGACTGCGTAAACCACAAGACAGAAATACAGGCAGACAAGGGGAGTATGAATGAGGAAACAGCGGGTGTAATTACCTGTACACGTGGAGAGCCATTGTCGTAGGTGCAGATCTCGATTGTATTCATAGCGGCGCCCGCACCCTGGGATTTCACACCCATGCTTTTGAATACGGCCTCTTTTGCGCACCAGCGGCTAACGTAAACACTGTGAGGGTCCCGAGAGCGGCTTGCGTGCTCGCGCTCGGCGCGCGTATAGTTTCGTGCGAGAAATGTAGGGTTCAAATCCGAAGAAAACTCGGTGCTGGACTCAATGTCGATACCTATGGAGCCGATTGGAGAGGACATGACTCCAATGTCGCTCAGGAGCCGGTCGATAACATCATATGCTTCCATGCTGAATGAGAGGTCTCCATACTTGGTTTCACCAAGGGGTAAAGCCGATGATATCGGCGCTTCAGTTCGCTCGACAGTCAGTGCAACTTCGACAGGGTCCCCGTGAAGATTGGCAGGGTCGAAATAAATCTTCTGGGTCTCGGGGTGAATACGCGCACGTGCTAACGGATCTAGAAGCACTGTGGCTTCGTCTTCCTTCCGATATGGAGGGTGCTCCTGAGCTTTTACAATCGAGTTTGACATCACGGATTTTGCAAAAGCGTGGTTCGCTAGTTTGATCCGTTGACTGTATTTGCGGGCATAACCAGCGTAACAATCACTCCCCAGCGTTGCAAATAGATACCTCGGAGCCACACCCACCATCTGGGCGCCCTTCTGGCCAAACCCAAAGGAGTTCAAAAGGAAAGCTTTGACTCCCGGAACCCGCAACGTCTCATTGGGGAAGGCCAAATGCTCGAACTGTTGCAGGGCGGGGTCGATATTGTCACAATTGAAGTTTCCCGGTACCAAGCCCGAATGCAAGACCTGGAGGCATCCGTTAAGCATCCAAGCAGCGGCTGCAGCTTTAGGATGACCCGTGGTGGCTTTCTGACACATGGCCAGAAGGGGAGGCCCCTTGCGACCCAGATGGGTCATTTGAGTGTTAATTGTTTCGGGTTCGTTGATATCGTTGGCTTTGGTAGATGTCCCGTGGAGCGACACGATTCCGATATCATCGACGGTGAGTCCAAAGACTGCGAGTGAGGCCCTTAAAGGGGAAATCTCTGAGTTCTGAACACGGAACTGATTTCCCCAGTGTTTCCGAATTTGCTGAGTGAGGATTGGATCGACGTCCTTGGGCGCACCAGTGGGAGCGCTCGTGACTTGACGCTGGCGGATGTCAGCGTCGGATGCACGTGAGAGACTGGCATGCAATCCTTCTCGTCTGTAATTTATGTTGAGCAATGGGGAATTGACGGCTGCGGGTGTTTCTCGGGCGAAAGTCAAGAGGCCTTTGCCCGGTGCAGGAACTGAGCGGCTGATCTTATCGGATGCCATTGTTGAGCCAGCCACCACAGCGTAAATGGGCAATCCCATCTCTATGGCCATCTCGGCGTTGCAAATAAGTTGAACTCCGCAGCCCTGGGCTTCCAAAAAGCCAGCTCGGGTCTCTGCCGTAGGACGGGAGAATTCAGCTGGTTGTCGGCCCTCAGCAAACTGCTTGGCGGCATCAACAGTAGCTTTCATGGTCGAGAAGGCGTAGGATTCGTCTTCTTGCAGGTTGTCTGTACCGCCTACAAGACACATGCGCGTTTTCCCATTCACAATAGAATCAATGCCCAGATCCATAGATTCCAGACTGGTCGCACAGGCGCCCACGGGGGTCTTGATAGGCCCACTGGAGCCAAGTAAAAGCATGTTCACCCAGGCAGCAGGCGTGTTCAAATTGGTTTCCTGAAGCACGTCTCCCTGGACACGCTTGTCGAGGCGAACGTCATGGAACATCTCCCGATTTTTGTCAGTCCCGCCCAAGGAACTTCCAATGAAGTTTCCAATCTCTGCCAAGTGGATCTTGGTGAAGACTTCAAGTGGGTTCTCAATACCCGCGCTCAGGAATGCTTCAGCCACGCAACACAACGTGTACAGTGTTACGTTATCCACCTGGCCAATGATGTCGTCGGGGATTCCATATCGGGCCGCATTCCACCCGGTTGGTAGTAGACCAGCCACCACACTTGAGGCAAGCGGCACGATCTTCGGCACCCAGAGGTGGGCACCGGCTTTGATTTGTACTCGAACCGTGTCTGATTCATCCAAATAATGGATGGAAACGTGTTCGCCATGCTTCCTGTGGAAAGCATCTGCTGTCGCCCGGGTACATTCAAACGGATGAAGGTCTTCTTCCACTGCAATTTCTTGCAAGAATTCTTTCTTCATTGGATCGTAACCACCAAGAGCTTCAGGTTCAATCAACCGAACACCCGCATGGTCTAGGATGTTGGCGTGGTATCTTGCGGCAACTTGGTCATCTCCAATGGGTTCTTCATTTTTCGCATCGACCCAGCCGACATAATGCTCACCTGACTTGAGTTGGCCATCGAAGTGCTTGATCAAACCCATAATCCAGGCCATTTCGATGTATCCGTCTTGAGCCAACTTCCGCTGGCTCTCCATTTGCCAGCGGGTTCGGGAATTACCCCAAGGCCCAAGCTCGGAAAACCCAACAATAACAACCACACTACTCAGGTCCACCATGCCTTCAAGGTCAGGGAGGGTTTTGAGATCCTGATCGTAACTGGGTAAGGTGGGGAACTTCAATTCAAGCCTGCTTCGCCGGGGTCGTGGGATTGCAGACGATTCAAGCTTGGTAAGGTCCTGAGGAGGCCCATTGGTTAAATTGTATGCTCGAGCGTCTTCTTCGAATATCGCCTTGTGGCATTGCTGCTGCTGGCGAATTGTCGACCGTGCTTTGGTTGTGATCTTCTTCAACTCTTGAAGCTGTTGCAATCCGCCTCCAAAATCGGCTAGGATAGCTTCATCCTCACAGAAAGTCGAAATTTCGGGAATGAGAAGGGAGAGGATATTCAGTGCCATTTCCTCCTGTGAGAACGACAGGACACCATGCGCTTCCACGCTTTCCGCGAGGATGTCGTTAGACTCCATTAGTCCAGTCCCACGCGTCCAGCCGATAATGATACCGCAAACAGAGACTTTGTCCTTCCAGGACTCGGAGGCAAAACGGTTGAGGATACTTTCGAGCCCTAGCTTTGATTCTGAGTAGAGGCCGTCTCCTCCAAATGTCCCATGGTTAGGGGACAGAGGAACCAAGACTTGAGTGGGACGGAAATGAAGCCCTCGATTTGTCTTCTGTTGTACGACATTTCCGATCAGGCGGAGAACATTCGTCAACATCAAGCGATGAGCTACCTCTGACATAGGTCCTATTTGATCGATCTCCGCTCCGTCTTCAGGCATTGCAGCGAAGGGAATGAGAACATCTATATTGCGGGCAAGACCAGACTCATCGTGAACGTACTCGATCAGCTCTTTGCAGTCTGTCACGCTTGCCTGGTTAAAGGGTAGGACATATAGCTCAGAGTCACGACCACCAAAATCGCGATAAATCTTCTGGTAGAATGCTTGAGCACGGGAGACCGCCCGACTGGTAGTCACAATCACAGTTGCTCCTCCCATGAGCAACTTTTTGACCAGCTCAGCTCCAATAGAGCCTATGCCTGCTCCGGTTATGAGGGCCACTTTCTTGTGGAAAGACAGACCTTCTTGCTGAGCACGCGATATGGCCTCCCAATGGTAGCCGGTTAAGTCGCGATTGATGTCCCAAGAACCCCCCGACTGAGTTTTCAAGGCTGTATGCTGTCCATCTTGGAGGACCTGCGCATACTGAGCGCTCGATTGAGATCTAAGACGTGCAACTTCTGAATAACTGACGGACCCATCCGGGTTGACTCTGGTGCGAGGTGCTGATGGCACGAATGCAAAGGATGCCCGTGGTGGGAGTGATAGGTTATCCCGGATCATATTTGCGAGGATCCTGCCAGTAACAGTGAAAGGAGCTTTTTCCTTTTGAGATGTAGAGGAAGTTATCATATGGGAAATCAACTCTAGAGTCTGCTGGTTCGATCTGTTTGCAATATGTCGTAGGGAGTCCCAATTTGCTTGGTCGGATGCAGCGGAAGACACCAAAGACTGTAGGGATGCGGGATCGTGATAGAGACGGCATACATCCACCCGGGTCTGGTTCCACCAGAAGTCGAAATGTCGGAGGTGATTTTTGTTAAAGGTTGGTTGGATAGCCTTCTCAAAATCTGGCCCATATTCAGATGTCCAGAGCGAGAGGCGATTCAGTTGAGTCTTAAACTGGCTTTCCAGTTCCAGGAGTTTCCCTCTACTGACGTCTTCAATGCCGAGGTAGCGCACTAGCGCCTGATGCTGCAGGGTCCCGAGGCGCTTTTGGTCTTGTGTGAGCTTCTCAAGCGACTCACTGTCCATGGTCATCGCGGCAGTTGAACGTTTCGTTGTGGCTGAAGCTTTCTGCAACTTCAGGCCACAGTAAGCTGCATATTTGGCAGCAGCATCATCCAGCATCAATTTCGCGGCACCAATAGAGGACAGACGAGATGTAGCGTCAGCAATACTTTGTGTCATTGCGAAGACAATGGCAGACATCTGACGAGATGAACCTAAACCCCATGTAGCTTCCAGGTATTGCCGCATGGACTTCAAGGTGAATTTCGGTGGTAGTGTGGACGAAACCCACCGCGAAATCATTTCCGAAAACGCTTGGCTAACTTGACCGGGATTATGTGGCTCCAGAGCGTCCGCGAGGTTTGAAAGGGGCATGTCCTCAGCGCCATCCGGAACAGAGCCAAATTGGTCCGTGAGATCTCCCATAAGTTCATTTTGCAGTGTTGACTTTCCTAAACGATAATTAGCCCGGGATTAGGAGGGTGTTGATAGAAATATGTTAGAGAGGAAGATTTACCAGAAGATAGGTCCTTCAGCGATTGTCTAGCAGAAATCTTGCCCATTGACTTCCGTAGCTTGAATGCCACTAACATCGTAATCAGCTGCAATGCGTGCATTGGTACATCGTCGATGCTAGCAGTCGGAACGATGTCTGATGCCGATGAAGTTGGAGCATCAGCGGGTGGAGCGGGTTGCGCTGTTGTATCAACGATTTCGGAAGTCACATCTTCCTCCTCTGTTTCCTCGTCTGCATCAGGTCTGCTTTCGTAGTGATAGCGAACCCGTGAGAGATTCTCTACGCTTGAAAGGAACTCGCGATGAAGCCCAAGTAATGAATCCACTGTGTCATAGCGGGATACCCGTGTCTTCGAGGCCATATTGGTCAGAGTGGATGAAGGGCCGAGCTCCACAAAGCGGGCGATCTGCCGTTCCCTCGCAAACAAAGCATCTTGCGTTTCGATCCTAGGTCCCAATCAGTGAACCAACATCTATTAAATCCTGTAGGCCACTTACCATCGAACGGGAAATGCAAATTGATGACTGGGCAGTGTTAGAGAGGGTTCCGAAATTACAGGATGGGGATACATACGCGAGCAATTCGACAAGCAAGTGATACGCGATGTGTTGTTGTTCCTCTTCCGTTCGCACGGACGGCACAATTACACGTGACACCATTTCAGACGAAGTTGAGCCTCTTCGACGCTCGTTTGTACTTCGCTTCACCTCTGGTTTATCTTCAACTTTAACATCGAGATAAGGGATCGTTGCGAGAAAGAACGTACAAGAGATCAAACCCAGTCATCACCAATGCGGAATTCGGACTATTAACCACGTTCTGTGTGAAAGCTGACATTTTCCGTGGGGTCGGGAAGGCGACGTAGTTCGGAGAGCGAAGTGTTGCTCAGGACAGCGGGATGATTCGCCTCAACGGAACGGGAATGATGGCTTGCGAGCCTTGTTGGCTCCCCGAGGCTAAATTAATTCCCTAATGGCTCATATTTTCTAGCAATGGAGACAATGAGGGCTACAGCTCGTGACCTCGAGGCCACATCAGAGTATCTCTCTTATTGCATCCGTTGTGCACTACCCGTGGAGGCCATTCATTCATCATTTCCCAGATGGAGTCAACAGCATCGGCTCTTCCTCATTGGAGGATTGACATCCCAGATGACCTCCTTCACACCTTACGTGCATATCTATCACGATTTAGGCAAAATGTTGCTACGCCCGAGCCTAACAATATTCATACCAAGGACGACTATTGCATTCCTCTTACCGAAGTTGCCTCCTTCCTCGACCATTTGCACCAAGCCCAGGTTGATGATGATCTGATTACAGCCCTTGCCGAGTCATTTCGGCGCTGTCTTCTGTCAACCACTGACATTCACACCCTATCAACCAGACTCGATAGTACCTCTCGAGATAAGCTACTCGAAGCTTACTTCCGCATTCTTAAAAGTCCGCCACAAGAAACTAGCTCGGGCCTACTGAGCTCAGCAAAATACGGCAACTCATCTCTTTTGGCTGTTTTTGGCGGCCAGGGAACCCACAACTCCACTGGGTTGGATGAGCTGCGCTCTGTGTACCGGAATTATAAGCCGCTACTTGAGGACATTATCACATCCGCTGCACAGGTCCTGAAGAAAATCACAATTAGCTCGGATCTGTCTCGGCACTTTGGTCCCAATGGATTTGACCTCATGTTGTGGCTTCAACAATCGGAAAACGCCCCAAATTCGGCATTTCTCGCAACTGCTCCTGTCAGTTTTCCGATGAACGGTCTCATCAGCTTAGTTCACTATTGCGTGACATGCCGTGTGCTAGGTTTACAGCCAGGGGAGTTCCGAGATATTCTGACGGGAGCCACCGGGCACTCCCAAGGAATAGTTGTCGCAGCCACCGTGGCAGGATCAAAAACTTGGGCGGATTTTCTCAATGCGGTAGAGGACGCGATGGAACTTCTTTTTTGGCTGGGATGGGAGAGTCACTGTGGCACACCAAACTCCACCTCTTCAAAGTCATCCCGGTCCATTAGAGACACCCATCTCAACTTTGCAACTTCGATGCTTAGTGTACGTGGAATGAAGAAGGAGGTCGTGGAAAGAATTTTGGAAGAATGCAACTCCCACCTAGGTGATGATGAGAAAGCATATCTGGGGCTTGTCAATTCTTCAGATTCCATGGTTATTTCTGGTCCAGAAAGGACTCTGAATGGTGTCCTCAGAATCCTGGAGCGAAATGGTGCTCCTTCTGACTCTCATCAGGATAAGATTATGTACCTCGATCGACGTCCCGGTCTGGACTGTCAATTTCTACCAATATCTGCCGCTTTTCACTCTCCTCACTTGGATATCGCCTACCGCCGTATCATTGCCCGGATTGGCTCAACTGGGTTATTCGATGGTCTTGACTTCACTATTCCAGTATATCACACCTTCAGTGGAGAGGATGTTCACCTCAATCTGAGTCAAGATCGCATTCCGATATTGGTTCGCGCAGTATTGTGTGAACCGGTTGATTGGCCCAGAGCCTGCATGGAAACATTCACCACACATATCTTGGACTTTGGCCCCGGCAGAACAAGTACCTTCTTGCATGACCAAATCATTGGATCTGGTCGCCGAATCATCATTGCCTCCGAATTCATGGCCTCATCGCACAGTATGGGGGGCAAGCATGAGATATTTCGTTATCAGCCACCGATTATGAATCCCAGCTGGGTCAAGCTTTACAGTCCAAAACTCCTCTCCGATGAAGCCAACGGTACCCGCCTAGTCACACGTATGAGCCAGATCCTTGGGACTCCTCCCATCATGGTGGCAGGAATGACACCTACAACGGTGTCAACGGACTTTGTTTCTTGCGTCATGAACGCCGGGTATCACATTGAGCTCGCTTGTGGTGGGTACTCGCGACCACAGGATCTCGAACAAGCCATCAAGCAGCTCTCATCAACGGTACCAAAAGGCCGAGGCATTACTCTAAACGTGATATACGCCGCACCAAGAGCTATCTCATGGCAAATACCACTCATTCGCCGGCTTCACTCTGAGGGGTATCCCATTGAAGGACTCTGTGTTGGTGCCGGGGTGCCCAGTCCCGAGGTAGCTAAAGAATACATTGATACACTCGGATTAAAGCATATCTCCTTGAAGCCGTCCTCCGTGAACTCGATCATGCAGGTGCTTGAAATTGCCAAAATGAACCGCTCTGTGCCAGTCTTACTTCAGTGGACGGGTGGGAGAGCCGGTGGCCATCATTCATACGACGACCTGTATGAGCCACTCCTCAAAACATACGGGTCCATCCGGAAGCACCCCAACATCATTCTTGTTGTCGGGAGTGGCCTTGGCGACGCTCAAGGCATGATGCCGCTCTTAACTGGAGAATGGGCCGAGTCTTTTGGATACCCCCGAATGCCCGTGGATGGAATCCTAATTGGTAGTCGCATGATGGTCGCCAAGGAAGCATCCACATCTACCTCTGTGAAGAATTTGATCGTCCAAACACCTGGCGTCGACAATTCAGAATGGCACAAAACTTACACCGGGCCAGCTGGTGGTGTTATTACAGTGCGATCTGAGATGGGCGAACCAATTCACAAAATTGCGAACCGAGCAGTGATGCTATGGCACGACATGGATAATACGGTATTCAATGTCAAGGATGCAGATAAGCGCGTGGAACTCTTGCAAAACCGCCGCTTGGAGATCATCACCCGTCTTAATCAAGACTACGCCAAGCCGTGGTTCGCAATGAACTTTTCAGGAAAGCCTGTCAGACTCGAGGATATGACATACGCGGAGTGCCTTCAACGGATCACCACCTTGATGTATATGCATCAGCAACAGGAGTGGGTTCATCAGTCCTATCGAGTGTTTTTCCTCGATTTCGTCAACCGAGTTCAGGAACGATTTGATGTGGAACATGAACTCCCTCTGGATGCTAGCACAAGCCCATTTGACCTTCTTGAGAAGCTATTCACTGTCTGTCCCGCTGCGATTGCGGACATTCTATATCCCGAGGACGCTGCCTTCTTCTTGGGTTTGTGCAAGCGAAGGGGTCAGAAACCTGTCAACTTCATCCCCATCCTCGATGCTGATTTTGAGATGTGGTTCAAGAAGGACTCACTGTGGCAGATGGAGAAATTGGAGGCTATTATTGATCAGGATCCACAACGTGTTTGCATCATCCATGGCCCTGTGGCGGCTACATTTTCCACGTCCATCGATGAGCCTGCAGCGGACATCTTGAATAAGATTCATGATGACTTGATCGCAGCAGTTGAGCTCACTGTCCCGAATCGCGACCTCATCAAACTTGAAGAGGCGAAGGTTCAGACTGAAATACGGACAAATCCGTTCTCCTCTGAACTGGATTTTGTTAACATGCTGACCTCCAAAACACAATGGGGTACCCAAGTGGAGTGTCGGTTCAAGAAACCACTACCCGACGGCGGAACACTATTGTTCCTACAGAAGCTTGGTATTGGAACTGAACATTGGCTGAGTGTCTGCTTGAACGATGAAACTGTACTCGTCGGCCATCACCGTAGGCCTAATCGAGTTCACGGTGCCTTTCAACCTGGCCCCGGAGATAGGTTAACCATCGAATACCTGTCCTCCAACAAACAATCCTTGAACGCAGCTTTCCTTCTCAATCTCCCAGGTCCACCTGATAATCGAGCTGCCTTCACACTTGGGTCAACCGATGGAAACGCAATCCGTTTCGATCTTAGAGGGACTAATTACCTGTCGTCAATGGTAACCGTCAACTTGCAACGTCAGTGCAAGGCTGGCCAGCAGTCGCTACACGATATAACAAATCTTCAAGAGGCAAATATTAGAGAGTTCTATGCTTCCTGTTGGTCACTCAATGGCGAGAACTTGAAAGAAGATGCGATTAGCACCGAATTCTCCACCGGACCTGTCATGCTCTCTTCCCAACTTGTTAGTGACTTCATTTCGCTGATTTCCAGGGCCAAGGGGAATCACTCTGGCTCACACAGCACCCCCACTCTCGCCCCCTTGGACCTTGCCATTGTCGTGGCCTGGAAAGCACTTTCAAGACCGCTCTTAGTGCCTGACTTGGGTGGCGACCTGTCCCGCTTACTCCATCTCTCTAACGCGTTTGAAATGATGCCTGGGGCTGAGCCACTCCAAGTCGGTGATTATTTGGAGACGAAGTCACATATCACGGCAGTAACCATGAAGCCTCAAGGGAAGTTGGTCGAGGTCACAGCGGCAATCCATCGAAAGGGGGCAGTGGTCATGAGGATTATATCCGAGTTTCTCATGCAAGGACAGTTTGCCCAGCAAGATGAAAACTTCCGGTTTTCCACACCTAATGACTGGACGCTTTCATTGGATTCACCCAAGGTTGTGGCCCTACTTCAAAGCAGACAGTGGTTCAATCCACACCCAGCATGTCCAGAACTCCTTGGAAGTGTACTTCTCTTCCGGGTCACCTCTCACAGAGCATACATCCAATCTGCCAATATGTTCTCCTTGAACACCCGGGGTACTGTCTCTCTTGTCGCCAAAGAAGACTCAGGCGCCTTAATTGGGAATGTGTCCTTCTCTCACGAATCATGCTCTGGAGATCCCGTTGTTGATTTCCTCGAGCGTTATGGCTCTTCAACGCGTGAAATACAGCCACTTGAACATCCTGGATGGCATACTGTGGAGCCTTTGCTACTTCGCGTGTGTGATTTCGGCCCTGAGTACTCAACTCTATCAACAGACCATAATCCGATCCATGTCTCGTCCTGTTTCGCAGGCTTTTCCGGCCTATCGGCACCCATTGTCCATGGAATGTATACATCCGCTGTTATTCGCAGCAAGGTTGAAGAACATATGGCTGATTTGAATTGCTCCGGATTTCGCCGCTGGTCTACAACATTTGAAGATGTTGTCCGCGGTAATGACCTCTTGCGCATCGAGGTTCATCACAAGGGGATGATTGCAGGCAATATGATTCTCGACGTTCAAGTGTGGAATGACGAAACAAACACGAAGGTATTGACCGCAGAGGCTGAGGTCGAGCAGGCTCGAACGGCTTATATGTTCTGTGGTCAAGGAAGTCAGAAAAAGGACATGGGCATGGCACTTTACGAAGTCGACGATGCAGCCAAGTCCATATGGGACAGAGGAGACCGTTATTTATTCAACCTTTACGGTAAGAACTCATCTCCAGAACCGTTCTCTGGCGCAGGGCACTAATACGAGTCGGCAGGTTTCTCTTTGCTTGACATCGTGCGCAACAACCCGAAAAAAATCACCATTCATTTCGGCACCAAGAAAGGTCGACAAATCCGAGCCAACTATTTGGACCTCACTCGAACTCAGGTGATCGGCAACCAAGAAATCACAGTACCTGTCATTGGTGGGCTTAGTGACAAGTCTCCTTCCATCACATTTGAGGAGCCCAATGGGTTGTTGTTCTCGACTCAATTCGCGCAGCCATTGATCAGTCTTCTGAACGTAGCTGAGATGGCTGCTCTCAAATCTCGTGGTCTTGTTCAGGAGGGCTCGGCATTCGCCGGTCATTCCCTCGGCGAATACAGCGCCTTGCTTGCCTGTGCCGACTTCATGACCTTAGAAGGCCTCCTTGGGCTGACCTTCTACCGAGGGTTAGTGATGCAGTTCCAAATGAGCCAGGATGCAGCTGGTCGGACGGACTTCGGTATGGCAGCTGTGAACCCATCCAGGGTTCGAAACGGTTAGAATTGATATCGCATTATATTCATCTACTTTTTGCTAATTCTAGTGCACAGGATTCAACGAACCGTCTTTAAAGATTCTGGTCGAGGCCATCGGTCGCGCCACCGGCTTGTTACTCGAAGTTGTGAATTACAATGTCGCTGGACAGCAATATGTGTGCGCAGGTCATGTAAGGACTCCGTGCCTCTCATTTCTAAGTTCACCTAACTAACGGACACATCAGCTCCGATCACTCTGGCTACTTCAAAAGACATGCGATGACCTGTCATCATCCGCCCACCGACAATCACCCACTCCTGAAGAGATCCAGATGGTGATCGATCGGCACCTAGCGAATGCTACTTCGCTTCCCGAGCCAATTCACCTGCAGCGTGGCAGGGCTACCATCCCACTGCCCGGCGTCAATGTGCCGTTCCATTCTAGCTATTTGCGGGGTGGCATCCCGGTATACCGCCGATACCTGCAGAGCAAGATTAAGAAAGAGGATATTGTTGTGGATCGGCTGGTTGGCAAGTACATTCCCAATCTCACTGGGAAGCCGTTTTCCATCAGTCGGGAATATGTTGAGGAAGTTGCCATGGCTACAGATAGTCATGTTTTGAGTCAGTTGCTGGTTGATTGGGTGAGGTGATGGTTTATGAATTAGTGCTGTTGTACGTGTTTTATGTTTACAACTAAGTCATCTTTATTCAAATGCAGTTTCTTTCAGGTCTTTCACCCATTATATATTTCTAGTTAACCGTGGAGTTCGGCGGAAATATATACAAACCAAATTGATAAAAATCCTTTCCCTAGCGTCTTCGCCCCCAACTTTTATGCCAATAACTTGTTTTTTAAGAAGAAGAAAAAACGAATATACATGTACACATGTACGATTATAGGGAATGTAAGTCAGAAAATGAAGGTATTCCCAAAAAGGGTGCAGATCCTGCCGATCGGATGACATCACCAGGAATGTTGTTGCTTCCGCCCGCATCCGTGTCGGTGCGTACCTCAGTTCTCCGAATTTCTGGATTCCTGTGGGAAAACTTCAACACCTCCCCGATGCTATCCTACATATCTGCTGCCTTCCAGCCCCAGCCGGACGAAGGCGTACAGCAGCGACCTCCACGGTATGCCGGTGAAGATACCACGCCCACAACCCGCCGGGAGATCTTAGGATGGTATTCATACGGGATTGCGGCTGAAGTGTTCGCAGTCTGTGGTGTAGGTTCGTAAACACATTTCCAAATCAAAAGATCCAAAAGAAAAATAAAGAAAAAAAAAAAAAATACTTACCATACCAGGCTCTTTTCTACCTCTCACCTTGGAACAATTAGCACGAGAGCGCGGCACACTACAAACGAGCCGCCTTCCCTGTGTCGGATCATCCGCAGGGAATAGCACGAATAATGCTGAAAATGGCCCATGTGTGGTCCCGGTCTTCGGCCTGGAAGTCAACACAGCTAGCTTCGCCATGTACACCTTCTCACTAGCAGTACTTATCCAGGCGCTGACGCTGATATCTTTCAGCGCGCTGGCGGATTACGGTATGATTGATGACAGCACGCCAGACTAAGAATGAATCGGGCGAAAAAAAAAACCAAGGATAGGAGTTAACATCGATTGGATATTTAGAGAACAATCGCAAGACATTGCTTATGGTGTTCGGATTCGCCGGTGCGCTCGCTAGCATGTTGTTCGTATTCATTGCACCGCCTGTCTTCATTCTCGGATCGATATTGGTAGTCGTCGGTGTAACCTGTCTCGGTTCGTCCTTTGTTGTGCTGAACTCTTACCTTCCTGTGCTTGTCGCCAACGACCCGTCACTGCAAGAGGGGAAGGCGGGTGACGGCGCGGAAATGTCGAGCTTCGACCGAGATGGAGGTAACTCAGAATGGAATGCATGGGGTAACGATGATGCCGACGACGATAGTTTACATGGACTTCAGCCATCAGGGCAGCCACAGGGCTCACTAGAAGGTGGAATGGGACCCCAGGCTCCGCCCTCGTCTTCACCGCAGCTGCAGCTGTCGACCAAAATCTCTTCCAGGGGGATCGGTCTGGGATATTGTGCAGCTGTTTTTGTCCAAATCATCAGCATTATCATGCTCATCACATTGTCCAAGACCTCCCTTACCAAAGTGTCTGCCACTCTCCCGATGCGCTTTGTATTACTCCTGGTCGGCATCTGGTGGGGCGCATTCACCTTGGTCACGCGTGATTTGCTCAAGACTCGGCCAGGCCCACCTCTGGATACTGTCTCCACCGAGGGCACTGGAAGGTGGCGGGCCTGGCTGCGACTGATCGGTTTTGCGTGGAAATCACTGTGGGAGACCGTCAAAGTAGCCAGCAAACTGCGCGAAGTGCTCATCTTCCTCGTAGCATGGTTCCTACTCTCCGATGCAATGGCCACTGTTTCAGGAACAGCGATCCTGTTTGCCCGAACGGAACTCAAACTGAGCACGCCGCTAATCGGACTCCTCTCCATCACCGCCACAGTGTCGGGCATGACGGGCGCATTCCTATGGCCACACGTGTCTCGGTATTTCGGCCTACAACCGAATCACACCATCATCCTGTGCATTGTCCTTTTTGAGTTAATCCCCCTCTACGGTTTGCTTGCTTACATCCCCTTCATCAAAAACTGGGGGGTGTTCGGGTTACAACAGCCGTGGGAGATATTCCCGCTAGCCATTGTGCATGGGGCCGTATCTGGGGGACTGGCATCATACTGCCGATCGTTTTTTGGACTGTTAATTCCGCCCGGTAGTGAGGCTGCGTTCTACGCTCTTTATGCCGCTACGGACAAGGGGAGTTCATTCATTGGACCGGCTATTGTGGGTGCCCTTGTTGATGCGACCGGTCAAGTGCGGAGTGGATTTTTTTTCATCGCGGTAATAATCATTCTGCCTATTCCGCTGGTGTGGATGGTTAATGCGGACAAGGGTCGCCGTGAAGGTTTGGCTATGGCTGAGACCCTGGACAAGTCACATGGTGGGCCTGCGGAATACGCCGAAGAAGCCGAAGGACTTCTTGCTCGCTAGTAGATCACTAGGCCAGAATATACTAGATACTAGTACATAGCGTGAGATAATTATGACGAGATCGATGAATATATACGAGTTTAGTCGGGGGCCAAAGTGAGACATGAAAAAAAGGTTCTCTCGCCAAGCATTTCGCAAAACTGTAAGCACTCCACGGGTATTTTAACTAATTTCACCTTTCAAAATTGCCTCAATTTCAGGGTCTAAAATAGATCAAAGACACGGCAGGGTCTTTTCCACATGTTTGGCTCTAAGTCAAGCCTTTTAGTCAGTAGTGCAGGCTACACTATGTGGGGAGGTGATAAATATGTCCAATGAAACATGCTCGCAAGCCTAGCTTATGTCTCCACCAATGACAAAAGCACTAAATCCCTCTAGCTTGGCAACTAAGCGGTGCTTGGTTTGTTGGAGCCTAGAAAGAGAGGACCCCCAATTTCTTTGAAAGGACCCTGAAAAAAAAAAATGAAAAAGAAAAGAAAAAAAAAAAGGAAAAAAAAGAGGCTTTAAAGGCAAAGTTAGGATTGTATGAAACATGCCCACCGGGTCCAACGGCAGAAATATAAAGATTCATGCGTTCTCCGTTCGAAAAGATGGCAAAACCTGAGCGTTCTTTCGTATTCTCCACCACCACAATCTTCATTATGCTCACCAGTGTTGTCTTTGCATCTCTGTTCCTACTCGCTAGTGCGAAGTCAGGGAAACAAGGTCGCTTTATTGAGCCCGTCACAGACTGTTCCCAGCTTCCATCGTACAACAATGACACAAAGATCGCCGGGCCCTGGACGATCAAAGTCGACAGTTGTTACAATGGAACCGGGCCTCAAGGGTTATGCAGCATCGAGGGCTTCGAGTCTAGCAGTGATATCACACGGCAGCGAGACGACAGACCTAACACGATCGAGCATGGATTTGTAAGTTCTTACCCTCTTTGTCCACCCACGAAGACCAAGATGACTAACAGATACTTAGATTACGATCGTAAGCGACAACAACAACATCAAAACCCAGCTCCGCTGCAATGGTATCCTCAACACAATCGAAGCATACGTCCTATCGGGTCCCGGCGCTGGCGCCTTGGACTGGCACGCTGTCGGTATAGACCACCACCCCAGCACAGGGCGACTCGTTTGGGGTAAACCCGACGCTCAACCTGTACAAGTGTACAGACACTACCGTCACAATGTACCCGTTGAAGGTCTCTTCCTCGGATCGGATAATGAGACGAATTGGTCCATTCATTCGGCTGGGAGGGATGTGAGCATCATGGATATGAAGCCGTATTGGGTGCCACGATTGATGATTCCCGAGACGAGTATTCGGGATAATGAGTTTAGGACGTTGATGCGGATTGATGGGAGCTGACTTTGCTGTTTCTTTGACTCGTTGCATTCGTCTTGCTGTTTTGTTTCCTATTATTATACCCCCGTCTATGCATACTGGTGGTGCTGTGATCCTGTACACTACATAGCCAAATTTTCTAGCACTGTTCATTTTCACACCATGCGCTGAAAGATGTAAATGAGTAGGAATTTGTAAGACAATCAGAATTGACCCATGGATGAGTGATCTCTGATATTGTAGATGTACATATTTTAATTGTGGACAACAGAGACTCATCAGAATGCCATTGTCATATTCGAGCGACCTAAACAAAATCTTTTGGGTGAACTATTTCTTAGTGTCATTCGTAGTGCCTTTCTGAGTAGCTAGTCCTTACCCACCAAATTTTGTTATCGAATTCCATACCTTTGGAGGGTCCTAGTGGAACGCGTAGAGCCAAGGCTCGGGGGTTTCTTTTCCTACGGGAAAGATCAACATTCGGAACATCTTCGGGGTTTTTCACTTGGACTATCGACAATATTTCTAGATTTTCCCATGTACGGTTTTGTTTCGGAAAAGATTTCTCATCCTATAAATAAGTATTGCTAAAAAAGAAAATATACTGGCGCCTGAAGTAAAAAAGATGAAGATAGCCATAGCCCTCTTTCCGTCCATCGACATATGCAACAAGATTTATGATTTGCGATGTATAGACCAACGAGAAATTAGTGGTGATTCTGCCAGCTTTTCGCACAGGTTATTCTAATCCTCGCAGTTGCAATGTATATTTATTATACAGCTCAATCGTATCTTTACGAGATCGTTCTCTAATATCAAACCAGATATATTCTCATTGAATGGCAATCATGGGTTACACCACCTATGGCCCAAGTTACCGTTTCCTACACCGTCCCAATCGGTCTTGGGATTGTTATATTCGCCGTTCTATTCACCCTCATTCTTTCGCTGGATGCAATTCACCACTCAAACAATCCTCTCCTGATCGCCATCTGCATCTGTAACACGTGCACCCTGGTCTCCTCTATTATGCGTTATATGTCGATACGAGGGACAACACAAGGCCTTCTATTCGACTCGTTATAGGAAGTCAATTTTGGTGGTTGTCTCTAGAATTCTCTAGTCTCGAATTCAGCTGGCTGAGACCATCCTATCAGTCATCGTGGGTGTCAGCAGTCTGAGCTTGTGGCGCTGTGCATATTTCCTACAGAAAGAGCTTTCATGGACGATTTACAAGTGTGCATGGCAGTCTCTAAACTAGAAAGCGTCATAGGGCTTACAGCATCTGTTAGATTCTTCCTGGACGGGTATTTTTATTGTCTCATCTGACTTGCCATATGAATATAGATATATATTGTCCTGATCAAGCTCATCTCTTTCTTTCTGACTAGCTTCATTCTCTAATACAACCTGATTAATCATTTTAATGAATTTGAGCATAGCCTGGCGATGGCTTTGATACTGGCTGCATTCCTTATGATTATGCTTGGTATTTTGTGAAACATGAGAAGACATACCCCACGATTCCTATCCTAATAAGCTCCTTATTCAGGCCCTATAATTACACGAAGTACTAATAGCTTCGCAAAAACAAAAAAGCTATGCCACTTAGGCCTGATCGCATACCTCGTCAGCCACATAGTACTTCTATGCGGCCAGACATGCTGGGCAAATATCGCTGGAAAGGACATGGTGCTACTTTTTGCGTTTGGGACTTTAGTATCGACTCTGTCTACGTTTTCTTGCGCCATTGTCTGCGTTTTGAATTTCGAAGACGGGTTAAGAGGCGTCGACAAATGAAAAAAACAGGTCGCGGGAGAGTCGTCCTTGTTTCGCAGTGGCGGCTATCGGCCTGAAGGTTATTTATCGTCGCATTCACAGTCGCTGTCGAGAACACCGCTTGAATAAACAATACACATACCTATGCTTTAGCTAATAACAGCAAAGAAGTAACATTATGGAATGTATAGTTCTTACTACGCGGTCTTACTATGAGTCGTTGGAAGTGCTGCTAGCGGCATTGGTGGTATTCGAAAGTAAGAATAGGGTAGAAGTAGATACTATATGAGGCCAAGGGGTAATATGATTAAAGTAAAGAAAACTAGGAGTGAAGGAAAACCCGAGAGCACGATTGAAGTTCACTGTATAAAAGTCTCGTAAATCCGCATTATGTCTCTTTGGTCTCTGTCGAGCCACCATTGTCCAACCCACCGAAGCAAGAGCCCGTTTGACGGATGACATTCGCTTTGCTCGCAGATCGTCGGGATTGAACCCAGTGGCGGGAAATAGTAGCCCGACCTTAGTTGTGCCAACGAACTTGAGGAGCATCTCTCGACCGCGCCTGTGATTTGGTAATCGAAGAATTCATTGTAGTAAGAGCGAGTGGTATCGATCACCTTATTTCTCGACTTGGCCATTGCACTTGACCTCGTGGCAGAAAGAGACTTGTGTGTAAAGTACTGCCGAGTTATGGTGCGGTTCGTGTTGATGAGCGAGGCGGACGCGACCATTGTCCACACACTGAACACGATCGAAGTGCCGTTGACCACTACGTTGGTCTATAGGGTGGAATTTCCTAGCGTTCTGCGTGAGCGCAAGGGACGTAGATTGTAGGTAGTCCGTGTGTCGAACGATTGCGATAAAGGATCTTGATTCGCCTTGGAAGCCTTTTTGGATTCCATTAATCCGTGGTGCTATGGCCAACGACTATAAGAATTGATCGAAAGGTGGCTCGAAGTAAATCCGCCACGGTTGTAGTAGAGTTTCCCTCCTTGCAACCCTCGTTCGGGCCCTTAACCTTCTGGCCGAGGAATATAGTATGCCGGATGCCTTCTTGATTCGACCCATTCTCCGATCAGAGAAAATATAATAGCCTTCCCAACGACAATTCGTTACCTATATCACATCATGATTGGGTATGATGCTCTGCGTATGGGCTGTTCTGCCTGTTGGACTCCATGAAGATTTGAAGAATCCCGTTTAACACAACAGCCGGTCACCCGTAAATGCGTGGACTGACACTGGTAGAAAGGGTAGAATGTTAATAAAGCCTCAAAGAAAAGGAGGATTAAGGGATGACCTAATTGTTGATCCACCAAATGCCTTAACTACATATGGAGGCCCATGTACATCAGATAACCCGCTACAAAACACACGAAGCCTTCAATCACTTGTTCGTGTCGTGGACTGAGCACAACATTATATCCAGCCTGCAGAGAATGATGAGAAATCCTTTCCATCACGCGTAGAAAATATCTGTCGGGTCATAGAAGCTTCTGAAGAGGCCATGGTCAATGCATCGGGCTTGGGGATATCGGGGGCCTTTCTTCGAGGATGCCGAGGGGCTATGTGAAGGCTCAGGAGGGAAGGGCCGGCGAGGATAATCACATCAAGCGGCAGAACGAAATGGCCTGCATGATGCCAAGAGTTTAACGGGATTGAGGAGTCAGAGAGGCCAGCTTTCTTGATAATGGCCGAATGAGCCGACCCTAAGATCGGTTGGAGAACACAGTCTAGGAAATTCGTGATCTGTCGTAGAAAGTGGTTGACACCGCTAGTTGGCCATACTATGGCTTGGCCGTCGGTCAGCTTCCCCTTTATGCCTGAGGTTGCCCATAATGCGTGATGGGGACCGGTAAGGGAAACCACGCCATGTGCGACACAGATCGGTGGAACCCCATGCGCAGGCTTGTATTTGAATAGGAGATATAGGAAGAAGTCCTGCTACAAAATCTCAACAGAGAGTGTAGAGGGCCGAGGGACGGATGTTCTTGCCCATCGTGCTTTCCCTGCCCCATGTTGGAAGTCTTAGGCAACTGAGCAGAGTCATTCATCACCTAAGCCAATTGCCAGCTCACTACTGTTTATCAAATGTCATGTCTCTACATACTCTGTGCAGCCCTCGAATTCAGCCTATTTCCGCGGCTTGCCGGAAATCCTGTCATAGGAGCCCGGGTGTGTTCCTGGACAAACCACTTCTATGCATCTATACCGGTATTATCCGGAAAGCCCACCTGGTTTTCGACCACCAAAGTGACGTGATTGGCTGTAATATCCCGATATATTCCTCGTGAGGCAGATCAAGAGGATTGAAGATTCATTTCAAGAGTGACGGCCGTTATAAGGAAGACACATGCATGGATTGCCTCTTGGCGATCGCACGAGACGCAGGCAACGAGTTTTAAGTTGACAGCACATCACAGAGCCCTATCCAAAGCAAGACAAGAACCCCAGAAAGTGCGAAAAACCCCAGATGTTGCCCCTAGATCCCATTGGAGAGAAAAAAGTCGTTCTAACATCGGATGTTGGGAATCCAGGGCCACATTCCCCAGGCCGGCCCGAAACGCCGTTACAGATCTCTTCGAAGGCACCTGACATGTTATTGTTCCAATAGGTGAAAAGAATTCTTGACTGACTGCGCAATTTTGTTCTGGGCACCTATTCCTAATTGAAGCGCGGTCTGCTTCCCGCCACAGAAAGGGGGTAGTTTCATTTTCAACATTCCGGGGGCGTTGTCGCTACCCAGCCAGCTCCAATCACATCGCCTCCCCACATTTCCCCAACCTCGCTTCCCCAGACACTAACACTACTGGCGGCCGAATTGATTCTTGCAATTCCCACCTATCGATATTCTCCATACCGATAGGTGGATATTTCAGATCATCATGTCCGACATTCCGGAATTGGTCTAGACTTGGTGACAAAGATCTTGTACGACTCAATGTCCTCTTCCCACACTCTACGCAGCACGACAATTAGCCTGAATACCATGATGGGCTGATTGCAATCTGGGGGTTCGGTGCCAAATCGTCTTTTCTCTTTCTCCACAACCCCGGATACACGCTAATGCAGAGTGGATCCTAGTACTTTGAATGTCGCGATAATTAACGTATATAGGCGACGGTTTCCCCCCTCAGGTCTAGGATTCGGCGGGATCCCGTATCACAATAGTCAACATCAGTTCCCTTATTCACCATGGCGACTGCTGTTGATACTGTACGTGCGGTGGAAAAGTCTGCCGCCAACCATGTCGAAGATACCCTGGGTCACGGCGCGATCAGCGAGGCCAAGCAGGCTACCGACGACGAGCACTCACAGACGCTGATGCAAGCCCTGCGGGAAAACCACAAGGCTGTCATGTGGTCTGTTTTGATCTCCATGTCTATTATCATGGAGGGATATGATACTATCCTGATGGGAAACTTCTTCGCCTACCCCACGTTCAATCAGAAGTACGGACAGGATTATGGTGGTGATATCGGATATCAAGTGTCTGCACCTTGGCAAACGGGTTTAAATATGGCTAGTACAGTTGGATGTATCTTCGGTGAGTTTCACTACCGACCGTCACTACAACGGGATAAAAACTTATATCATCACAGGCGGTATCTTGAACGGATACTGTGCGTCTAAGTACGGTTACCGACTTGTGATGTTCGTCGCCCTTGGGTTTCTCACTGCTTTGATCTTCATCACATTCTTCGCCAACTCCGCAGCAGTCCTTCTCACCGGCCAGGTCCTTTGTGGACTCTCATGGGGAGTGTTTGCCACCATCGGACCGGCGTACGCATCCGAAGTATGCCCCACCGTGCTGCGCGGTTACCTAACCATCTATGTAAATTTGTGCTGGGCAATCGGCCAGCTGATCGCCTCCGGCGTTCTCTACGGACTCGTCGACCGAAAGGACCAATGGGGCTACCGTATCCCCTTCGGCCTACAGTGGATCTGGCCGCTTCCTCTGATGGTGATATGCTGGCTCGCACCCGAGAGTCCATGGTGGCTCGTCCGCCACGATCGTTTGGAAGATGCTAAGCGCAGCATTCGCCGACTGGGCGGCAGCAAGACCGAAGAACAGATCAATGGACAACTGGCGATGATGGTACACACGATCAAGCTCGAATCCGAAATCGAAGCCGGCACCACCTACTACGACTGCTTCAAGGGAGTTGACCTTCGCCGCACCGAGATCTGCTCCATGGCCTTCGTCGGCCAGATTCTATCCGGCAGCACATTCGCCTACTCGCCTACCTATTTCTTCACCCAAGCCGGCCTTCCGGTCACTCGGTCCTTCCAACTCGGCGTTGGATGCACTGCCATTGCCTTTGTTGGAACCTGTTTCTCCTGGTGGCTGATCACCGGATTCGGCCGGCGCACGCTATACGTTGTGGGCCAGGGAATGCTCTGCGCGACACTCTTCATAATCGGCATCCTGGACGTATCCTCCTCCGCAAAAGGCATCATGTGGGCACAAGCCGGACTCTGCTTCTTCTGGCTCTTAACCTATTCCCTGACGGTCGGCCCAATCGCCTACGCTATTGTTTCGGAGACATCATCTGTGCGTCTGCGCCCGCTGACAGTCTGTATCGCACGCACAGCATACCAGATCATCAACGTGGTGTCACAAGTTCTGGAGCCGTACTTCATGAACCCCACCGCATGGAACGCGTCCGGCAAGACTGGATTCTTCTGGGGTGCCACGGCACTCGTTGCCTTTGTCTGGGCATTCTTCCGTCTTCCCGAGGCCAAGGACCGCACCTACGCCGAGCTGGATATCCTGTTTGCTAGCAAGATCAAGGCGAGCAAGTTTTCGTCGACAGTTGTCGATCCCTATGCGGTTCGGCCTGCTGAGTCGCAGGAGGGCCTTGTTCGTGAGAAGACGCAGGATACCAACCAGTGAGATAATTAATAAACATTGGGGATACTGCCGGGGCGGTTGTATATGATGCCACGTGTGAAATGAATTTGTACGTTTTAGCAAATAGTGAATTTAATGAACAGTTGACTTCTAATGTTACTATTTAGTAGAACAATAGTCGGCGGCTCATGCGGCCTTGTCATGCCTTTTTCGGAAGTCCTCTTACATATCCTTTTTATATTGCTTTTCTCACATATTTTATCTCTATTATCTGGTGATATTGCATCCGCTGGCTAGGTGGGTGGTACACATGCAGAGTGTGAGAGTGTTACTTAGGGCTTATCAACAGTATTTAGATTTAGAGACTAGAAACTAGATTAGGAGTTTATATTATTTGATTGCTTACCTATATCGGACCCTATAGTTAAAGGATCCTATCTTAGGGATTACTTTCTCTCTTTTCCTTTCTCTTCTATACTTAATATTCTAGTTAAAATACACTCTTTCCTTTAAAGAGCTAGCACGTAATATAAGGGAGATATTCTTTCTAGGTACACCGTATCGCGGGTCTAGCTTTGGCCCCTAGGGTCGGCTTGCATCATTCGCCTTATAACCGCTTACATCTAATCCACTGATCCTAGCCAATTTGGAATATAATTCCGCCCGCCTCGGTGCCGTTGGCCGCCTTCCCGTTGGTAACGTGCCCCTCGAATACGATGATATCCAGCTGCCTTTCGGATTGGCGTTTGTTGGACAACGCTACGATGAGGGCACTGTTATCCATGCTATATCTGCCTACGAGGCTAATTTCCCTGCACGAAGGGTACCTACCACTCTAAACTGAGAACGTGGTTCTTGCGTCACAACATACTGTTCGTGGTCATCAGATTTGAGCCAGTTATGGTACTGGCAGATGGTAGTTTGTGCTGTCAATTGGGTTGTTGGAAAGCCACCATGTGGCAGTGACGGCATCAACTCGCGATGCGACGGTCTCGCCTAATCGGCCTAGCGGGTACGATTCTGTAGGTGATGCTTGTCCCCAATTTCACTATTTGGACCTATCAGGTACGGTGGCATTTCTGTCCTGTAACCACTATAGCAGTAATTTTATTCTACTTCGCTTTAATTCCTACGTTTAGAGCTATACCAACATTCTCCATCGAAACAGACAGAAATCGGTAAGCAAGAGGTAGTGAAAATGAAAATGTCATGTCACGCACTGTATATATCGGAGCCTGGTCCATCTGAGCATAACGCTCAGATATAGTGGTCTTTTTGGCCTAGTTTGTAACTCGCCAGTCCAGGGGCAGGTTGTAACAGAAAACATGAGCTATTTATCTAGGTACTTTTCTTATACTTCTTTAATTGAGAGAACTTTCTTTAATACTACGGGCGGCTCCACTTTCTTATTATTACTAGGATTATATAGCTCCTATACGTTAAATTGTACGGCAATTGATTTGATATTAGCTAACTATATATCCTATAGTTAACGTATTTCACTGCCGAGCTCGACACACCCCCGAGCTACACACCCCAGAACACCATAGTAAATACGGTATATTCTACACTGATATCTCAACGACCACGTCATTTTTTATTTTATTTTGCTGTCTGCCGATAGCTAAAACCTTTTAAAACACTATATATTGATTTTAAAGAATCCTACAACCTATATTGTTATGGTATCGACAACTACGTTACTAGGCGTCCGAAATATATATATATCTCAAATACCAATTCATAGAAGTTCTTTAAACTCCTCTTAAAGGCTAGATAGCACCTAAAAAGCATTATTTCTTAAGGAAAAGTCCCTATAGCCTAACGTTGTTGTGATACTGTGTCGTAATTTACTATGGTTTTCTAGGGTGTCCAGCTCGGAGGCATGTCTAGCTCCGTAGTGAAATACGTTATCGTTGTATCCTTTAGTATAACGCGAGAGGATGTACCCGCGGAGAGTTATTTAGTAATATTTAGTATATGTTCGTTGTCCTTTGTGGACATAATTCCGATTCTTGATTCCAGAGGTTGGTTCAGGGGTTGTTTCGGCGAGAGAAGTTAACGATACAGCGTCACTTCAGCCTCAATTTCGACGACAACGAGGGTTCCATAGAACGATTCCGGGCTCATAACTGATATAAAGCTGGTGTACGAATAATGTATGGTATAGATGACCGATGTTGAGAACTCTGCAGTGAGTTCACAAAAAGTGTTAGCACCCTTTCTACTACCACCTTCCTAATTTATTATACCGCCTTCTTGAAGTAATATGCCGCCTATTACTCTTGGCCTTTTATTGGTGTATGTTTAACCGGCAGAACTTTGGGTGTTAACACTTGCGTAGTAACTGGAGTTCTCAATATCGGTCATCTATACCATACATTGTCCGTACACCGGCCTTCTATCAATAGGTTTATAACTTTATAACTAGTTAACCCTTAATTCTTAGTAAACAAGAAAACTTTCCAAGTTTCATTGTTACCATGGATGATCCTCAGACTATAATGCCACGTGGGAAGGCTGATACCTTAGGCATCAACACCAATAGGAACTACTGAGGTCCTAACAGTTACCTATTGAAAAAATAATATAGGGAAGGGTGGTAGATCTCCGCGTACATACTTCGAGAACAAAAATGGGGAGAATAGGCAAGCTCGTTACCTGGTTTCTATTTTTGCCTCTTTTCCCGCCAGTAATTATTAGCCTCTATGTTGTAGATATTCGAATTCTCATTCCGGAGCAATTAGTATGTTCCCTTCGAATGGGTAACTCTCAGACATGCTAGTGGTAGTGGCAATATAGTGGTCTGGACCATCTAATGATGGAAGTGAAACATATCGTACAGCCTCGGCTGGTTAGCTTGGTGCCTTTACCCGAACTGAGGAAAGATCGGCTCGTTTGAGCGGCACATCGCTATCGGCTGTTGATCCCGCAATAGCCGGAGAAATGGGCTGCCTGCCCCTGCATAAGAAACCAGCACATTCTGATGTTAGCTTTTGGGAGAAAGGACAATGAATGCACAAATGTTGAACAGAAATACTGAATTGTCGTAAACTTATACGTGAGATTATGAAGTAAATTATATACAGAGCCCTCTGGAGGGCCTACTGTAGACCCGGGGCAAACCCCGATCCATGGATATCATGAATTGTGCACGGACACGCGAACAGACCTCTCCACCATCCACCCTGGAGCATCGGACTCGTTACTATATGGAGCCAGTTGCTCCTCACTGGAACTATGTTGTTTTTGGCGAGATCCGGAGATAGTGGTGGTAACGCCGTGGTATTCGTCACTCCCTCTGCCAGTCCAGAGCTGGTGCGCGTCATCACGGGACACCTGCTTTGATGGTGCAGAGCGGTGGAAACCACCGGCAATGTTGTGAGATAGAGAGAATGAATTTGGTGTGGTAACAGATGAACCATCGCGGAAAAAGCGGACTAAGGGTCGGAAGGTTGTGAGACAGCCCGCCGTGATGCCAATTCCTGCTTCGACGTTGGACCATATAGAGAGTTGGTAAGTGGCGTCTGTTGGGTGTTAGTGGAAGCACCTATATTGAAATTGGAGGGGTCGAGATGGAGAAAAAAGAAGGGTTCGTGCGTACATAGGAAGTCTGGATCTTTGTAGGTGGGCATGTAGGGGATGCGAATAATAACCGCAGCACTCGCACTGCAGGGATGTTAGCATTTGCCAGCAAATAAATTAAAGCCAAGTGCTTTGGAGTCACTAACATGCAACCGATACCCAAAATAGCGTTAATGGCAACCTTAGTGCGGCGATTCATACGCAAATTCCAGATTAATGCGACCGGAAGCAATCCAATAGTCAGGTCGGTTATAGCGGCGCCGACACTATACAAGTACGCGACACCGATAAGGGTGGTTTTATTGATGCACGAGCCATGAGTGTTAGGCTGCACGCGGTGCCAGAAATAGTCGACGGGTGAGCATTGGAACACGGTGAAAAAGAAGAAGATGAGGCCAATGGCAGTGGCAAGACCCATGGCGGCGTAGAGGATGTAGGCGTGGATGCGAGAGATAGTGATTCGGAGGAGGGCAATGATGATGGAGAGCTTTGCGACGACACAGGTTAATACGTAGAAGAGTTGGCCTACCCACCAGCACTGTTGAGAGAATGTGAGCTTGAGTTCGGGATACTAGGGCTGGGATCGTACCAGCATTGCACGTTGGAGGTCGTCTGGGTGTAGGGTAAAATAAGATAGTTCCCTCCCGAGGCCGTATTTACATCCGATGATCCCGCAGATGGCGAAAGCCGTGTTGAAGGCCTGTATGGGAAGGGGTTGTATTAGTAGTTGTTCGTTATGTGGAAGGTGCAGGATAGCTCACCATAGCTATTACCATGGTTCCATCATCCCAGCCCCAAGCACGAACGACTTGTGTACGAACGAAGCATCTCAGGATAACGCTCACCAGCGAAATACCGAAGAAGACAGAAGTAACGATCAAAATGGCCTTGTTGTGGCTGTCATCAAGGTCGACCCCCTCAACCGGCTCAATTTTAGCATCCATCATGAATAAGTAGAGGGGATGAGGATCCCCTCCGCGCATAGACAGAAAATTCCAAAAAGAAACAGACAAACAAAATGGGGAAACTCCTCATGGTTATATTCGAAGACCCTGCACCTTGACTTCTTTGTTGTAGGCTCTAGACCCTTAATCTTTTTATTTTCAACAAAGCACTCCAAAAAGTGGGCATCAGTCCTAGAAAGGACACTAGAGGGATCAACCAGTGAATCATACCTCGCTAGTGGGGGCAATATGGGTACTGGATCTTCTGATAAGTCTATTTTCAATGGATCGCCACACGAGACCATCCCGAACGACCGGCAAGTTTGGAATAACCTGTGTAGCGTAAGCACATAGGCATACCGGACAATTTAGTTATTAATCCTACATGTTTTGTAACTTATGCTCTGTAATCAAGGCTCCATATAAATTGTAAGCAGAGCCGATACAGAAATATAGAGGGTTGAACATCATTCATTGGACCTCCTATTTCTACGATACGGTATTGATCGACATAACCTTAGTGCAGTAGACTAAAATTTGAGTTATTACTCGTGTCGAGCGTGGTGCTATTGAATGGACACAACAAATTCCAGGGTTCTCACCAAACACAAATTGTGGGGATAGGTATCCTTTGTATGACTTAATTTGTCTTTATTGAGCCGCACCAACATTGGGTACTAGTGTTCGCACACCTAGGCATTTGCCACGGTTACAACGGATATTCTAATATTTACGGTTTCCAGGCTCCAAGAATTGGAGATTATGGGGAAATTCCCATGGCACGACGTGCAGTGGAGTTTCGTCCGGCTTCCCTCCTCTTCAGGACTCTGCCGCCCGTGCTGTAACAGCTGAACATAACCCTGGAACCGGGGATAGGTAGCCGGATTGGTCGCGATGCAGGGTTCCACCATTTGTAAACCGGAGATTTCTAAGGTTGATGATTCGACATTTTACCAACCCTATTGATCCCAGTACATGCAGTATATGAAACGTGGGCGTGCCGATTCCATGGCTTGAACTCTAATTGCCTTTCCTCAAACCCCTTCCAACCGTGGAACAGTATACTGTACAACCTTGAACCTTGGTCTGTACTGGATTTCAGGTTTCTGCAATTGGATGTTAAACTCAATCGTTTGTCATATGCGGCGACATTGAAGCCGAGGCACTTCTGCACAATACCCGGGAGGGAATGATGCCGATTTATCTAGACGTAGAACACAAGGCTCGGGGGCTAGAGTACTATCACTACGAGGGAAAAAAAACCTGCCCCATCTTGGAAAACTGTGAGCGTGACACCAATGATCTACCTCAATTGCAGAGGCTTGGCTCAATAAAAAAAAAACGAAACATTTGCTGTCCTCCAAAGTTCGATGATTTCCACTATCTCCAAAATCATGCTGTCCGTGCGCAGCTACTTGCACACTAATCCCACCACAACCACTTTTTGGCCCGTTGTGGGGTGAGTTGTTCGTGTTCGGCACGTTTCTGTCGAGCCCTAACTCCACAACGGGCCAATTGTTCGTGTTCGGCACGTTTCCGTCGAGCCCTAACTCACGTGCCGGAGTTTGGTTACGCTCCTAGAGATCATAGAGTACTTCTTTAAAGCAGGAATTAGAAGAGGAAGTTACATGTCAAATACTAAGTCGAGTACATGGTTGGAAACACATCGGTCATCCATACCATATAACTATTGTTTGTGTTCGTACACTAGATTTCTGTCATTACACATAAAAATGTCGGTATGGAATGTGCTCAATGACCCTGTATACAATATCTATTTGTTTGTACTTAACAGGATAATGTTTATATACACTGTCTAGCAAACAGATGCACTGCCGACTTTCCCGCAGGTCTTCACTGCCCCCTAGAGCAACCTGCTATCAAGCTCTTCAGATCACTGAGCAAATTCCCTAATTCGTCCAATTTCTCAAGAAAACGAGGCAGATGCACTAGGCATAGCGGTCCCACTAGGGGCAGAACCAGAGGCACCACCACCGCTACCGCCACCAAATGAGCTATCAGAGTTTTGGTAGCCACCATCAGCATTGTGGTAAGCGGCAATGCTATAGTACGAGTCATCGGTGTAATCGGCGGTGGTGTTGATTCCAATCTGAATCCAAGCGAACAATCCATCGTCGATGTCCTCACCGAGGTAAATGTACTCCGGGAAGGGATCGTAAGCGCTATCCGCCTGCAAGATACTCCACATATCCTCGGCGTTGGAGGTGACAGCCTGAGTATTTGTGTTGTAGGGGGAAGTGTCCTCGACGGCAGTGCGGAGCACCTCATTCCAGAACAGCTGTCCGATATGTGCGACGCTTCCGGTGTCGGCCTTGAGGGTCTTGTTAGGGAGGAGGGTTGCGTTCAGGTGGGTGAGGAGGTGGGTGTGGGTGGCACGGCCATCGTAGTGGCCTGGGAAGATGCTTTCGAAGGTTGCGACGCCGTCGTGGTCCGTCTGCTGGATGCCGCGCAGGTAGGTTGAGTCCCAGCCGTCTGCGGCGTAGTTACCTGACACTGAGATTCCGCTATTTATGGCAACGATGGTTAGATACGTGATTTGGCTTCAATGACAATGCTTAGCCACATCGACGGGGATTGGGAACTTACCTGTAGACACCGGTGGCATTGGCTTGCCAAATATCGACCAGGGCTCCAGGGACGGGCTTGCAGGTGTTGACGTCGATGTACTGAACCTCGAGAAAGACATCCACACCCTCTGAGTACTGCTCCTCCTTGACATTCTGACGCACGACTTCACCCCAGACATAGTAGGGACCGTCAGTGACAGTGGGCGTCAGAACAAAGCTGGTGTTAGCGCCAAAGACGACTGATTCCGGAGTCGCAGGATTGTAATCGAGAATGCTAGTGCGGTTGTGGTCGAGAGCCTCCCACTTCTCGAGAGCAGCGAGGTCACGGCGCCATTTCTGGGAACCTTGATGCACATCAGCTCGTGTTTGATTTGTTATACGATCAAGTATATAGCTTACTAGCAGTGATTCCGCGTTTTTGGCGGAGCTTTTGCACAGTATTCGAGCGACGGGCGATACTACGCTTGTTCAACTGGCGCGCAGCGGGAGTGCTCTCGCAAGCATTGAGGGCCCGCCTAGCGTGGGCGGCCATGGCATCCCGGGTATGGATCTCACGCTTCAGGACGTGGGGGTCGTGTTTCTCTCCTGGATGCGCGATGGCAGGAGCCACCAGGCATGCAGCTGCAACGGCAAGGAATTTAGAAACCTGGACCATTCTGAATGAGGTAGAATTGTATAGGAAGTTTTCGGATGACTGGACCTCGTGGCTGCGAGAGCCTGGATTTATATCTCATCGCAATAAGCGTTTTTTTGCGCGGACGCGTGTTCTTCTGGAATGAAAGCAGTATTTTGAACGAGCTGGATTACCGGCCTATCGGAATGTTCAATAGCTTAGCCCTGAGTGGCAGCAAGTCTGGGGCATCTCCTACACAAGCTTGCTTGGCGCCGCGTCAACACTTCACGAAAACTGATGGCGGACAATCTGTACTCCACGAGCTTATTCCACTTAGGAAAGATCAACCAGGCTTGACGAATGACCGTCCATTAATTGGAAACAAGCCCTCGTCCTTCCCAATATAACCCTACTGGACCTAGAAATTGCCCGCGGGTCAGGCTGATGGCTGATTAAGCGGAGCGTCAGGCCCCGAGCCCTCCACCACGTGCGTGAGGGAGTCCCCAAATAAGACCCATCTTTTCGGTTGGGATCTTAAGCATTGCTCGGGTTTAGTTAGGTACATGCTGTATCCTGTTGAAGGGGGAAACCTACCAGTGGGATATATATTGAGTGCCGTGACTGCGCACCAAGAAAGTGCTATCACGTCCAAAGCAATATGTAGTTGCCTTGGCGCAACGTACGAAGCTTGTGGGGCTAAGACGATCCTTCGCATATCGAGCTTAAATTTGCAGTTGGCACCAATAATGTCCACCAAATAGATGTACGAGCTGCAGTTGCCAAATTTAGCATATGACCAATAGAGTACATGCTATTGGAAGCAACAATATAGATATATGAACTTACTTTATATCATAGTGCTCGAAAATGTTCATATTTATATACCTATAGCTCCTGTGGCCAATCTGGTCGGCCTACGGAGTACTCTCTGCTCTTGAATTGTAACATAACATGCTTTCCGTGTCGGTCAATAGGCTTAACCAAGCCTCTAGCACAAATAGATAACATCTATCTCATTCCCCTACACTTTTTGTTTCATGCACCGGCATTCAGTGGTGACGCGTGTCCACCAACTAGTCTAGTACAAGGAAGTGGCCTACCCCACTTCCGTCTTTTGTGAGACACCGTCCATTTCACTGTCATCATCGGGCTCAAACATAGCCTCACGCATGAATGGACTTTGCCGACGAATAGCCGGCCCCTTGAGTACGAGCACGACAGGCACAACCGATAGGGCGACTCCGACAAAACCGAGTAACGACCCAGCCCAACCATAGCCCAGATTCTGAAAAAGCTGGAAAGAGGCGAGAGGCAGAAAAGCGCCGAAGGTATTGCGACCCATTGAAGCAGCCGACAATGCCGAAGCAGCGTACTTCTCATATGCATCAGTCAAATAGTTGACCACCGCCATATAGATGGAGTAGATCCCCACACCAGTACAGCCAATTCCCAGCGTTGGTACAATCCAATGGACAGAGCCATCCCCAACACTGGCCCAGCCGTACCAGAAGAGCCCACCCGCGAACAACAGACTGCCAGGTATAGAAGTATACAACCGGGCTTCTGGGATAGGTTTACCCGGATGCTCACGATTTCGGGTTGCGGATTTGAGGTAGATCCAATCTTGGATAGGGTTGAGAACTGTCCCAATCACAGCTCCAACCGATATGGCTAGCTGAACTAGACCGGTCTGGAACGTTCCCCAGCCATAGTTTGAACTGAAGGTCTGGGCGACACTCGAGAAGAAAAGGAAGAGAATTCCCCACGCGAAGCTGACCCACAGGGTAAAAAAGATGACCACAGGTTCGGTGAGGAGCATTCGTGTAGGGCGCTCGAAGGAAATCTGCACAAGCTTCAAGACGCTGGTGGTGTCCAAATCGGCTTCAGCGTAGATAGAGCGGCCGGTCTCATAGCGGAGCTTTTTGGCACGTCTTTTTAATATCACATCTGCACGGGTCTCGCGAAGAATGAACCAGAAGACGGGGATTAATCCAGCATTATAGATAATTTGAATATAGAAGATCCTGGATTTTTATCAGCAGTGTTCCACACATCAATTGGAATATTTGAATGCAAAACTTACCATCTCCATGGGCTGCTTTTATGGATCTGTTGAATCGCTGCTCCGATGAATGGACCCAATGCTATCCCTACCACACTCGTGAATCCAAACAGAGACATCGGTAAGCTCCTAGCTCTGGGGCCATACCAGACATCACTGATGCTGCCTCCGACAATGTTTATCGACACTGAAGACGCACCTCCGCCAAAGAATCGGGTAACAACCAATGTAGCAAAATTTTGCGCAAAGGCCGAAGGAAATAGTGATACGACCAGAATAAAATATGCAATAAAGTACCCAGGCATACGCCCGGAGGATTCGGTTAATGGAACAAAGATCAGGGGCCAGAATGCAGCGCCCATATTCCAAGACGCCGTGGCCCATGCAAGGTTAGGAAATGGCTCATTTTGGACATGGAATTGTTGCTCCATGTATTTGTTTCCCGCACCGTATGATCCAGCCGGAAGGCCCGTTAGGATTGAACTATAATCATTTAGTATTGTTTCAGCCAAATGGGAAACGATTGGGCACTGACATGAAGCAAATAGTTAGAGTAAGCACCCATTTATATGTGTTGCTCCAATTGAATCTGGGTTGTCAGTGAAAATCCGCTGTTCATCCTTTTCTCATGTCTTACGGGTTCTCCGGATCGTCCGGACCATCCCAGGTATGTAGCTCGATCTCCTGGCTACCACGCAATGGGTGTCGCCCGACATAACCTATATGACTGTCTCGCTTGAAGAAGGAGTGGGTTCTACAACATTATCAGTTGAGTACAAATTTGTTTAGGTAAATCCCTTGTCCCAACCTTGAGAAAAATGAATCTTTGAATTGGTTATGGTGTAGGGAACTCGCGGTGGACGATCGACGTGTATGTCCGCCTTGTCGGATTGGCTGAGTAGGAGGGATTCCTTCGGCTTGATCTGTCATATTTGGAACGAAGATAATATGTTATTGGATACATGGCCGTGCTAGAAGTGGCCGGGGGATTTCTTTTGTTCCTGATACAGAGTCAATGACTCGACGTTTCAATTCTCTGGGCCTTGTCGTTTCCGTCATCACTTTTTAGGGTTCTTTCGGGAGACTTTAGTCCTACCTTTCCGTCCCCACCCCTTTAAGCTATAATACCCCACAGCGCTCCCAAGTATTGTATTACAAGAAAAAAATGGGTGAGAAAGGCTCCAAACATTCTATACTTCTTAGCGTGTCAAAGTGGGGCGATCCCCGCGTCTAGAGCTGATGGCTTGGACATCATCTGATGGAGAGAACATGCCATACCAATGTAGGAACCTTCTAAAATCATCTGGTAACTACCTTCAAGGGTCCGAGGTCATTATCGATCTCAAAAACAAATATCAAAGAAGTTGGATGAACTGATTCCGGCTTGGAAGATTCCAGTTTAGGTCATGATGTCACTGCCCCACCGGCATCCGTCTCCACTGAGATTGACATAACTCAAGCTATTGGATGTTATTACTGGACATGCCAAGTTGGCTGGAACAACAGAGGCCATAACCTGATCAAGCCGGGCGCAGCAGATCCACAGCTAGCTATACCTACCTAGGGCTCTGATGTCAGCGCTAGGATGATTCGTGGAGCCAACCATGAAGTCATATGAGGGGTATCGACATATATAAACCACCTTCCTGTCCTGAAGTTGGAGGAACATAATCAAATAATAAAGCTCTTCTCATCTATACCCTCAAGCCCTCGATCAAACCTACCCTCTCTTAACTCCCAAACCACCGAACGAAACCTCGACCATAATGCCTATTCCTGTCCCTAAAGCCGAACGCCTCCTCGACCTCCTTAGCCTCAAGGGCAAGGTTGTCATTGTAACCGGAGCCTCCGGATCCCGTGGTATGGGAATCGAAGCCGCTCGCGGCTGTGCCGAGATGGGCGCCGACCTGGCCATCACATACTCCTCTCGCCGTGAGGGTGGCGAGAAGAACGCCAAGGAACTCTCAGAAGAATACGGCGTGAAAGTCCTGCCCTACAAGTGCGATGTAGGGAACTGGGAGAGTGTGGACACTCTCGTGAAAGACGTGATCAAAGACTTCGGCAAGATCGATGCCTTCATTGCGAACGCTGGACGCACAGCCAACAGCGGCATCCTTGACGGGTCTGTCGACGACTGGAACGAAGTCATCAACACCGATTTGACCGGTACCTTCCACTGCGCCAAGGCTGTCGGCGCGCACTTCAAGGAGCGGGGAACGGGCAGCTTTGTCATTACCGCCTCGATGTCCGGCCACATTGCCAACTTCCCGCAGGAGCAGACCTCGTACAACGTTGCTAAGGCCGGCACGATCCATCTTGCCCGGTCGCTGGCCAACGAATGGCGCGACTTTGCTCGCGTGAACAGCATTTCCCCTGGTTACATTGACACTGGGTTGTCTGATTTCGTTGCGAAGGATGTTCAGGACCTTTGGAACTCTATGATCCCCATGGGTCGCAACGGTGATGCGAAGGAACTTAAGGGTGCTTATGTTTACCTGGTGAGCGATGCCAGCACTTACATGACGGGCAACGATTTGCTCATTGACGGCGGTTACACCGTGCGGTAAACGATTCTCTTGGTACTATTACACGAATTTAAATAACTATATAGTTTCGAATGTTAAATATTATTCGTCGAATTCTTTGTTCCTGGGCTATTTCTGAGCTATTTCTTAAGCTCTTCCAAGACCTGATCAGTATACCCCGCTTGACATGTGACGTCATAAGCGGGTCTAGAGTGGATTGAGGTTTGTCAAGTTTGCAAGCTACTTGTCTTGATTCTAACACGAGGCCTGATCCTATTTATCAAACCCCAAGCGGACTACTAACAACACTGAAGTGATGTCTCAAACACGACCCCCAATAGCCGCCGTGATCGGAGCCTTCTCTACGAAGACGCCAGACCAGAACCAATCCTCCGCAGCCGCATTCACGCCCCCATTAGGGAGTCGCAACTCGCCGATATGCCAATCCGCCGAGTCCGTCTTGGTCGACGCATTGACAGCCGATACAACCTGCTTCAGGTTATCGGAACCATTCGATGCCCACAATCCAACAGTTTTCGCGTCGAAATCGATGTCATAGGCGAAGTTGTACCAATGTCCTGCTTTCAACTGAGTTTCCCAGTGGGAGTCTCCACCAACGCACCAGCGGAGGGTGTTGTCTTTGCCCGAAGCGCCGCTCGCTGTGCCGTACTTGAGCTCTGTGAAATGGCTCTGTGGTGGATATACATGTTAGGTGTTGCTTTCTTCGATACATTGGGCAGGGGATTGTTACCTCGAAGAACGCGATCTGGTGCTCGAAACTCGGGTTCGGTGCGTTAGTGTCTTCTGTCTTCAGCGAAAAGTGGTAGAAAAGATGCCCGCTCCCAAGGTCCGCTTTGGTTTGGGGGATGAGCTCGGATCGTTCCATGTCTTGTCCATGCCAGAACGATGTGCCGTCCTGACTATTATCAGCTTCCAGTTCTCTTGAGCTTGGGATATAACTTACAATTGTAATTCGAATCCCCTGTGCATCACTGGTATCGGCCGGGTTCTTGTGATCGGGCGACAGACCGAGGTACTTATCCGTTGATGCAGACCCGTGAATATACCACTGCCAAGCGCCGACTTGGTTAGACCACGACCCTTCTCGTATGTCAGTACTGATCAACCGCAACTCCTGAGAGTCACTTACATTTGTCGATATCAGCAACGGTTGCGGAGGCATTGAATCGCCCACTCCATAGGACTTCACCCGCTTCGACCACCATGGGAAGGGAGACGAGCCATGCAAGAGAGCGCATTTTGGTCAGTTGACTGTGAGTTTGTTTTAATATTCGGCAGTTCAGAGGTGTGGTCGGGTTCTTTCCAAGCTGCGATGCCTGCCTCCCGAAGGCTGTTATATATACATGTACCCCTAGGTAAGATCGGCTGCGCCGGATATAACACGGAGACTGCTTATGGAGACAATGAAACCTAGGATTGTCTGAAGTAAGACATTGTCATCTAGAGATATTCCTTCGGGAATCACTTCAGCCGCTCTGAACGGCCCCGGTTCATGGTAATTCCGCGACCGAAGAGTAAACATGACGGGCGCTGGTGCAATGTCTTCACTTTCTTCACTTTCTTCAACGTCATACCCTGATAGGGGAAATCGCCATCCCGCAAGTGATCGACAGGCGCCTCTCCAAATAAGTCAAGGAATTAAGGATGCTTGGCACGATGAAACTCTGCAGCATAGACTGAAACGGCGCCAAGTATAAGTGAGACATTTCGTGGCATCATCGGACCGACACAGCACCCCAACCTATCAATTAACCCCTCAATTTCAATTGAAACAGAAAAATAATCTGCAACCAAAACAATGCCTTGTTCCATAAATTCATAATAACCGGTCGCTCAAGGGACACGGTTGGGAATCCTATTTACATATCCCGATAAACCAGCAGGACCCTTATTTCATATCTTTGTGAATGATTTACACCTTGGGCTTCTCGCCCACGGCCTCATCTCCACTTCCAACCTCCTTGGCATCGATATCCACACCATGAGCCTCGGCCACGTGCATGCGTGGAAGCGAGCGAGCAATACGGGGCGGATCGAAGATACTACGCGACTGCAAGAAGATCTCATCGATCTCCTCGAGAGTGCGGCCATTCGTCTCCGGGAAGAGGAAGTAAACAGTCGGCACAATCGCAGCGTTTAGTACGGCGAAGATAATATAGTACTGCCAGTCGATGGTAGCGAAACCGACGGGCGTGACCTCAGCAAGGAGGAAGTTGAACGTCCACACGGCGGCAGCGGAGATGGCGCTGATAGATGCTCGGCATTGGAGGGGAGCGACCTCTGTGGCGTATAGGAAGGTCAAGCCGGAGTATCCGACCGTGAAAATGAATTCGAAGACGAAAAGGAACACCACGGCGCAGACCAAGCTACCGGTATTATTTTGCAGGGAAGTTGTGCCAGCTAGGATGGCCATCGAGATTGACATCCCAACAGCACTCCACAACATAAGCACGCGACGACCGAGACGGTCGATAGTGAAATACGCCAGGAGGCCGCCCAGCGGCTGTGTTAGGCACATGGACGCAGCGAGGACACGAGACTGGACGGGATCCAGCTTGAGATATTGTTCGAAGATGGTCGTGGCATAGAAAGTGATCAGATTGATTCCACACATCTGCTGGAACATCTGACCCATACAGGCGAGGACAGTGCGGTGGAACAGTCGCTGCTCGCCCATCTTCAACATATCCTTCCAGGAACCAGTCCCAGATAGGGCTAGGGAGGTCTCAATATCGCGAATGTCGAGGGTGATTTGTTCCGACTGAGGGTCGACGTCGTCCAGCGCCGCCAGAATCTCCCGTGCCTCCTCGGTGCGACCTCTTTTTACTAGCCACCGGGGCGATTCAGGGAAGAGCATCACGAAGCTCATAACCATCAGTGATAGTAGGACCTGGAAGACCAAGGGAAATCGCCATGAAACCGAGTTGGTCTTCACAAAGTAGAAGCCGAAGTCGACCCAAAGAGAGAAGGTGATACCGGCGCCGATGAAGATACCGTCTGTTACTACGTGCGCTCCACGCTTGTTGGGCTTCGAGATCTCAGACTGCCAGACGGGTACGGTAGCGACATAACCGCCGGTGCCATAGCCGAGGACGAGACGTGCAACGATAAATTGTGGAAGGGAGAAGGATGTTGCCATCAAGATTGCACCAATCATTGAGATGAAGGAGGTGAACAGGATGACCTTCCGGCGGCCGAGCCTGTCACCGAATTGAATACATGATAGCGAACCGAATATTCCGCCAACGGTATATAGTGCGACGACCGTGCCTGAAGGAATATGGTGTGAGAAATGAGTAAAGTGGTGGAGATACAAAGCATCTAGGATCAATGTACGCCCCGAACATAGTGATTGAGCTTACCTTGAATGGTTGAATTGTAGGTCTTCTCTGCATCGGTTGCAGTCAGAGTGTTCATTTGTGGGAAGGTCTTGGCGAAGGATTCCAAGGTCAATAGACCTCCCATCACACCTTGATTGTATCCATAAGTCACAAAGGCCGGACACACGACCAGCCACATGATAGCCCTATTTAGGGAAGGGCCACGAAGGCCAAAGTACGGCGCCATGGTGCAGTATTGGTATTGAATAGAGGCAAATTCAAGATCTAGAATTTCGAGATCATGCCACACCTAGTGCCCCGCCAAATCGACATGAAGTTGGATATAAAGATCATATATGCACTCATCTGGGTGTTAGACGGCGAACGCCGCCTACCGGACGATCTTGATACTGGTGGAGCCGAGCAGTACGTGGGGCGGCGTACCCCGGAGGGATGAAGCGCAGCTCCCATTGGCGAGGGTGTGGAACCGAAGACATATGCGGACCAGTCTTCGAGAAGAAGTGGAGTAGAAATGCTCGAGAGCCATCAAACGGTAAGATAATATTAGCTAAAAGTCTTGGTTTCCCCAGATTCCTCCATCGCGGGACGTGATGATGACTGATTCAAGCGACATGCGTTACCCCGGGAAGCTTAGCTGACACCCCGGGTAGTGATGAAAAGCTGGGGTAAGCTGCACTCTACTGGGGGATTGGCTAGGCCGTGGAGCAGACATGCTGGCTTTTCATACATGACGGTTTGCTCCACATCGGACCTGGCCGATGGAAAATTTGGCGACAATTTGTGCCTCGGCCACGATAAGACGAACTACGTGTCATTGATATTTGTCTTTTGGTGGATTTTCGAACTACTAGCCGAGAACGGGTATAACGGCTCCATACCTGTGGTCATCGAAATTGCATAAAAACTGTATGATAAACATCGAGGGAGTGGTATTTCCCCAGGCCTCGGTCTACAACAACGGGTTAGTGCTATTAATACCAAGATGTCGTACAATATGCATATTCCACTTGATAATACTAGATCAGTTCATACCAATATACCATTTCGGTCAAAATTACTGATATCACTACATCGGATGAAATTATACCATGATTTCGCTTGGCTTCTGTTACACGGACCCTTTTCACAGCTCAGCCTTCATTCGTCCTTCACAGTAAACCTACTCCATGACCGTATCTTCGGCCCATAAATGAAAAACACAATGGGCACAGGGAACAATGCGGCGGTTAGACAACCTAGCAAAGTCATCGCCCAATTGACGCCAAGGTTGTGGAACTATGTTGGATGGTGATCAGCCTAATCCTTGCAGTGCCAGGGCAAAATGCAAAGCTCACCATTGCCGACGCGAACACGGGAAACCCAGCGCCCAGCCAAGAACGGAAAAAGGAATTAGCTGCTATCGCAGAATTTGAATACGTGGGATAAACATCCACTATATAGTTGAGGCCCTGTGAATAATCGTCAGTATTTGTGAAATTGCCGGGATTCTCCGTTGGGGATAACGATACCTGCAAGAAGATTAATAGTACTCCTGAGCCCAAGAAAGCCCCAGATATCACCTGAGGTACCCAGGTTATGTGGGCATTTGACGTCCAGCCGAACCAAAACATGCCCACAGGCAAAATGATACCTCCAATGATCATAGGAAGCAATCGCTCCTCTGGTTGAACTCGACCATTCCGGATAATGAACGTGCGATACCTCGTCAATGAAAATACAACTATAATCAGACAAGCGCAAAAAGCACCACAGATGACAGCGACGAACGGTAATGCCCCAACGCCATCATTCCAGCCACGCTGTTCTTGGAAGGTGATCGGATAGGCCACGAAACATAGATACAGAAACCCATAGATGAAGCCGATGTAAACAGTAATAAGCAGAAGAATCGGTTCCTGCATGAGCATTTGAAAAGGGCGTAGAAGGTATCGTACCGTAATATCTCGAGGACTCACTACCTTCTCTTCTGCCTTTGCATGGAGTGCCCAGTTCTTGGTTTTGGTGCGCAGTCGTCTAGCGCGTTGCTTGAGTAATGTCCCCTCGAAGGTCTCGGGGATTACTAGGACCCCGATTCCCGCCATAGAAAACGCCCAAATAGCTGTAATATACTCAGTCCAACGCCAGCCCAGGTAGGATATTGTTACGAACCCGCCGACGATTGGTCCTGCTACCGGGCCGATGAAGGTTGCCGCGGCGAAGATCGACATTGCAATGCCCCTCTCTACCGGCTCGAACATATCGGCCAAGATACCGGATACCTAAGCAGGGAACAAATTCCAATGAGCGAGGGTCAATGCGGAGTTGGAATGGATGCAGCAGACTCACAATGGCAAGCGGTGCACTCGCAAATAGTCCCCCTAGAAAGCGACATATGAAGATAGTCTGCAAGTTCTGGGCTACGGCGACGGGGATTTGGAAGATTGCAAAGACAAACATTCCCAGAAACAGCGGACGCTTCCGACCGTACAGCTCAGACAGGGGGCCGAACATAATAGGGCCAAAGGCGAAGCCAAGCACAAACAAACTGACACCTAACACCATTACGTCTTGGGAGACACCGAACTTTCTCGCTGTTTGTTTTGTTGCTGTGCTGAAGACTGACGAGCCGAAGGTAACACAGATTGTCATGAGTGCTAGCATTATGGTAATCACCCACTTCCTCCATGGCGGGAAATTCTTCGGCATCTCCTAGAATTATGTTAGACCTGTTCATACACCAAAGAAGGAAGCCAGATGCCATGCCGGATCATTTGGACCACCCCAGTCCACGATTAGGGCTTGTTTCTTTTTATCGGGTTTGTCTCCTGCAGAGCCCACGTTGCTTTCTAACTCATTGGGCACATCGTATGTGTCGCCATCGTCGAATATGGACCGTAAGCTAGCTGAACCATGCGCTACATCCCAGGTACTGCGCGGAGACGGTGACGTTTGGGTCTCTTTGTTCGCCATTATACAGACCACCAGTGGGGAATGATAAGTAAGGGTGGGTTGTTCATTCTTGTTGTAACCCTGTAGAAATAGATTACTCAAGGCCATTTGTGTTTTTTTGCTGAATCCAAAACGACGGGTGATCTTGCAACACGTCATAGCATCGATATACCGATTCATCCATCGGCCATGGGCTAAGTCATACGTGGTATAACGACGACATCGTTACGTATTTCCCCACGGAGGTTCAGGATATTGAGGGCAGTTCGAACCTAAAGCAACCAAAGAATAATCCCAGATGTTGGAATTGCTGATATAAATTCACTAGAAAGAAAGCCGAACTATGTCTGTTCAGATAGTTGCAAACACATATACGGGATTTTGCACACTCTGGCCCCGGGCTTCATCCACTTCTGGCACCACATGAAAAGCTGGCACCACTTTTATCATCATGAATTGCCTTACCAGACACCCAGAGACCCATGCCACACTTTATCAATATTAGCTTTCTGACAAATGGCCTAGTATTAGAAGCTTTGACATACCAAGCAAGCACCAATCGCGACTATCACCAGGTTGATAGCAGTTAGAGCCATCTTTTTCCAGGAAGCCACATACTGGCCTCGGTTCAGGAACAACCAGAATATACCGCTCAGGCCATCTTTCATTCAGATCAGCACTATCAACGTTTGGCGTGAACGAAATATCACTCACAGGTAAACCAACTAGCAAAAAGCGAAGTCTACTCAGCGAATCTGTGTCAGTAGTTGTCTCCCTTGCAATTCCCAGCCACACTCACGATCAGACTGAGTAAAGTATTGAACACAGGGATTGCCTCGGAAATAATCCAGGCTATCACCCACAACACAAAAGTGATCCCAATCCAGGATCCGATGGAGAAGAATGTGCGCTTCTTCATGTGATCAGTGCCCCGGAAAAGGCGGACATAGATATATTTTGCCGCAACATGCCCGTTGATGACACCAGACACGACAATCTACAACACGAAATTAGGAACCTTTTATATAAAGTAGAGGAATTTACCAGATATATCGCACCGTAGGAATAGCAATTCCATATGCAAGCTTTGCTGTTATCGGCTTTGTCGAACTTAGAGCGGGTGAAGCCACGTCTTTCCCACCGTAGATGTATATAACAACAGCGGCTATCACATACATACTTGTATCGGTCATCTGAAGTAGGTATAGCGTTTTGGGATAGTCCGTCGGAGTCTCCATCTCGGAAATAAAGCCGAAGAAAGCCACATGGCCAGCTAGGTACAAATTAATTGGAAGGCTTCGGATAGGCGATCAGTGTGGCACTCACCATAAGCAAATACGATATTTGTGACCGCTAGAAAGCCCTTTGAAAGACTGACTGTTGTAGTCACATCTATCTTGCCATCACCCGGGCGCTGGATAGTAATGGCAATTATAGTAATCAAGAGTGCGCCGAGGATACTTGCGAAGGCTATGGTTATTAGCAAGGAGTCCACTGTGGAATAGGTATCCATGTACCCACAAGCAAACGAGAACCAGGAGACCTTGCGAAGAGTTCGAGGCACGGCAAATATAAACGAGACGATCAGGCCAACGATCCCAAATACAATTGAGCAAGTCCCATGATCTGTGATTGTATCCATCATGACACTAAAGGTCAATATATGACTACCCATGACGAAGATAAGGAAAAGCAGCTGAGCCGTGCCCAAAAACTCCCTACCAAAACGAGCTAGGCCCATGGGATGGAACATCACCTCCCCAGCATCTCCCATACTATGTACTTGCGGGTATCGGAGTTTGAATTGGCCGATCACATATCCAGTATAGGTTGAGAGTATACCAAGTCCGACAATGAGAATGAGTGCGCTAGAAATCAGTGAGAATATTGTTAGGCGGAGAGTTAACAGGAAGTAGTCACAAACGTACGGGACAAGGCCTATGACTGCCATAGCCGATGGAAGGGACAAAATACCAAGGGAGATGGTTTCTGCGATCATGATCATGCCGCATTGCCACCATTGTAATGTCCGATACTTGACTTGGGCAAGTTCCTCATCCCCAAATGGGTCTGCAATATGAGAGATGTGATCATCTTCCAATCGTTTTCTCTGTTCTTTTTCTATTGAGTAACTTCTTCTGTCAATATCACGACTTGAAGTAGCGAGATGGTGATAATCTGCCATGGCAGTGACTGAGGTCGCTGTTGAGAGCTCTGTAGCAATCGCGATCACGTTCGGTGATTGTTAGGTCAAGAAATACAAAGAAAATGGGTGGCAATGCCAAAACAAAATATTTTGGTCAATAAGGTCGATTTTAGCTGTAAATTGATGATGTCATAGTGTGGGGAAAGCTTTACGGCATCCACAGGATAAGTGTTGGGGAATGAACTTCTTTAATTTGTCAGGTGAAGACCTATCCATAGCTGAAATGAGCGCTCAGACGAACTGGGTGCGCTAACATCTTCCCAAGTGTATCGCAAGTGATCGCTTCTTTGCGCCACCTAATAGCCCCGATATGAAGATCATGTCCTGTGTGGTGGCTTTGGTGGTACAGCCTCGTGTTTGAAAAGATGATCCGCCCTCAGTGTCACCAATGATATATCTAGATCCGTAGTATTGCTGACTTCCACATGCGATATTGTCCGATTGTATCCGAAGTTGGACTAAGCACTTCTGAAGTGGATATATATCTGCTTGCCACTGTTCTGAAATGGGGTTTAATTCAACTCTACACGTACAGTTCATGACCACAACAGCCAAATTTGCAGGTGAAATATTCCGACCATCTCGGTGGCTCATATTGAGAGTTATGCGGGGCGAGTGTTTCTTATTAGATGTGTTCATGAAGTGTATAGGATTCCGGGCCTCCCGTTGAGGGCGTCATTGTCTCTCCAAAGGCTCCACATCATCGCGATCCACTGATATTTCAATACTCTTCATAATTCTGGTTTTGGCTGGAGAATTACTCATCCGGGACCCAGGATATGCTTCGTTCGATCAGTCAGAGTGTCGTATGACTTGGTGATTGGTTCGTGAGTTGGACGCGTCGTCGGTATAGGCGAGCCCGTTCTCGTCAAACGTAGGCCGCGATGAATGGTTTCATTAATGGCGCCGTGAGCACAATAACACTGAGTGCAACATGAATTTCTGCCTAACGGTAGCAAAGCCTCCTTCGAGTGTTGGATTTGGCGAATTGACTTGTTGACTCATGTAATGGAGGTGGATCACCGAGATAGGTGTGAGGTTGTAAATATGCTGGATTATTGTTGGTGTTGAGGTAGGAAATTCACAAACTAGGAAAGGTAGAGTCTCGCTCCATCCCCGCCTCGGATTTGTCTGCATATCTAGTACGGCAGAAAATTCAGGCGAAAGAGTTAGAACGCCAAAGAAGCCATATACAGATGCTTCCGCCAGATGCAAAGCTTTCTCTTGCATTAGACTGCTGGACCTTGCCTTTCCGCCAACTCTTTATGGCTATTTCGGGGTATCGCATTAATATGGACTGGCACTACTGTGGAAACTTGCATGGTTTCGAGCCACTTCATGGAAGCCACAAAGGTGTCGACCTTATTGTTATTATTCTCTTGGATCTTCTGATAAAAAACAAACAAAAATAAATAAAAAAGAATATCAGATCGAAGATCAGGACTTGACTATGACCACAGACAATGTCTCAAAATAACATGTGCTCCATGATATTATCATGAAAGTTCTTGATTCGCTCACGTTACCGGGTGGCACCCTTGTTGTTCGAATAACTTCCATAGCACATGTTATCCAGCTCAGTTTGACCGAGCTCCTTGGTCGGGCGGAAGCAGTCCAAAGAATGACCGAGAGGAAATGGAATGGGCAGAAACTGAGAGCCGGAGTGAAGCTCAGAAGAAGAATAAATATATCGTGCTTACTCTTGATTAAGAAAGTCCCCTGCCTTCTATCAGAACAGATCTTTTCGTGGTCTAACTGTGATACACCATTGCTCAGAGGCGCCTTGATTGCTTACCAATATCAACGACCAACACCCTTCAGTTACCCTGTAGCTGAAGCCAGAACGCCACAGTAGCTAGAATAGAAGTAAGGTAATCTAACCTAAGCCGTAATTTCCTCTCCTGATTCTTTCTTTTAAGTAAGAATCGATGTCTATCAAGGCAAGTATAACTTCGTTATCTTATCCGTAGCTAGTTACATAACGCGCCTAGCTAGGTACATAATGCGGAACTACCTCATCTTCGCCGTAAGTTATAAACGCATTAACATACTCAAAGAAACTAGCTTTATAAGCTCTTTCCTGAGTAGTGAAGTTGACATATCTAATACACGGTTAGCCATGCTCAACGTTCCGTTAATCAAAGGGGTATTGCTTACTGTAAGCCAAATGTAACTTCGTAGCCACTAGCCCACTCTAAATTATCCAGAATACTCCATGCTAAACATCCAACCACGTCCACACCGTCATTAATGGCAATCAAGATCGCTTCCATGTAATCCTTGTAGTACAATCTCCTTATGGTATCGAACTTGATATCTTCTTTGAGGGGTTTCAAGGTCTCGAAGGGCTCTGAGATGCCGAATTCTGTGATGGCAATACCCCCAGCGGGTTTCCAGGTGTCTGTAATGTAGCGCAGGAATGCGGGAACCCAGTCTGTTGCCTTATGTAACCACGGCGATCTTGGGTCTGCAGCGGGGCCGATGTTCCAGCCGCCGTCCGTAGAAGGGTAGGTGTAGGTTGTGTTGGCGCAGGAAGGGTAAAGTGGGTTAGACTTGTTCTGTACACATGAGTCTATTCCTGCGTCGGGAGCTGCGATTATTATATCAGCTAGGGCTATTTCTCTTATGGGGAAGACGCTAACCAAAGTAAAACTGAGAAGTATAAGCATCATGGGCGAAAAGATCAACACTTCCATTGAGCATTTTCTTCTCGGCATCAGTGAACTCCGGGAGGAAGTCTGATACAAACTCTTTCAAATATTTTGGATAATCGCCATTGATAAACGTTGGGTTGGCGAACCATCCTTCGTTAAAGTCCCACGCTCTCTGAACTGCCACTGCGTCTGCACTGGAGTTGGTGAGGGGAATCTTATACCCGCCGTTGCTTTTGAATGTTATCGTTCCGTTGAGTCCTAGAGAACGCCCTAAGTGATAAGCCTTGCTATGAGCTTGTAGTACATGGTGGCCACACCAATATGGCTGTTGGTATTTGGGAATTGATGTATTGGTGAAGTAATTGTCGGGGAGAGGATAGTAATTGCTGTCACGTAAGCAGATTGTTGTAAGCATTGTTGTAAGCCTTTGGAGAGACAAGGACTCACCAAAAGGCAGTTGGCTCATTGATGGTGAACCAATGCGGAACTTTGTTGCCGTAGTATGAGAAGACTACCTGGGCATAGTTGACGAAATCATTGACAATTTGGTCCGAAAGAAATCCACCGTAGAGATTTTGAAGATTGAGAGGGACGTCCCAGTGGAAGAGAGTCACAGCAGGCTCAACTCCATATTCTATGCAAGTGTTGATAACATCGTCATAGTGTTGAAGAGCTTGAATGTTGACTTGGCCATTTCCAAAGGGGAATATGCGCGACCAACTGATCGAAAAAGAGTATGTTTTCACTCCAAGAGCCGCGATACGAGCAATGTCTGGAGATAAATTAGCTTCATGGCCCGTTCGTTGTGCAGAGATACGAACCTTGCTTGTACATATAATAGTGATTATCAGCAATGTCGCCAGTCTGGTTTGCTAGCGAGTAGCCTGGAACCCGATGTAGGAGCACATCCCATATCGATGGTCCCCTGCCTTCCGCTTTCACGGCTCCCTCAACCTGGTAAGCAGCACTGGCAACACCCCACCAAAAACCCTTGGGGAAACTCCAACTCCTGTTCTTGGATGTCATTGCGCTCTGCTGGCCAGTAGGAAATGAGGGAATATAAAGACCCGGAGGCGGAATGAGCTCGTTCGTTGGAATGGGAGTCGCTGCCATGGTTGTGTTCATTGACGCCATCAAAACTGGACCAACGAAGAGATCCCAAAGATTGTCCCAACTGACCACCATGGGGGAAGAGAAATATGTTGGATTCGGGGCGGTGGTAGTGCCATTGGGGCCGTTGATACTTGTAGAGGCTGTCGGAGTTGGAAAGATGGAAGCTCCGGGAGGAGAACGAGAGCGACTGTCTTGTGAGACGGCCCCTACTACTTGCAGCAAGGCGAAGATTGAAAATTTCATCTTGACAGAAAAGAGGGCGAAGTGCATACGGAAGACTGCCGGGAGAGGAGTGCAACGTTGAGGCAAGCATTATATACGGCGTAGCAAGCTTTGAAAGGCAGTGACACTGCAGCAGGGAGAACATGACGTCGGTGATGCCCGGCGTGGATAAATACAAACGACGCAGACCTGAGCCAACATAAGCAACCGGTGGGAGATGCACGGAGTGACAAGGTCTCGATTGGTGAAGTGGAGTTGCGGGGAAGAGCGTTAGGGGGCAAAAGTGGCTTATTCTAGCCGAATGAGTCAAATGCAGAAAATGGGGAAGAAGGACCAATTGGAGAACGGTCATTTCCTTGAACTTGCCCTGAAGACATGCGACAGAAATTGGAGATGAGGGGCTCGGATCGCGCTTTATACGACGTATTCGTACAGTCCAGTGTGTTCAGCAAGAACTTCAGCAAAGGAAATTTAGTTCAAATACGACGTATTCGTACAGTCCGGTGTGTTCGGCAAGAACTACAAGGAATCATTTTTCCTGCTTGCTTAGCGTAGGTTATGAAGCCTAGAAAGAGGCTAAAAAGGAGCAATACCGTTATAATCCATCCTACCTATCCTGATTTCGCTCTCTGAAGGTGTGGTGGACTCCTACCTTTAGCGTATTGTCGCCGGCAAAGTACGGATCGCTGCAACGCCCAAATGATAAAGACCAAATTCATTTCAGGCAATAATGGTTGCCAAATTTCTGGCTAAAACACGTTATAACGAGCGTGTAGCTGTATACTTTCCACATTATTAGATAATTAGAAAGGGAAGAAAAGAAACAGGCTTGTCAGAGAAGCTCTGTTGTCAAGGGCTAATTGACTGCCGAAGGGAGAAATAATTGATGTACACCTACAGAGTACGTCGTAAGCTTTGCATACCCCGGACATTCTCCGATACAGCACCGGGGCCACATTATTGTAATGCTGCCAATTGCCTCCCTCCTTCCACCCAATAACCAACGCAAAATTCAATAAGTATCCTGAATGCATGAACAGTACTCAGTGACACCCCAAACTGCTAGAGCGCTGAGAGATAACCAGTCTATGTCTGTCCGCTCATCTCCTTGTTATTCTGTTTCCTATTCTAACATCTCTCATATATCTTCTCTATTATGAGGCTGATACACTATTTTTCCATCCTGGCAATTTCTCTGCCTCGTGGGATGGCCTCGTCTTCCACCGCAGGCAAAGTGGACCAAGGTGGCTCGCATGCTCAGCGCTGTAGTTACTGGCTTGAGGACATCTCGCACCAAGGAACAGCCGCATTCAACGATTACCCAGCTAATTTTCGAGTGTTTCGCAATGTCAAGGATTTCGGTGCCAAAGGCGATGGAGTTACAGATGACACTTCCGCTATCAACTATGCAATAGGTTCCGATAATACTTGTGCACCGGGGTCATGTTTCTCCAGCACGGTCAGTTGGAACGCCCGCCAACCCAACGCTCACGGTGAACCTTCTGACGCCTTGTAGACCTCTCAAGCACTGGTGTACTTTCCCCCAGGTACCTACATGATCAACTCCACTATTATCCAGAATTATGGGGTTTCATTGCATGGCAACCCCAACTGTTTGCCTACAATCAAGGCGTTTCCGAGCTTCGCAAATGGTGATGGCGCAATGGGCATGATTGATGGCAATCCGTATGTGACTCCCTCAATTGTCAAGCTTGAAAAGTCACCACAGCTAACGGGAGGTAGGTCGACTTACACCGTAGACGTCAATATCTTTTTCAGACAACTACGCAACTTCGTCATCGATACGACTCTGCTACCTATCGATGCTAATATGACTGGAATTAGATGGCCATCTGCACAAGCCACGAGTATTCAGAATGTCATCTTCAATATGCCTATCGATGATACAGTACAACATGTTGGCCTGGTTGGTGGAGGTGAGGCGCTCCTCTTCTGATCTACTTAAAGGAGTAGCTGCGGGTTTTCTGTTTCTGGTTTAAGTGTTCTAATATAAAGATACAGGAGGGGAGGTGTTCTTCACTGACTTGGTTTTCAATGGGGGTCATGATGGGTTCATTATCCCAGGGGGGCAGCATACACTACGCAACGTTACGTTTAACCACTGCGTCAACGGGCTCAGTCTTGATGCTATCTCCACGATCGTACTTCAAGATGGCACTTTTAGCAACTGTTCCACAGCCGTCAAAACAACCGTCAGAAGTGGAAACGTTATCTTGGTTGATAGCCTGATGAAGGATGTTGGGGTTGGGGTTGCTTCACACTACGGCAGCCCCTCAGCACATAGTAATGGCTTGGTCTTCGACAATCTTGAGTTTGACAACGTGAGCACCCTCGTGCACACCGCTGGTAACACCACTGCTCTTTCAGGAGGCTGCGGCACTATCGTGGGGTGGGCTCAAGGAAGGTCATTCCAAGAGACAACATTCTCTACCGTACAGGGCCCGATTCTCCCCATGAAACGACCTCAAGGGCTGCTAAACCCGGGGTCTTTGAAATGGTACTCTCAGGCTAAGCCCGGTTACGATTCTTTATCTGTAACATCGTTCATTAGCGCCCGATCGGCGGGTGCGAGAGGAGACGGGAGAGCTGACGACACGTACGCTCTGCAAAGAGCCATTTGGGCCGCCTGGGCTCAATCAAAAGTCCTCTTTCTCGACCACGGAAGCTACAAAGTCACCAAGACGCTCTACATCCCTGCCCATACCAAGGTTGTTGGTGAGGCCTATCCGAACATTTTCGCTGCCGGGGACTACTTCAAGAGTTTACATCACCCTCGACCTTTGCTCCAAGTTGGCCGACCTGGCGAGACTGGTCCGATTGAACTGTCGGATCTGGTTCTGGGCACGCAAGGCGGCACCCTGGGGGCTATTCTTATTGAACACAACCTTGCCTCTTCCTTCCCGGAAGTCGGTGGCTATTGGGATGTACACACCCGGATAGGTGGATGGACGGGCTCCGAATTGCAAGCCGCCAACTGCCCCAAGATGCCAGGCGTGCCGAAGCCCCCAGTGGACATGAACTGTATGGCTGCGTTCATGTCCATGCACGCCACCAAGAGCTCCAGCGGGATATACATGGAGAATTGCTGGCTGTGGGCCGCTGACCATGACATCGACGACTTCAATGTCACGCAAATTCAGATCTATACAGGGCGAGGAATACTGGTTGAGAGCCGGCTGGGTAACAACTGGCTAATTCATACGCCCGTTGAACACCACTCGAAATACCAATACACCTTTAGGAACACCCGGAACGCGTACATGTCTCAGGCGCAGACTGAGGTTCCTTATTACCAGCCCAACCCTGAAGCTTCTCTTCCTTACCCGTATCAAAAGCGGCTGGGTGACCCAGCTTTCGATGGACCAGTTAACGGACCAAGCGGTGCTCCTCGTCGTATGGCTTGGGCGCATCGCTTTTTGGACTCGCATAACATCACTGTGTATGGTGCTTCTTATTTTGAGTACTTCAACGACTGGAATCAGGGTAAGCAAGTTTCCTTTCCCGTCTGCTATCATCCGTGATATCCACTACAATATGCTTCAATATGGAGCCCTGCTGAACCTTAATCCTTCTAGACTGCATGTCAAGTAACATTACGTGCTCCGCCGAGAGCTTCCAAATCGATACCAAGAGCACTGGAATCATTATATATAGCTTTAATTCCAATGCAGTGGAATCCATGATCACTCGCGATGGAATCCCTTTACTGGCTGGTCCGGACCAGCCTAATGGTCTCTCGGGGATTTTTAAGGATTTGGCTGTGTACAAGCAGTAATGAATCTATTGATCCTGAGGGCAGGCTTGTATCTAAATGTCAGAAAAATGGAGAGATGCACTGTATTGACTAGTCAAATGCTCCTTGAGGAACCTGGGGTTTGCAGTAACTACCTCTTCTTTGTTTTACGTGATACCGTTGCCGTAGTCATGGCACCCCCTCGGAATGTAAAAACCGAAGCTTGGCTGTTCTCATGGGTATTTCAACCCCCATGCAGTCCATTAGTTTAAGGAATCAGAGTCGACGCCTCTTTCATTTTTTGAATTGCATTACCTTTTTCATTCCGTTGCCCTCATAGGCTATTAAATTCTCGGTAATTCATAGCATATCCAGAATATTCCTGTCACAATTCGTCAATTGATAGACCCCAAAGGCGTACACCCCATTAGAAAGTATGATGTCCCAAACCTCCATTCGTGGTGTAGACAACAACCACACCGAAAGTTGGAACATCCCAGGGGTTATCGTCTTTACCCACACGATATTTCCGCACCAAAACTGACCAAGTTTGAACCTTATTCTCTTAATAAATATATAAAGTAACATATTTTCTACTTATCTTCATGTTCATCATCGTTGGAAGCCTATTGTAAAATATATATAAATTATCTCAGAAAATATTTTAGATCAAGGGTGGTCAATTTTCAAAGCTTGACGAAAGATTCTAATCGCGTGTTTAGTATAGGAGCCGCTATTTCTATATAATGGAGATTCACCTTAATATTCGTACTTCGATCAGTTACCACTTAACAGCTATATATATTAAATCATCCAAAACGAAAAGTTTTGTTAATCTGACTCTAATATTCCATTAAGAATTATCTAAAATTTTATTGCTACATAAATTCATTGAGAGAATTAGTTTCAAAGTTGGTCAGTTTTGGAGCGGAAATGGCGAGTGGGTAAAGACTTTGTGGCAGGGTTTGTGCAATCGAGAGTCATATCCGAGTCTACCTGCTAATGATATTGCAATATTTTATCATTTATTCGTTGCCTGTACAAGCATTTAAAAGTAAGCAGTTAGCGTAAGATATTGCTATATCACAGCTGTCAATTGAGCGTGGATCAGTTTTGTATGGCAAAAGTACAATAGATCGATGCTGTAACATGGTAACCTCGCATTTTGTTCTGTAGATCAATGACTGTCGTCTCTTTTGGAACGGTTCTCTCATCTAAAGGGCCGACATGTAAGATTTTTCCGTCCTCAATGATCATGCTTCGACAAAGTCATTGCCTTTATCTGAGGCTAAGGGCACGAAGAAACGCCCATTTTTGAAAAGAGTTGCCATAATGCCAAGAGATATATGATCGATGAGCAGCAAACATAAAGATGCGGTTATTTCCGACGTATTTATACTTCATGACAGGATTCCAAAATGGTGAACGGATCCAAGCTCCCAATGAAGTTTTCCTTTTGAGAGAATGGAGTAGCCGAGTATCTCGGACGATATGGTGTCAACGATACCTTGAGAGGAAGAATAGAGAAGTGATACGGGGACCACACTCTGTTGCCGTCGAGTGGAGCGGCTTGTATTGTAGGGATAAAAGAGGGTCGAAATAATTGCCGCTTCGGATCTCGGGAATCAGGGCTAGCGCTTCTCGGTGTTCGGTGATGTAGATATTTGTTTGATTGGCTTGATAAGAAGCATGATTGATCCATAGGTCCACTTATCTCAGAAATCCTGTGGGAATCTCATTGGATTTAGGTAGATGGACAAGTTGCACCAACCTCGACCCCCTAAGACTCACAGTCAGACAATCTTTACCCTGAAGACTCCTTTGGTGGGTCTTTTTGATCTTAGTCTCTATTGTAAAGTATTGCTATCCCTTACTAGAATCCTATGGGATTCTCATGAAATTCAATTAACCCTATCTTTTCGATAACCTTCGAAGTAATGTTTAGTAGAAATTCTATGGATAAACTTATAGGTAGAGTTTATAGTAATAGTACCCCATTCATGAATATTCAAGTAGTTGTAGTAAAAGGTAGAATTGTTGATAGTTGAATTAAATTCAATTTCTGATGGGGTCAATAGTCTACAGTTTATGAGATATATATTTTGAAATAATACACGAGGATGGGCTGCCCGACTCTATAGGACAATCGGGGTAAAAACCACCGACGACACCATCGTATTACATCCGCTGGATGCCTGTTGTCGCCAAGGTTATACACCAACCCTGTTTAATCGCTCGATCTCAATATGTCGTGCTTGAAGATACCGATGTCGAACTTGACGGCCGTATGGAAGTTCTGAAAGCGAACCCGCAGGCCATCCGCTACGTGGTCAACTTCATGCACCGAACAGGTCTCCTCCAGCAGTTTCAACACGTTGGGATCGAGGAGGACGACGACGACGAACCGACAGGCCTCGCGGCAATGGATCTAGGTGTGGAAGACGATGGGTACTAGCCAATGACGACAAATGATGCTGTGAAACGAGAACTCAGCCAGAGTCGACAAGCATGCCAGTTGAATGGCCAGAACAACATCACCATCAATTGAAACTGAGGCAGGGGAGGGTACAGAGAGAGAGAGAGAGAGAGAGAGAGAGAGAGGCGAAGTGGGGGTTGGAAGGTGGAGGGTGCACTCCACAACTATCATTATATATTAATTTCTTATGTATGGGATGGGATGGGTTTGGATTTATGGGGCTACGGGTTACAGGAATGGGCTGATTCCGCACTCTTTACGATCAGTATCTGTATACTCTATGGGATGCACTATGTGGTTCCAGCTCGGCGTTTGGCTTCGAGTTCTTGCTTCAGTTGGATGAAGCGCCTGCATAGTCATACGCAACTAGTTAGACTGCAACAGGTTAATTGAACTTTGATTGATTGATTGATTGAAGTTCTGAAAGCGCTGGTGCTCACTCCTGAATATCACGGTCGAGGAAGGAGATAGCTCCAGCCAGTTTTTTTTTAAATAGATAGACAAGGAAGTGAATGTCGAGGACGTGGTTTGACCTTGCTACGGCGCATACATCAAGGGCTGAAGAGGGTGGAACATATTGCATCAGGTTAATAGAACTTGAATTGTCTGATTAATTAAGTGACCCTACTACTCTATAGGCCGCGTAGACTCCAGTAAGAACAAATGTAATTAATAGTAATCATCAATATTGGATTATATATGTGCCCTAGCCCTCCGCTCAATCTCCTCGCTCTTTCCAGACGTCAGCGTAGCGTCGAGCGTGCGACGAATCCCGAGCGCAGTTTTTCGATCAAATGAGACGAGGGCGTATCTTCAGTTAGTCTCTTCGCGCTACATTAAGATTCATCAACCCGGCAGACGTGACATTATGGTCGCGCTGGCCATTGATAGTCATCACCGTAACAGCTATCCTGGTCATCTGGTCTCAGCCGACAGTGGACGGTTTGATCAACCGAGCCCAGATGGTATACGTGGTCATTTTCATCTAGATTGTGGAATCTGGAGCGGGGACGTGCGCCGGGGAATCTGTGTGAGTAGTCTGGGTTATTCGGATCGGACCGAGAATGTGTCCAGATGCGTAAGAGAGGGCGGAGTGTTGCTAGACTTCCGGCTGTGATTCCCAGGCCTACTTCAATATTGGACCAAATGGCGACCTGAACATTTGCGTCTAGGATTCCGTTAGCTGGGGGTTGAAATTGGTTATTTTCGCTGGACGTACAGAGGAAGCTATCTTCAACCAAGGTTTGGACAAAGGGAATGCGAACAAGAACCGCAGATGAGGCACTATAAAATATTGTTAGTTGTGAAGAGACCTAAGGCTGGATGGCGAAAACGCACATACACGCCATCCCCAAGATGCAAATTACCCCAACCTTAGTCCGCTTCTTCATTTGCAACGTGTACACGATGAAAACAGGCAGAATTCCGACCGTAAAATCGCATAAAGCAGAAAAGCCACTGTGGACATACATCATGACGACGAGGATATTAATGTCAATGCAGGATCCGGTAATACTCGGGTCTAAAAGAACTCGAGTCCAGAAGTATGAGATCGGCTGGCATTGGAACAGCAACAAGAACAAGAAGATCACTCCAGAAATTACAGTCAAGACCATGACCGTATAAAGGATCCAGTTATGCAGGCGCTGGATGGTTATACGCAATAAAAATAGACAAATGGAGATTCTGCCGAAGAGGGAGGCGAGACAAAATGAAATCTCACAAAGCCAAAAGTATTCCACGGCTGTGACTCTATTATGAGGTTCGAGGTGCTCGAGTCTGTAACCTGATCCATATAGTGAACCCCCGATCATACTTCCACAGAACATGGCGAAGAACAACTGTGAGTAGGATATTAGTAGAGCGTCATTGACCTTGCCAGCTATCCTTGCCAAGAATTTCCGGAACATACCATTGCAATAACCATTGCAATATCATCCCATCCAAATGCTTTCACAATCCATCCTCTCACATAACAGCGCAGTATCACTGAAACAGCGGTGATAGGTAGAAAAACCGCCGCCACGGCCTGAATCGCGACTTTTCTTTGATATTCGCCACCCATAGTGATATAAAGATATGGGCAAATAGAGTGTGTGGAGAAAACTTTTTTTAATTAATTTTCATGAAAATGTCATCTGCAAGGCCCCCGGGGCGGGGGGGGAGGTGGCAAATGCTGACTGGGGGAGAGGTATAGGGTGTTTAAGGTGGCGTTTTCCTAATTACACGTTCAGACAAATTATGTTGCCATGTTGCCATTGACGACGGATCATCATTGAGGTACATTGGAAGCTAGACGACTTACCAGAAGCTTGGATAGAACAACGTGGCATTCCTCTAATTCTCGTCCCGACACGCGCGTCAAAGAGGGAATCTCGACTAGTTCACGCCATTGTCTCCGGCGGGAGATACTGTCGATTGATCGTGATTGAGTTTGCAGTGCGCTAGGCCAGTGGTAATACCCACTGTAGAATGGAGCCTGATGCAGCAGCTTTGTCGGGTGACGGCGTGCACTAACTAACTTGCTTGCTCTAGCGCATCTTGGAGCAGATGAATGGTACCGGCAGCGTCACGCGAGGCTCTCAGTGTATGGAGTAGCTTTCTACGAAACCGATTAAAGTTTACAGTCGCTACGTAGTTGAGTGGGTCCCTTCCATATGTCCCCACAGTAATTTCAACCCTTGCGCCAATGCCGTAAACCTGAGCATATTCCATTTTCGGTCGTAGCATGACAAAGCATACTATAACCATAATTAAGTATAAGAATATTTCTTGGTAGGGTGCTTCCTCTATCTACGATTTTGAAGGCACAGGCTTTATTAAATCATAGTTTAACGGCCTCCCGGAGGATTAGCGCTTCGAAATTAGCCTTCGTTAGCTTAAGAAGCTCTTTATTCCCGATCATATCCTAAATTTGCAACTTGACTAACCCGTTTGGTTCCACCTAGGCTAAGAGATGAAAACAGTAGCGTTGAAAGCGACCAGTCTACACTCTAGTGCATAGACAGAACTTTAGGGCGGAGAGAATACATTCAACCCTGCGCCACTTACGAGATCTTCCATGGTGCTTTTTTTTGCGGCCCCCGGGGGGTTGAAACTTAGGGCCACAAATGTTGTATTAATATATTATTATATTGACCTAAGTTAGGATGAAAACATTCCTTCCAAATCAACAAGAGACTGTCTCAGTATTGTGTGCGTTGACATACTCGGGCGTTAGCAATTAATAGGACTAGCAGGGAGTCTTGTCTCTGGATTCGCATTCACTCCAATTGCTGTACAGACAGAGGCCGTCTTATTCCTGCGTCCAGAAATAAGGGGAAGCCACATATACTAGCTATACTGAGTCTAATGTCAATTTGCATGGACTTGATACTTTTCCCTCTGAAGTCTAGGAGAAGTGAGCTTTTCCTTGCTTACAATATGCACATTTTCTGCCTCCGTTCGTATAGACAGTAAATCAACATCATCAATAGCAGTATCCGGATACGATCATGCATATCGCTGTTAACCTTCAGATAAATTGAGTCGATATACACTCGAATATAAGAAACAAGAGGCTCTAAGTTAGTTTTCAGGAGGTAGATCACCCTACTTGTGTGTACATGGATATTTATAATTGTTGTAGCCTGTATATCGCCAAAAGAGTTGGATTCTAAACCATTTCCCACTAGGCTGGGTACGGAGTCGTATTTTGGTCTAGCTGGGAAATCAACTAAAAGCGAGGGGTCAGGGCAAATGAAATCATCCATCCACCCATCCTGTATCTCTATCTTATAGACTGAAAAAAATGCACCTCGAAAGTTTTGTGGATCTTATTGGTTTCTCCGTTGTCGTGGTTTCCTTCACCTCATGCAGACTCAATATGTTCATTTTGTTTAGCATTTTGCTTAGAACAAGACTGAGCACTCCATTCTACTACATAACAAAGTCGGAATTTTGTCATGGTTCCTACCAAGGGTGTCGCTATATGACGTTAGTTATAATGTTAATTGCGTACTGGAAGGGAAAAAAACACTTACTCTACCATCCCAGCACCAGAAACTGCCACTCTCATTCTTCTCTCCAATGACCTTGAGCATCCCAGAGACGCTTTCATCGGCCTCGATAGAGCCTTCGACTTCCCAGTCGACATGAATATCGGCCATGTCGCTGAACGTTTCGTTAGTAAGCAAACCACTGACCGGCGCAGGTATTTCTTTTGTGTACGTTTTAACTTCACCTGGATGCATGGCAAGGACGCATGTATTGTCCCACTTTCCACCTCTTCTTGATAGCTCTGCAGCCATATGTCTAAGCATTTGGTTGAGAGCGGCCTTGCTTGCGCCATAGGCCCCAAAACCATCTTCGTGGTCTCGGAAAACAGTAGCCGACCCGGAGTCAGATGAAATGAACACAACCTTGGAAGGGGGCCATTCCGAATCGATGTTCACGAGTTTCTGTGCACAAATGATAGGCCCGATAGTGTTGGTGTGCAGGTGAAGGGCAAAATCGGAAAATGAGCTATCAGACGAGTTAGGACTGCCATCTTCAATTGAGCTCATCGGCAAGTAACAAACATTTCAGTCGCACGGTTGGGGTATCTAAGAATACCAGCATTGACAATGATATTTTTGATCCTAAGCCCACCTTTGACTGCTTCTTCAGTGCTTTCAACAAAGCCCTATCACCATTAGCAACTTACAAACATGGAGTGAGTTTGAGGCGTATATCATCTCACTTTAATGCTTTTTTCGTTCGTAATATCGCACTCATAGATCAGGCAGTTGCTCAGTGGTGGGTGGCGAGCAACTAGATCAGAGAGCTGGTCTGCCTTAGAAAGGTCACGAACTCCAGCAATGACATGCTGGCAGTCTTTCAGAAGTTGGCGGACAAATTCGAGGCCAATGCCTCTGGAGGCACCAACTACTACCCAAGTGTCTGTCATTAAATCGAAGTTCTAGATTTCTGGATAAAGCCGCTTGAGACAGCACTTGTAGTTCGCAGAGAGATGATTTAAAGAAAATATAAGATTGAGAAACGGAAACCATGAAAATGAGGGGTTCCAATGTGATGGTTGTTGTGACTGAACACCGAGAAACAATCGACAAAGGCTGAAGCGCCGATACTCTCTTATCCGGAAAACACCCAACCCAAAACCCAAATAGGTATGTATAACCGAAAAAAAGCCAGAAAAAAGACAAAAAAAGAAAGTTGACATATCGTTTTCCATCAAATTGTGGAGTAACTTTTGATTATATAATGATATAGTCAATTGTCTGGGTAATTTTGTCTACTGCTAGGAGGTTGGGAACCAATACTACACACAAAGAAAAATGAGATTGTCTTATGAACAAGACTAGTATAGCTTGTATCCACGCAGTCGACTTAAGGGCATCGTGGCCCTATCAGAGGATCTCTTCTAACTGATGTCCCCCAATTGCGTTATTGGAGGTGGAAGCAAATCTGTTTCATCTTCTTCATCTACCTCCTCCTTCACTACCACCTCCCGGTCTTCGTCTCCTTCCGTGCTATAAGTTTAGTTAGGCATTGAAGGCTGGTCAACCTACCAGTAGACTTTCTGCTTGGTACATATGTCCCCTCAAGTTCAAAGGTTCCCTCGACGTCTTCAGTTTCTTCGAACTCTTCACCTTGAGCCTACCTACTACGTGAGGTTCTGGCTTGGTATTTCACATTACCTTGTTTCTACAAGTTCACAGACTATAAATATGCACTCCAGCTATTTCTAGCGACCCCAATTGTTTGAGTATTCCTCTGCCAAGTTAGCGGATTTTGTTGGTTCTGCAGTGAGTTTATAAGAGCGGGTCTAGCGTGTGGAAGGACTTTCCCAGGTAGGTTATCTTCGTGGCTCGTATACGCTAAACCCAATTCTCCGTTAGGGGCTTTGGATCATACCCCCTAATGCCCATCCAGTCAAAGATTGATTTGATTTGATTTATTCCTCAGGCATTTTACGACCTTGGGTCGTATGTAGCCCCCTAGCTAGTGTGCGCTGCAACGTTCAGTATGTACACGGCATTAATAGATACGTAAGACGACAGTATCCCCAGACGACAAGCAGTATCCCCAGACAACAGATAGTATTCCCAGGCAGCAATTCCTTTGTTCTCAGGTGGTAGTGTTCTCAGAAAATGGTATCCGTAGCACCGAGAGTCACTTTGGTAAACGCTGCGTTACACCCGGGCGAGAAAAGGTCTTTGCAGTACATCGGCCAAACAACTCTCTCCTCGCAGCCAGCTGCCTCTACTGTGATATAGTGCGATGAGGGATGACGCAGTCCTCAGCTATTCCTTAATCTTGTCAACCGCTGTGAGTGTGGATAACCGTTGGAGGAAAAGGGGTACGGGTTGAGTGGATGAGGTTCAACCACGACAACACCATTTCACCTCCGTCCCTCCTTATTAGACAGATCTTGGCTTCCCCTGGTAGAAGAATGCACGAACAACTGCCAGAGTACTGGTTCGATTCAAACTAATTCTTGAGATGCGTATGTTGTGATAACATAATCTGACAGAAAGCTGGTGTACGAACAATGCATGGTATAGATGACCGATGTTGATAACTCTACCCCAATTTCTCCAATTTCTCCAACATGATATATCACCATGTAGAGACAGGTTCCAAACACGGCCCTGGAGATATCGACCTCGGCACCCCGCATCTCCTCTGAATTAGAATGGGCTGGGGTTATCAATGGATATATATTGAGGGCCAAATCTATTAACGTGATCATTCAACACACTAGAAAAGAAGGTCCAACCAATTTCATCGTAGTGGCAACGAGCACCATTACATACAGCTGAGATAGTATATTCTAGTATCATCTGTATCAACCCAACATCAACACCAGTACACAATCTATCTAGTACCGTGGTCGTCGACCTTTCTTGGAAGACTCATTCTGTATCATCCTCATTCTTTCCATTCCAGGCCAACCAAGCACCGACAATCAATAACTTCAAACCTGCCGCGGTCCACAAAGCACCCATCATACCAACGGAGCTATGGGCCCAGAGACCGCCCAAGACCACCCCCAACAACAAACACAAGACGGCGCCAATCCGCCGCATATCCTCCGCATGACCGACCACCTTCCTCCATAGGAAATCAGGATGTGAAAACAAATCGCAATAAGTACTAGTAAGAACAACACTAGTCAAGCCACCGAAGTTCAACACACGGCTCGTCACAGCCTGCCCACTACTCTGGAATGCGATGAGCGTCACGGGGACGAGGACCAACCAACTCAAGGGCGCATCGCGAGTCGGCCGATAAATCGTAACGATCAAAGCGGCAAGACAGACACACAAGGTTTGAGCAAGGAACGACACACAGAGCACCCATCTCCGTCTCGCCGGGAAGACACGGTGGAAGGTGGCGAAGCACAGCGAGCCCAGGCAAAATCCCGCAATAGAGACTCCGGACTTGATCCAGCGATCGTCTTCGGTGCCAACGAGACCTAGGCCGAAATATACAGTGTTTCCGGTTTGCATGCTCACGAAGGAGCCCCATATGAGGACCGCGGAGCTGTCGAGGAGGCCGGTGATGACGTAACAGAATATTAGGACCAGGTCACCGTACGTAGGGTCGAGGTCGCTGCGCAGGTGTTTGGATACCCGGGATAGCTGAGATGGCTTGGAGCGTCTGTGATTGCCCAGTAGGGCGTCTGTTTCGCTAGCCATTGATGGCGAGGTGAGGTGGTGAACAGATTGAAGTGAAGGGAAGTTGTTTGATGTGGAGCCACGCGGTGTAGGAACTCGATCTCGGCAAAGAATGAAACTGCGTCGTCCCACCTCAGGAGATCGTCAGAGTGCACCGACATATATTCGGCAAATCTTTTGGAGTAAACAGTTGGAGACGCGATATGCGACCGGGATATGCGCAATGTCATGACGTCGATGCGGAAAACATTTTCTGAGTTTACAAACTGCGCATTTACCTTCTTAGAATTTCCTCTTTTCTCCTATTTTCTCCTTTATGTAACCAATTCATTTTCAAGCTCACGATGCAAATTAGACACGTGTTGTTAAATCTGGCATGTCTCCAGGCTGCATGGGCTATCCCTGCCCCGGATCACAGCCTACAGAAGCTACTCCAAGTACCAGCTGGCCATCCCGCAGAATGGTTCGGTCAACAGCCTATTTCACGACAACCACCTTTCTCTCGGGGAAACCGAGATCCGTATGATCACAAGGTCGACTCTGTTGGCGATGAGCGACAGCCACTGCCGTTCCGCAATGGAGATGGTGCTACGGTAATGGGACCGCGGAATCGAGATCGCGAGCGCCAGAACCCTGATATTGTTCGTCCGCCGAGTACCGACCATGGCAGTATGCCTAATATGCGATGGAGTTTTGCGGATTCACATATTCGGATTGAGGTATGGTCATTGTAATATGAGATGTAGTCCATCATTGTCTAAATATGTCTGTATAGGAAGGTGGATGGACTCGACAAACAACTATCCGCGAGCTACCCACTAGCCGTGAACTGGCAGGTGTGAACATGCGCCTGGATCGAGGGGTCATCCGTGAACTCCATTGGCACACGGAAGCTGAATGGGCCTATGTTCTTGCTGGAAAAGTACGGGTCACTGCGCTAGACTTGGAAGGTGCCACTTTTATGGATGACTTAGAGGCAGGAGATCTGTGGTATTTCCCGGCTGGACATCCACACTCACTCCAGGGCCTCGGTGAAAATGGCACGGAATTTCTTTTAATCTTCGATGATGGGAACTTCTCCGAAGAGTCCACTTTCGTCTTGACTGATTGGTTGGGTATGTTAACTTACCTGTCTCATTCAATGAAATATATATACTAACGCTGTCTGCAGCGCACACCTCCAAAGCTGTTCTAGCAGAGAACTTCCGGATGTCCCCAGAACAATTCGACAATATCCCTACGTCCGAGAAGTATATATTCCAAGGCTCAAACCCCGGAAGCATTGACCAGGAAAAACCACGCACATTCAAGAAGTCAAAGATAAACTTCACCCATCACATGCATGCCCAAGAACCCCTTGAATCGAGCGGGGGTCGTGTGCGTATTACCGACTCCTCTAACTTCCCAATTTCCAAAACCGTAGCAGCCGCCCATCTAGAGATCGCCCCGGGCGCACTACGCGAGATGCACTGGCACCCCAACGCCGACGAATGGACATATTTCAAGAAAGGTCGTGCACGAGTTACGATCTTCGCCGCGGAAGGAAATGCCAGAACATTCAACTACATGGCCGGTGACGTCGGCATCGTCCCTCGGAATATGGGCCACTTCGTTGAGAACCTGAGTGACGATGAACCCCTGGAGGTTTTGGAAATCTTCCGGTCAGATCGATTCCGGGATTTCTCTCTGTTCCAATGGCTTGGTAGCTCACCGCGCCGAATGATTGCTGAGAATATATTCCCCGGCGATGCGAAGGCTGCGCGGGAATTTTTGAAAAAGATCGAAGATGCTGAGAAGGATCCTATCAGAGATACCATCTAATTGCCATTTACCTAGCTTGGTAGCCGGATTGGAAGGTTTGCAGATAAATGGGGAAATATCAGGTCATTGAATACATTACACAACGGTATAACGATGAAGTTGCACGCGGACGATAAACAGATGTTCAATAATTTGCCTGAGAATAAAAGATATATGGCATTGTTTGCTGGACACCCTAGTCATGGAATTCCAAGTCTCCACCAAGGTCAATGGTAGGAAATCAGAGGTATGTACACTATTGCAAAGCTTGGTAGCCAACGCCTCGACTTTTTGAAGGGGTTATTCAATCCTAGGCCCCTTCGTGGTTTGGCATCCGGTGTTTATTTGAAGGGCCACGGCAACCGTGCCAAGCGCCCAACACACTACCGTGTATTGAAAGGAAGTCTAACCATAGACGATACCTTGAAGTGTGATAGAAGTGTGCGAGGTCAGACTATGGAGCCGATATATACCGGATTCTTAGAACAAACCACAAACCTGACCTCTTTAATAGGGTCCAAGGCTCGTGCCGAGGGCGAGGTTCTACTACTGTAATGTTTGCACAAATGTCCTTTAGATGCTCAAGTAGAAACAATAGAATAAATATGAAAATGTGCTCCCAAAAATGAACTGCCTGGCGTTCCTTTCCAAAGACAATAGGGGATGTTCAGCGTGGCGTGGACAATGAGGACGAGACATATCGATCGGGGAGTACATTACGATAGTCGACGCCAATCGAACGCAGGCTATCTATTCCACAGGTATGATATGCATATCCTCAGGCATAATTGGTAACCTACGGTTCATCTAACCTGCAGTAAATCTACGGAAGCCCAAAACAGGAAAACTGGTTCGATGTTTTAGACATACATAGCACGCTCATCCCTACCTGATTAAACTCAAAAGTACATACTACACCGCTCGAGGAAGACCGAGATCTAGATATATACGGCCTATGTTGTAAGCTTGACTGGCTTTAACAAACTCCTGTTATTGGGTAATCCTAAAGTATTTCCAATCCCTATTTCTGCCTCTTTCTTTTGGTTTAGCACGGCACTGTTGGACTAAATATATCGATGGCTAGTCCCGTGGGAAATGTCAACAATTACTTTTATCCATCTTCACATTAGCCGACTTTTCCTATTTACAACCGGTCAGTATGACAATCAAGTTTCTTTTACGTGCAGCTATTGGGTTTGTGGGACTTGTTATATCCACACATAGTATATATGTGACATCTCAAGGCTATACAGATGATGACATTATTTTGCATCGATACAAATTCAATCGTGATTACAAATTCTATTTGGGTGGGGGGGTAACCCTCCCTACAGTGGCAGATAAAAAAGCTCCTTAGGTAAAGCGAAATGTTCGGCTTTGTTGAAAGTTACAAGATCATAATGACAAAGGTAGAGGAGCGGATAAAACGTCATCTAGCGATACCACAAGCCTCCTTCTCCGCTGACATCTCCCAAAGCTCAGCTGATATCCCTGGAATGGAACCAGACTCCTAATCTTTTCCTTGGCGTTCATCGGGAGTTTCCTTTGCGACGATGATTTGTGAATTCGGAGTGGCAAGGTAGAGGAGCGGGTCAATTGAAATATTGCCATCCTCATAAAGCGACAATGCTGGATCATCGATATCGAAACGTTCTAGGCGAACCGAAAGAACAAATTCCGAATGAAGGGGATTGTCAAAGAAAGCTTTTAAAGACGTCCAATCTTAGTTGAAAGCATCCGTTTGTTCAGCACGATCTTCGTCTCCATCGTAACAGTAGACGCTAATGCTTTGTAAATTTAAACCTAATGCTTCGCAGTTTAGGTAACGCCGAATATTTTCACGGAACTGCTGGGCATTGACGAAAATTGGAGGATCCCAGGGGAATGTGAATTGTGAATCTGGCACAACTACTTGTCTGCTCCCAGCTTGCTCAATAGCAAGCGCCGTTTCGTGGTACATCGCGACTTTTTCGTTGTGTACCCAATGTACCTCGAGCTCAATTGGTGGTGATTGGTCACCTTCAGATGATTTGCGCACACTATATGGGTCAGGGAGTACAGTCAGGGTCACCGTCTGAGTCACCATCTGCATCCACGACGGGGCGTGCGGCCTCTTTTCATGACCTTCATATTTGCAAACCGATGCTTCAAATTTCCCTTGTGAAACCCACTGCCTAGATATCGGAGCGATTCCCAGCAACGATTGTAGCTTTCAAGTTCGCTCTCTCCCGTATCCGTTATGGAACCAAGCTCAGGGCATGGGAAGTTGTCCGTAGTTTCTGGGAAGGATAAGGCAAACCCGAGTTTATTAGATGCATAGCGTTTCAAAAACTCCGCCCGTTCAATCTGGGTTCGTTACAGATTCTCTGCAACGCTTGTATCCTTGTATTGCTTGACGTTCAATACCATCTTCCACAAAATCCAAGCCACAATTTTCTGTTTCTGGATGGTTTGGTAGCTTGGATGATCTCTTGACTGCCAGGTCCAAACTAACTCAGGAGATGACTTCACAGCCACAATTTTCTAGATCCTAAATTGGATATGGATTTGAATGCACCATGCTTTGTCATCTTATGAGCCGCTGGTGCGAAGTACTTTTCGGCAAGCAAGGTGGGCAACGAGATAGCGAATTCTCGAAGGTCTGAGGTATTCTGAAATCCGAGATATGCTGCCAACTGAGTCTCATGGTCATCCAATTTCGCCCAATTCTTCCCATTAAGTTTGACAGGCTGGAAATTGGTAGCCTTGGTTGGTCCTGCAGGGATCAGTGATTTCGGGACCACATGTGCCTATAAATAATGATAAATATCACAATGTGCTGTCAATGTGGCTTATACGTCAGTGTTCTCACCTTCTCTGAGGGTGGAGTATCAGATGCCGAGGAAGCGGCAGTGCACTTGTTTTGGGGTTGAAACAAACTCGTTCTGGTTCCATGAACACAGGGTTGTCACGCGCTAGAGGATAACACTGGGTAGTGACATGCAACCAAAACAAATAAACGCGAGACTGGGAATTCACTCGTGGGTGACAGTTCTGTCTACACATAGTACTGTCAGGGACCTGGGGTCGTCGTACGTTGGGATGAAGACAGGGTAAATGGCTGGAGAAAGGGGAAAGGTCGAGACATTGTGAACTCACAGGTAACCACTGAGGGGTAGGGTTCAAGGAGACGAAGGACGTCGAAGAGAAGTGTGGATAAGGAGGAGAGAAAAAGTGGATGCCGGGGAGACGAAAGAGATTGGAGAATAGGGTAAGCTGCCACTTTGTCAAGTTGTTTTTGTCCAAGGCCTGTAACTCCCATAGAAGGTTGTTTGTTGTTGCCAAAGACCGCCTGACATTGCAGAAGACATCTCATATCAGGTGAAAAGTTAAGCTACTACGCTGCCTTCGAGCCTGATACTGCCATGTCTTCTCATTTGTTTGTTTTTGGCTCCAATATTCTCGCTGACCACGTACTTATAGTCATATTAGCTTTTAAATTTTGCTCAAATGAGGCTTTTGTCAAGTCGATGTAATGGTCGGTATATCCTATAACCTCCCTTTAATGCCTTTCGACATGAAGATTCGTCTTCGCGGCTTGCCTATCTCTAGTCTCTCACTTCTATATATGAAGTAGAATTTAACAAATAACGAGATATTTGTTACGTGCCAGGTCGATCAATGAAGAGACAGCGAATTCCAACTAGAATAACAAAGAGAGAGAAAGAGAGAGAGCAGGTGGGTTCTCTGGGGTTTAAATAGTAGAGCCTCCAACGTAACAAACATACTCTCTTTCCCGCTTAGAACTAGTAGCAATCTGTAGGACAAAGACAGCAAGCAAACATTAGTTACAAAGCATGTGATCACGTAAGTCATGACAATATCGGCATTCCGATTTTAATCCGAGGTATCCGTCCCCTCGATAGTAGATAATGCAGTGGGGAGACAAGCTGTCCACTACGCATTGCCATCGCCTTCTCTTTCTTATTTTATATGAGTTCGTTATGTAAGCGTTGAGTTACTAGGTTACAAGTAGCAGATAGAGACATATCGAGAATACATACTCCTACACCTCTCTGAACCCACTTCCTGGGCAGTGTACTTAGGTTCCTTTGTATGCAAAGTTGGGTATGAAGCCGAGCTAGGTGTGCTGAATTCACCCGCTTATCTTAGAGCAAACTTTCTTGAGCGTCTCCCTCTTCAATATGTAAGGAAATAGTCAGTTTGACTGCCGTATAAAATCCTAGTGGAGTATACAAAGGTTTATCACTGTGATACTGGATCCGTACGTAGAGGGTCCGCACATATGATCCACCTTGGACTTTCAATAAAATGGTTTTGGGGGTATTGTAAAGTACCAAATGCTATCTGTTGTAACTACAACTTTATCCACAGGTTCTATGTCGTGGTCAATGACATTTTGTGGGCTCCTGGGCGGGAAACGGCAATTACAAGCATACCCTACACGATCGGAACAGGTAATAAGGGATAATAAAAATTATTGATCATATCACATCGTGAAAGTCAGAAGGAGGATCTCAATAACATATGGTCGACATCCATGCCCTGTGTCTCAATCCTTCTGTTCCATCCAGAGACCAGTCGTAAGTTTCTCATTCGGAGTTTTCGTCAGATCGAACAAAGGCCTCCAGGATTTTCTTTCCTTCTTCAGCGTCATCGCTTTCCCATGGCTTAAGCCCGAAGCATTGCATGAAGGATGTCCAGCCGCCATAGGATTTCACAATCGCCCGCTCGGCGGGGCTGAGAGGGGGTTCTGTCGTAGAAAGATCAGCCATAGATTCGGCATTGTATTGGACGTCACAGGGGGGGGGAGGGGGTGTATATACGAAGTGCATCAGTTACTGGCATTTTGGTGGTGGATGAGAGTTTTCAGTTGGCTTGTAGGGTTGAGGCAGGGGTCCCTAGGACATGTCCCGATGTTAGCTATTCAAAAACCTCGTTCTCAAGATATATTGATAACGCTCACGGAAAAATGGGTTCAAGAGCTGTGTTGTGTTGGGTGGAAAAAGGGTGAGGAAGTGAGAAATGAAAGGTCAGAAAGTGCGGGGCCAACAAACAAATTTGTGGAGGTCCCCCGTGTTCGTGCCCGCGATACCGCATATGCCACTAGGACTGGGGCATGCTGTGGGTAAACTGCTTTTGATCGCCATAGGCAATAGTATTACTAGTATGAAGCTCTATGATGTACCAGAGTCGCCTCAACTATCATTGGCCTTCAGCATCCAGTTGCAAGAATTCATTCAAACGGGACATGGCATCGAGAATCATCGAGGTCGTGTTATAGGTCTGTAACCGTCTGTCTATTAAAATCGATGTGGTTGGTCAAGCCTAGAAAATACCAGCGTCCGCTCTTAGAGGATACGATTCCCCCTTCGACAGTACCAAGTCCAACCAGTTTGACTACAGCTCGAGGATGTTGTATCACGAGATATATGTGTACTATCTCCATGTGTAATACGAGCACCATCAGAGGTCTGAAATCGGAGGGCCTGTTGGGCCTTCGCCTGTGAAGGAAGGAAATTGACACGAAGAGTTTCCAACTACATACCCTGCTTGGTTGGGACGTTCCAACAAACTGGGGTTGGGGCTTTTGTTCATCAAGAATTCTCATAGACAGCTACTGCGGACGTTATAAGTGGATAAGGGTATTATCCTCCCGGTGGACAAATTGCAGGAAGTCATCCAAATTACTGTTGTTCGGCGTGCCAACGACAAAAACTGCGGGTTTCCCGTATGGCGCGGAAATACGTGCAGTCTGACCAGCGTAGTAGTTCTTTCCAGACCAAACGTGAGTGAAAGTTTGATTCTTGCCAGGAAAGTAGACCTTCACGCTAGTACGACCAGGATCCAGTACTGGTGCGACGTACAGATCCGAGCCGAGATAGAAGCTCTGGTAGCTGATTCCCTTGGCGACTGGGTCCTCCGGGTGGTAGATGACGGGCATGCGGAGCAAGGGCCAGCCCAGGTTCTTGCTTTCGGTTTCCAAGATGTGACGGCGATACTTCGCAAGACTTGCAAACAAGCGTGCGTTATAACCGAACCAAGAGTACGTGGTGGAGTTGGTATAGAACTGGGCATTGACCTGAGGGACGTTTCCCTCGTGGGTACGAAAGACTACGCTCGAGACCGCAGCAAGTTCACCCCATCGACCAAGCAATTCGGAAGAGCGGTTCACAACACCGTTGCTGTCCCAAGTGGTGGTGTATCCTCCAATCTCCATGTGGCCGTGAGCATAGCCTGACAGACCCATGTGACCAATGACGGTAACAGCAGCCTTGATACCGTCGTTGACACCCCAGTTGGTGTTCTGGTCACCTGCCCAGTATAGATTCATGTGCCGATTTGCCGCCATAGATGATGAGCGGTGGAACAGGATGGCGTCGGAGAATGAAGACACATTCTTTCCAATCCACTGGTGGAGAGCAGCCCACTCGCGGGGATAGGCATTGTGGTAGACGAAGGGGTCAATGCTCCTGTTAGCAAACTGAGTGTCTGCGTAGATAGGGGTGTATTCGCCGAAATCAGTCATAAATCCAGAGATATTTGCACTCCAGACTTGATCGAGCATGACCTCCTTAAACCAGGATCGTCCGGCAGGGTTGGTGAGATCTAGAATACCGGCCTCAAGGCCCGGACCACTGGAGATAACGGATGTACTATTAGTAGTGGAGTTTGCGATCATGTAACTACCTTTGCTGGCCTCGTGGTATAAATTGGCGCGGTAGCCATCAGGTTTTGTGCTAACATTCGCCAGGAAGGGGTTCACGTATGCCAGAGTACGGACATTGTGTTGATCCCTCAGAGATTGCACGAACTCCTTCCATGTCGGGTAGAGTGTGGTATCAGATTCCCAGTTCCACCAAAGACGAGATACATTCAACGACATGTACGATACGCTTTGTGAGTGTGTTCCGGACCAATCTTGAAGCCAAACTGCACCAATTGGACATTCAAGTTCAAGTCCTTGGTTGACTATCCGGTTTACCTTGCTCTCCCCACCCTGAATAGCAAGCACTGCACCGGTATCAACCCACTCCGGTAACGCAACCATCTCGCCGGTATAATCTGTGAGCATGGAAATACTGTTAAGCATGTTTTCGGCTTGCATGAAGTAGCCGTCCAAGGTCAAGCCATCATATCGCACAGTAACAGCATTAGGATCGGTGAAATTGAATGTGGTGTAGGCTGAGCTCTCCTGTGTCAGGTGGAACACCCGTGACTTGGAGCTGATATACTGCGGGATCTCAGTGTACGTTGTGAAGTGATCTCCGCCAGCGAAGAAGCTGTCCTCGTTTTCAAGTTGAGTCGTGGGCTGGTCACCACGGCCGACACCTTGCTCGCGTGAGATTATGGGGACTGTTAGGTTTTTGAAGGAGCCGAAGGATCCCTGGGCACCGAGTCCGTAGAAGTCTTCCGATGATGACGACTGGTATGTTAGGAATACCTTCGTTGCTACCTCCGATAATTTCCAAGCGTCGACATTCACGCTGAAAGCAATGCGATCGGGGAACTGAGATGGGACCCAGAAGGCAATAGAGAAATTAGGAGTGGCATCCCCGCATCCGGTGAGCTGACCCTGAATAACAGCAGCGTGGTCATTTGAACTTCCGTGCCATGGTCGAAGAGCAACATCGTTAACTTGCTGGTCGGTACACTTGTTTTGGTCCACTTCGTTGATCTTCAAGTTACCATTGGCGGCTATCACCTCATCACCTCCTGCGCTGGCACTAAGAAATGGCTGGCCTAGCACAGTCTCCCAAATAGACCGACCACGGTGGGTGATAGCCAAATGGTTGACACTCTCATCAACCATGAGTTCGAACTCATTTCCTAGCGGCCATGGAGCCTGAACCGCAACACACGGAGCTGCGAGCGTGGCCCAGAACCAGAGACTAGGGGCGTGCATCTTGGAATGAGACTGCAACCAGACTAAGCGGGGTGCATGGTGTGATTGTCCAACTTATAAACTTGTACGGTCTCCATACTAGGGTCTGCAAAGTCCTTCGATGACATCCGAGGAGATGCCTGTCCCACTTGGTGCAATTGTAGAAATTATTGTCGGCCAACATTATGTAGCCCTGAGCCAATCAATATGATACCTTTCATTTTTCTAATGATGATAAGCTAATTTCATAACCTGGGTTGGCCATGGGAAAAGCTCACGGAGAAATAGGCTCCACAGCCGACAGCCCGTCGGCTCATCGCGCAGCATCCCTTCGGCAAGGGACCTTACCCTCTTTAACCTCGTAGTCACATATAATACTAGGCTTGTATTAACCTCAGCCCCTTGATAGGTCACGCCAATACATATAGTCTTGAATCTGTATGCTGTGAGGTGTAATATTCCAAGATTGGTACTACCGAGGTCCCTAATGTGGCTGGAAAGGGAACGGCGGGATACCCGGCCGTCGAGGGGAAGTGGGGCCGACTCCACACATGCTTGCGAGGTCACGTCATACCTACCTACGTCCCTGATTTCTCTGCCACTTCTTAGTATTCCCTTTAGTGCTCACACCTTTCCGATTTTTGCTCACTGACTACCTAGGTAGAACTGAGTACGCCCCTTAGTATTACATAATCAACAAAGTCGCTCACTGAACGTCACTTAAGCTCTCTGATTCGCTCACGGCCAGGCAATTAGTATAGTCGGATGTCTCTCCGACTGAGACATTGCCCGGCGATCTGGGTGCGTACTGGTTTTTGATAGATACTCAGATGGCGTTACTGTATTTGCACAAGTCTGGTGTTAATATAAATTAGACACAGCGGATAGGCACATTTAGTTCTTTCGCAAGACTAGTCCAGTGGGCTTTTTGTTTCGGAGTCTACGTTAGAGTTGTCTTTACTCGTGTTAGCCACGGTTAATTAGCTAGAACAAGTTTTCGTAGAAAGCCACATACAGACTGCCACCGACTTGCCGGCTTCGAGGTGGTCGAGAGCAACGTTAAGGCAGTTATAGCGCTGGTACATGTTAAAATATGGGTTTGTTTCAGGGCGATTATACTAGAGTGCATACTGTCTTGAGAAGACCCTGGTTAACTTGTTTATAATCGAGGGGTTAGAGATGAGTCCGGTAGAGAGTGGATTTTCTAACATCCAGGATGCCACAGAAGATGACTAGCTTGACAGTAATGACACTCGCCCCAATCATACGCCAGGTGATGGGTTCTGGTTTGTTTTGTAAGGCCGGGACGAAGGCTTTAACGACCCGTTTCTCTGTTTCCGGGGCTTTTCCGTTAGTAGTTTTAATATTGATGGCTAAGTCGCAACTTACTTGTAACGGTTGGGTCGACCATGCGGCTTAGCGGGGGTAAAGGAATAGCTTGAGGGAGGACACTCCTCTTTGCTCCACCTTCGGCCATTCTGACAAATGGACGAGTGTGAAAACCTCGAAAATTTGAAGGAGATCGATGGTAAGAAAGGAAGAAGAGGGCAAAGAGAGAATTTAAGAATGCCAGGCGGGATGGTTGCCGCTTTGGGACGAGCCGACTCGAGGCCGACGCTCAGCGACTGACAGTGCAAAATTAATTCTAATTACTCACGGCCTTATAACTACATGAACATTGGAGCATGGGTCACGCAATGAAATTCTCAGTACATTGAAATACACCTTTCAGGTTAATAAATAACGTACTGTGGCAATTGTAATTCCAACCCGATACACTGTCAGACTGGGATATGGCCCCCCTACGCCCTAAACAGGAACCGAGGTTTTTGTTATAGTCTAGTGGTAAGATAGGCTGTATTTTTCCCACATACACCTCTATTGGAAGACGGTGCCGGGCACCATCCTCCATCCCCTCGTAAAAGTATTCGCCTCGCCCGTCCGATCTTCGCCCCTACTGCGCGGGAAAAGGCCCCAATAGCCCACATCTAGACCTTTAACTCGGCATTTAAAGCTCTCTGAGCCTCTTGGGTGGGATACGAAGTCCACGTAAACGAAAACATGTCTTTTGGAAACTCAGCTGCGGGCACATACGACCGTAGCTCGTCATACATCTCTGCGCGGCGATCGTCGGGAAGTTTCGACATCATCATTACAGTCAATGAGTGGCCATACCGTACTTGGTTGTACAATTGTAAGCGTTGGGGAACCTGGTCCGGGGTCGTTTCAGGAGTAAATAATGCTCCGAGTGCGGCACCGTCTTCAAATGACTGTGCGCCTCCTTGGCCTTGGTCTGTATCAATAGTTAGAAGTTGTATGTGATGAATAAGCGAATAATGGGTATCGTACGAGGAAGAGTAGGATGCGCCGCATCACCAGCAAGTGCAAGCTTTCCCTTTACGAATGTCCTTGGAGGCTGTCGAGACCCCAGACTCCACAGTTTGACATCTTCAGCGATGCGGCAAATTTCTTGAAGTTCGGGACTAAACGTCTTGAATGTCCGGAGAAGTGCGTCATGACTGGCTGAATCTAGCCAAGATGAATCTTTCACCGCCGTCTCCGGGTTTGAGGGATAGAAACCCACAACGTTGAGTAGGTCTCCACCCCGACAGGGGTAAAGTATCATTCGTCGATCTTCAGATACAAATCCGTGCACGCCATCTAATCCAATCTTTTCTAGAAGAGAGGCAGTCAAGGGGTTGGCCCGCATCTTGGAGGTTGGAACCAGGAACCGGAAACAGTTTTGCCCGGTGTTTTCTTTGCGCTCTTCTTCGCCGGTGATACCGCTCACGGCTCGAGACTGGGATAATTGTGAGAAATTGCAATGTGCGCACGTTCGATCTTTCTTACATGTATACCATCGGCACCGATGATCAGGTCACCGGTATAAACAGTTCCGTCCTCAAGAGTAACACGCCCCGCTTCGGCGTCCTAAGACGTGTTAACAAATAACACCACATGAAAAAAAGCAGGGAAGACGAACCACAGAGGCAACACGAGACGACAGTCGAATATGCACCCGGCTCCCTTCAATTTCTGTCGCTGCTGTATCCCGCAGGGTATTATGTAAATCGACGCGGTGGGTGAGGATGAAATCGTCGGTTACTTGGAGGCGCTTTTGGATATCCTCAGTCACCTTGAAAATGTTAGCTAATTTAAGAGGAACTCAGCCAGAAGCTACTCACCATAGGAGTCGAAATCAGGTTGCCTGCAGAAGTCCAGATCTGAAACTTGGTACAGTGAACCGGCTGAAGCTTCTCGAAGTCGCAGCCCCACTCACGTAGGATGCGGGTTGCGTTGGGCGGGACGTGGATGGCTGCGCCAACTTCGTTCAGAAAGCTTGACTGTTCAATCACCTAGAAGGGCTTCAGAGAGATATTTCGCTATGGCTATCTTCGAGACCTACCTGGACTTCATGTCCTGAGCGATTCAGTGCAATGGCCGCGCCCAACCCCGCCAGGCCAGCACCAACTACGACAACTTTGAGAGGCATTGTGTGATTTAAGCTTTGAAAACCTGGATCTTTTCGTTGTCGGAATAATTTCATTGAAGGGTAATCTACTCTTTATATAAGCTCATCTGCAGCGTTATCAAGCGGATATGTCGGGTCCCTGGAAGGTCTCCTAGTTTAATGAACCCCACACGACAATGACCGGAATGTTTTATTTGCATCCGATCCGCTTAGAAATCATAGGGACAACCCTTGAATTGCCTCTTTGGCTAAACATTACGCTCGAAGATAGGCTAGCCTAAGAGCAACTATGCTCTTTTCTAGAGGTACTTATCCCGGACCAGGAATACCTCGATCGTAACAAGCCACCTAGATGCCAGACCCTCGCCCAAGGAGTCGTGCACTTCCTCGAACAATTATTACATTTGCCACGGTTTGCATCCCATTTGTGGAATTTTGCGCTAGGGGATTATAAAACATGGTCTTCGCTGACCCGTGTTTGCCGAGCCTATATTTAGGTGGACTGAGGGAATATGGATCCAAACACCATGATAAGGTCACAAGTAGATCCGGGTCGGTTGTTTTCTCTATGTTGACAGATATCAGTACTGCAACAACCCATATAGTAAATTTCGGCAATACATATCGACAGAAATCTGACCGTATGGCGATGTATGGTATGGCTGGCGGAGATACAAATCTCTAAAAATACTAAACCCGCAATTTTAACAATCTGGGCGGATATCGATGATTAATGTCGAATACCAAGTCCGAATACATGGTAGAAACCAGGTAATATACCGGAAACATCATGTGACATTGGGTACCAGGCATACCATACAAAAGTGCATATTACAGTTAGTCATCATGGTCCGCACAGATTGTTGAAATAGCGGGTTTTGTCATTTTAGTTAGTTAGAGTTGTCAACATTGGTCATTTATACCATACATTGTTCGTACACCAGCTTTCCGTCAATTAACTTTATTATGCACTTTGGTATGGTATGCCTGGTACTAAGTGTCCTAACCATATAATCAATCTTCCTTCATATATGGTACAAGTTGTATATATGGTAAGAGATGATATATTATCCTAGTCTCTAAGCTAGCTAAAAAGGAGGGGCATCACATAACTAAGTTAGGTGACGGTAATAGGTGCCCGCTCGCGATAAGGTCTCGTCCCGAGGCCTTATATTTATTCGGGGTTTGTAAGAAATGTAACCGGCTTTGCTATCGATATCTTCGAGAATTGTAAGAATATAACCGGCTTTACCGTCGATATATAGGGAGGAAAGCTATACGCTATTTAGGCCGTTATAAGCTTACTCCTCGCTTTCTTTAGCTTAGCCGTTGTTATTATTAGCTTGCCTATTTTCGTTCTTAGGTATAGTATCCTATCCGAGCTCTAGTATATAATATTAGAGTAGTTATTTTAGGATATCTTTCGAAAATTAGAAGTTATAACTATTAATTTTAGCGAGTAGAGTTTTAGCTTTAACGTATCGGTTTGCTATTAAGGTTTACGCTTTTTAATATTTTAGTATCTAGGCTATATATTCTATATATCTCTTATAGGCCTCGTCTATATATTATTATACGTCTTCTTTATTAATTTCTCTTAGGGTATATATCTTAGCTACGATATTAACGCCGACTAGGTTAAGCTATTATATAGCGTTAAGGTTAATAAGGAGTTCTACGTTTATAATAGTTTTAATAGGCTTAGGTTCTTTTTTAAGTAGTAGCGGTAGTAGCTTAGATATATTATTATTAACTTTAACTTAAGCGTTATTAGTCTTTAGCTTTAGGTCCCTATTATTTTTATATAGCTTATACTTTTCTATATTATAGTCGAAGGGAATAGAGTATTTTTTAAAGAAGCTTTATAGGATAATATAAATATTACTATTCTCCTTATTAGCTTTATCCGTATACTCGATATAGTAACCTTTAAAGTCGGTTAAATAAACTAGCCGGCTTAGGGTATCTTCCTTAGTATCGCTAAGTAGGATAGCTATATCTTAGTAGTCGCTCCCGATTATATCGTTAGCTAAGTCTAGAATAAGTTCTATTTTATATTCTCGGTCGGCGTAGAGTATTCGGTATTATCGCTTAACTATTCTTTTTATATTAATAAAGGATTTAGGGGCGATAACGGGGCCTAGTATTACGTACTAGCTAACTGGTCATAGTTAGGTTAGATAGGTTCAGGGTATACTTGCCTTAATACTCCTCGAATAGTCTAACGTTAATAATCGGATTGTAACTAAGCTAATACCGCGTAGGGCCTTATAGTAGCCTAAGTCCTTTTAAGCGATTAGGGAACTAATACTAGGTAGAGCGCCGAGTAGATCTATACCGTAGTATTAGTCTGCTCGTAAGTATTATCAAGTTATAATCAAGTAAAGAGTTATAGTAATCTAAAAGGTAAATATAAGTAATAATATATAATTAAAGGCGAAGAACTAAACTAGATATATAAATAAGTATCTTTATATATCCCTAAGTTCTTCCTATATAGAATTGTGTTACGCACTAGCTAACTGGTCACAGTTAGGTTAGATGGGTTCAGGGTATACTTGCCTTAATACTCCTCGAATGGTCTAACGTTAATGATCGGGTCTCAACTAAGCTATTGCCGCGCAGGGCCTTACTATAGCCTAAGTCCTTTTAAGCGATTAAGGAACTAATACTAGGTAGAGCGCCGAGTAGATCTATACCGGGGTATTAGTCTACTCGTAAGTATTATCAAGTTATAATCAAGTAAAGAGTTATAGTAATCCAAAAGGTAAATATAAGTAACAATATATGATTGAAGACGAAGAACTAAACTAAGTATATAAGGGAGTATCCTTATATATCCTTCGTTTCCTACTCCCTAATATACTCCTAGAGTATATCTAGGAGTCACCGTATACTTCTACGTATACTCCTAGAGTCGACGTAGGAGTTATAGTTACGTAGTCTAGGCGGTTATAGGTAATCGATATTATTATAAGGTAGAATTGCTATTTGCCCCGCAAGGGCTAGTAATAGCTACCTTCTAGTAGAACCCTTTTCTACCGGATACGTCGTACGTAATCTCGATCTATTAGCTCTCGATAGCCTATTAGTATACCTATAGGTCACTACTAATTAGTAACGGATAGGTCCGTAATATTACCTCCCCTTTTCCTAGGAGTTTCGTCCCTAAGACTTATAAAGCTATAGTTCCCCCTCTAGTAAGTAATACCGTTTATTTTTCTTTTTATTTTCTTTTTTTTAGCTATATACCCGTTATATTATACTAGTTAATAACGAAACCTATAAAAGAATAGACTTACTTAATATAATAAAATATTATAAAACAGTTCGGTCGCTAATATCTCTTATAAATTCTATTCCTCTCGCTCTATTAATTATATAATAGACCCGAAGAGTCGTAATTATACCGAGTATACTCGTCGCGGTCGTTATTACGTACGATAGTTCTATAGCGATAAGAAATAGCAGCGCGTTCTTCGCGAGTCTACGAAAATCGATATAGAGATTAAAGAGATCGAGAAGTAGTAAATAAAGTTAATAGTAAAAATGCTTCGTCTTAAGAAGTAACGTTAAATATTCAAAAATCGGAGTAGTAAGATATTAAATTATAACTCCTTTATAATAGAGTAGTTAGATACTAAGGATCCTCCTAGTACTAAAGACCTCGCTAAGCTAGATCGTCTCGCCGATAAGTATGATACTTAGGTTCTTACCGCTACGTTAGAGAATCCTACTCTAACTTAGATATTTAGTCCCTTATCCCCTTCCGTCCTAGAGGGGATAGACTTGTCTTTCCTTATTAGCGATTCTTCCGTACCTTCCGCTATATAGGGGTCCTTTTCGCCTATTAGTAATACTACTAAATAAGCTAGTAGTAGCCCCTTAGATTCTAGATAGGTTCCTATATATTTTCTAAGGTAGGATACCCTTTCTACTAAACTAAGAGTTATTACTAACTATTATACTATCTATCCGATAGGATTCGTTCGACTTTATATTTATCTTCGGTTTCCTCGATTTCTATATTAGTTATAATTTCGGCGTTATCTAGTACTAGTTCGAGTAACAAGATATAAAATACTATATAGAGTTTTTATATACTTTCGGGTAGCTTTAAGCGATAATTTACTAGTCCTAATTTTTCCTTAATCTTAAACGGTCCTAGTCGTAGGTAGTCTAATTTGTTACTAGGTCGCTTAGTTTTAATATTATATCGTAATAGGTAAACCTTTTCTCCCTTCTTAAGGTTAGGTCCCTCTCTATAGTAGTCGTCGTAGTATTTCTTTATATATAGATTAACAAAGTTAATATCTCTAGCTAGTTATATATATAACTTTCTTAGTCCGCTAGCCTTTAGCCTCGCTAATTCTACTACGGCTATCTTATTAATTAGTTCTCTAAATACTATTAGATTATATCTATAATTCGTAAAGAATAGTGTTTCGTTAGTCGTAGAGTACACTATATTATTATATACTAGCTATACTATTAGTAGTAGTCCTACCTAGTTGTCTTACTAGTAGTTTATATAGTATCGTAGGTACTATTTTACTATCTAGTTCACTCTTTCCGTTTAACCGTTAGTTTACGGGTAGTATATAGTAGAGAGTCTAAGCTTAATACCTATCTAGTCTATAAAAGACTTCTATATATTCGATATAAATAGCTTATCTCTATCTAATATAATCTTACTCGGTATTCCGTGGTTTATAACTATATATCGAAGTATAATATTCGCTATTTAATTAGTATTAATAGTTTCTATAGTCGGAATCATATAGGCGTACTTAGTAAGCCTATCGACTATAACTATAATTATATCGTATCTATCTAAAACTAGTAACTTTGTAATAAAGTCTATCGTAATCTATTCCTACGGCTAGGTTAGCGTCTTAGATAACTATAATTCTTCGTAAGGTATATATCGTATAGGTTTGTTTCGTTAGTACGTATCGTAAACGCGGATATAGAATCGAACCTTTCGCTATATATTTAGAAAATAATAATTTCGTATAATA